ATCCTAAGAAGGGTGGGATGGAAATTGTTATCACCGGTACGAGACTAACATCGGAATAAATTAACGCGTACGAGGCCGACGGTGAACAGCTTCATCGTGTGTAATCGCGAAAAAATCCGTAATACGACGACGTCCCGTGGTGGATGCCGCCTCTATCTGTTCGTGAGTTCGTGTCGTTAATGCATAATGCACCGGTGCATCGTTGCATATACCGGGACACGATCGTTTTCTCGATCGTTAATCGATCGCAGCAGCATTAGATTAAAGGGACGGTGGTGGTTGCAGCTGCGCAAATTATGTCTCGCGGCATCCACTCGTTTTCACCCTACAATGCATCCCCGGGTAAATAAAAAAATCATTTCGAGTTTCACGGATTTTACTTGCTCCCTTTACGGGTAGACTGGTAAAATAAAAAAAAAAAATTGGAGCATATGCGTACGTGTCGTTCAAGATGAGAATCTTGTTTGCATGTAGTAATAACAAATCTTACCGAGAACCAGTCGAACAGAGTAATTATTTTCATTTATTCCGTTTGCGTCTGGGTATCGCGTTAATAACAGTTTCAAGATACAGAAATATTCATTAGAATTCAATGAATTTCGATGATCGTTAACCGGAATGAAAAATGTATACAGTAGTACCTCGGTATACCTTAATCCGAATAGGACGTATACCAAATCAATCTTTCCCTTACTTGTATGATCAGTCAATTAATAATACATCAACTCCGAATATAATTGATTATTAATTTAATTTTTCCTCTGAGATAATTATTTAAAAATGAGGCAAAATTGATGTCGAACAGAAGTCATATACCGAGGTACATACCACTGTATTTTAATACCCTAATCGTGTTAACAAGTCGGATGCCACGTTGTTATTACACTTAAACCCCCGAACGATAGCATTTAAACTTACATTTGCTACATAAGATATCACCGCGTCTAATTTGCACTACAACCATTATCGTACCAAACTTTGTACATATACTTATTATTACGTTTAAAAGGAATGCTCGGTTGACTTTCGCGCGAGTAGCGTTAAATCAGTCGCCGGCAAATAGCATATCGAATTAATAAGCACCGGTCAAGTACGTCAGTTCGATAACCGACAAAGTTACAGTGTACCGGTTTAACGTTAAAATATTCATTAGGCGTAACGACAGCCCTGATAGCCTCCACGTGTGGACGTGGTTCTAACGTAACGGGCATGCGGAACACGATAATGCACAAGAATCGCGTCATGCCACGTTCACAAAAGCCACATTCCCCTCGACACTAGACCAATTCCTAAGCTAGCTAGCAGGATTTCTACTGCCATTTTACTGCCATCCTTTTCATTTCCGCCTGGTGATTATCTTTACGGTCACCTTGCAGTTCGCCATTGTCTCATCTTTTATATTCTACGCTATGAGTAATCGTCAGCTTATCATTCGATATCTACGATCGTATTGTGTTTTTTTTTTTTTACATTCCTACGAGATATCTTAACGATACGGGATAATAGATCTGAAAATTAGAGCGAAGAGGCACGTTTTTTGAAAAAATTTCATTCGCGGGATGAAACCAACGGTGTACAGGAAATCGAGGGACCACGGCGGAAAAGCATGGCGTGAAAAATCTCGATAAAAGAGAAAGCCATTGAACCTACGGAGCGGTCATAAACGCGAGGAATGCAGATTCACGTTCCGCGATGCAATTACCGGGATCGTCTTGTTAATTCGTCGAGGCGAACAAATAAGATGCGACCTAGCTACAATTAATCGCTAATGGGCTTCTAAGACGAGCTACCCCCTTATTTTTTTCCTTACACCGACACCGAATTCATTTTCGTTGTGTATACAAAGGAACGAGCTCTCCTAGGGGAGTCTTAATGACCCGGGTTAATGACTCGTGTGATCTGAACGAAATAGACGTTCATTTGTCTCACGAAGAAAATGAAAAAAACGACGCCTTTTCAAGAAGAATTTTTTATAGGAGGAAGAAAACGTCGATCGATATCGGAGAAGATAAAGAAACAAAACGTTTGTTTTCGTATCGAATCAAAGATTCCATTTTTCCTGTACCTTATACTTTTTCGCGAGACGCGAGAAATAGCGGGCATAACTGTTGTGCAAAGTCCTTATCTCGTTGTCAGTCTACCGTAAACTTGACTTTACGAGGCAGCCTCGACGCATAAGCTTTTTCGCGGTTTCCTCTGCATTTCGCCTGGTCTCGGCGACGTAACGGTTCCTAGCTGGCGGACTTGTCGACTTCGTACACGCCGGAAGATCGAATCGAGGAAGTATGCCATGGAAAAGCATTCTTTTCTTTCGTAGCTAAAAATGAATTCTAACCGAATTCCATGCAGTTCGTAACAGAGTCACTGCGGAAGGATAGAATGAAAACGAAACGCGAGACTGATCTCGTGTTTTACACCAGCATGGAAAGTCGATAGTAAATATGTACCGAGATGATATGTTACTCAGAATTCTACGAATTTTCTCAAGAATGTTAGGTTACTGTTTATCGATTCCTCGGTATTCCAAGACCATTAGTAACGTTAAGTAGTCTAGTGTACTTGGAATCTATAATAGTTACCTTGGCACTTAGAATTCTACAAATATCCTAGGAAAAATTTCAATTTTCGCTTCCCTTTTACCACGATTTTGTCAATAAAGAAATTCTATATCGAACACGGCGACATTCCGATCGAAATTTCGATCCAACCAACCTGCGCCGCGCCGCCGCCGATTGCAACTCGCGTTAACTTCCGTGGTTAATTACATCACGGCCAATGACGTAAGGCAGGAATCATCTGCATGAAAAGCTGATGGTATGTGCGAAATTATCCAGGAATATTTTCGCAATGATCATTCGCGTACCGATTCCCGCTGCCCGTGCACCGTAACAAATTACGCGACGATTCGACCGTTACAATTAGACGATGTATCATCGCGTTTAGGGCTCGTTATTAACCGACGGACGTGGGTATCGTGAAATGTATATTCATAGGTGTACTGTACAGCCTGCACGGATATAACGGCACCTAACAACATCACGCTCGAATCGGCTTGCAACAAATATTATATCCAGAACGAGAACATTTGAAAACGTTTTATCTCTTTATTACTTGAAAATGAAAACTACCCTGCCGATGGTGGATCGTCGTAAATCGAGAGTTTATTAGAGGAAGAGAATGCTAAGAGGTACTTTCCAACTGCACCGTACATCAGTGTCTTAATATTTATTAAGTTTATAATACAGTAACCAAGGAAAGCCTGAGAATATTAGGAATAGATGAAAATGTTTCGGATAAATGTCTGATACGAAAGAGGACATAATCCGATGTCAACAAGTGACGTTGAGTCACAATTCCATGGTTATCTATTGATCTACTTTAAACTAGGGGTAATCAGAGACCCCACCTGCTAACGCTGATATTTCTGCCCTGGGGGCAGATATTCGCGTAACAAACGTTAATCAAACGGTTTCGCAACGTCCAGAAGCAATGAATTCGTTGTGATAGAAAACTTTTAGATTCTCTGCTCGTTAACTCTGCGTATCGTCGCGGTGTCTATGTTAATTAAATTGCACAAAAGTTTCATATTAATTATAGCTGAAAAAAAGAATTTTTAAAAAACGAACCAAAACATGTTTCTTTCGAATCTTTATCGAATTTATCTGATCAGGAAATCTACGCATGCCACGTAACCAGCAAAGTGATAATGTAATACAATTAAATATAGATAAAATACGAAAATAATTTACCCGATGTTACGATTTGATTTGATTTGATTTGATTCGTTTTAATGATACCGATATATCAGCGCAAATTAATTATAGAAATCTTGATTACAGAACCGTTCGAATTCTTTGGAATATTCTTTTGTTGCAGAAATATTCTAGTATGATTTCTAAAGACCATAATTTAACGTATTATATAATAATAATAATATCGAAGTTGTACAATGAACAAAATTAAAACAATTCCCTGATAGAATATAGAGATACAAAACACACGACACTCAAGGACATGACGAGTTTCGATGCTGACTATTATAGGAGAAACAATACGCTATTACGTGATATTTTTGCAGGTGGATTCAATTGGAAAACAAATCCCACTTTATACACGACAAATTGTGTACACGTTGTCTGGACACGTAGACAAATAAAGTCACGTTAATTTCAACATACTTTATTAATTTTAATGAAAGGATGATTCAGAAAGAAAAATAATGTAATTTTTAATTATCAAGTATTATAGAATTTAGTATGAATAATAAATAAATAGCAATTCAAATTTTCCTGCGTAGATTTTTATGATAGGGTTAAACTTCTATATTTATATATCCCCTCCCCACATTGTCAGTTTCCTTAGGGATGCCTATGGGAAAGGGTGAGAATCCAGGACGTCACCTAAATATTATTTTAATAAACTAATTGTAAGATATCAATTTCAAAATTAATCGATCGTACCCTTAATAATTAATATTTTAGTATGTCTATACTAAACACGTCTATTTCTACTGCGGCAGTCAACGCGCAAAACTGACCCTTTTTACAAACACTATGTACCTACATAATTAGAGGTGATTTAAATTTGGTCAATATATAGCAATTTGAACATATTAACGACTATCACGCAAATCAAACAGATTATCGTCCACGATACAAACACATGGCCCGACGATAAAGAGCTTAATACTTCATTCGCTACTTTTAGCCTGGAGAATTATTATTAGATTGACGATAGGAAAAACGTGCTGCTTCTGTTATTCCTATCATTATCTCCAATATTATTATATCAATCTAAAGAAATATCTCGAATGATAAAATATACTCTAATTCTATTTTTAAAAATTTATATAATAACCTATAACAGTTGTTCTTAAAATTATAAACAATGCACCTAAAGTCTATCAGTGGCGATTCGAAAGATCAATCGTAATCGGTCTACTTTAAATTCGGAGCTCCTGTACCGCTGACATGTACGAATTACGAATAAAAAATTCCTACCTTTTTCTCGTTACCGGAAGGATAATGTTCCTTAGTACCACTGCTTGGCTGTCACGCGTTCTAAGCACAAAATATTTATGGTCACAATGAACGCAGAAACGATAACGTTCATACGGTTGCGAAAAATATAGCGAACGCGAAATATATGTTAACCGCGCTACGGTCGAAGACCAACTGACGCGATCGGGCGCTCTCGCGCGACGTTCGAGTCTGACTACGGACGGCGCCTAACTACTCGCCACGCGATTGGTCGATCCTCGACCACCTTGCGCCAATAGCAAGGAGCGATACTAATGATATTTTTATCTTAAAAGATTAATTATTTAACACAAAATAATAAGAAATCATTTTTAACCATTTTAATAATTAATCTTATTGATATCAAAATTTCAATTTCTTCTTATTATTTATATTAATATTCAAATTATTCGAAGGTTAAATAAATATAATTTTTCAAATATTTCTTGAATAAAATAATATTTTTTGAAATGTTTGAACGTTCCTTTTGATACGAACTGTATGTACGTCCTTTGAACGCGTTTCTGCGACCAGGAACAATACAGGCGGAACTGGTACCGAACGTATATCTTTCTTCTTTTTTTTTTTTTTCTCTTTTTTGGAACGAATGAATGAGATGTGTTTGGCTCACGTTCCAAATCTCTGTTACGCTAGACTCGGGAAGGTAATGGGAGTTTGCGAAAGTGGTTGCCCGTGTTTGAACGTTGCTAATTTGATTTGATAGAACCAGTGTCAAGGAAAGCGTAACGGGTCGTGGTGATTGGACGGGTTATTGATTACGATAAATTATATCTTTATTAACACGGTGGAACGAAATGAAATAAATAAACATTCTCGGTGGTCCGTTCACGGTGGACTGTTTAACGCGGCAGGAACACCGTGACCGATGCACAAAGCATGCAAATAAAGAAATGAATTCTTTGAAAGAAAGCTCGCAACGTTACATCATTCGGAATTTTGCACAGCGACATAAAGAATAACAACTTTCGCCGTCCATCGTTTGTAATTTGGAGAAAGTGTACGACGTTTCTTTCTCTTTAAGAAGATATTCCCCCTTTCTCAGATGGAAAAAAAAATCAATTTCCAATAATCAAAAATATAATCTCAGAAGAATCAGTCACAAAAGTCAGGCCAGAACAATTAAGAAAATTCGAAGATCAGAATATCAATTTAAAAAAAAAAAAAGAAAAAAAGAAATGGAAGTTCCATTTAATCCTTTTCGTACAGAGAAATCGTTCTGTTTAATTGAACGCGCGGTGTCTCGTCCATCGTGGAATGAAAGTTTGCTTTGACGATTCTAATCCTTTTTTCATCGATTCGGTCACGCGTGTATATCGCACAAGTTTTCACATTTCATTCGAAACGGATTGTCGCTAATGCTCGGGTACATTCACCTGCAGCTTGTTAATATACACGTATTATTGCAAAAGCAACGAAATCGCGAATTCCGTGCTGCCTGTCGAATATCGCGCGAAAGGCGCTGCCTTCCACGTAGTAACGATAAGTGCTTGCGAGCTGAATGTTAAATAAAATAGAAACGACGATTTTCACTCGTTTGCAAAATACCGGCGCTATTCATTTTCTATTCGATACGTTTCCACGAGGAAAGTCGAAGAAACTCGCCTGTCTAATGCAACTACAAACTGCACAAGAATAGAAATGATAGGGGAAGTAAAGGTGTTTCTGGGAATGGATCAGCCACTTCAGATTTCTAATTTTTTTTAATGTTAAATAATTATGCAACTCTAAAATGCAAAGAACACATAGGAAGTGTATCTTATAAATGCTTCGGTTATTTTGAATGTAAAAATTAACTAGTGGGAAGTTGTTAATCATGCATTATAAAGAGTTTCTTGCCTTCTCTTAAAATGACACTACGGTCTACCATCAGTATCAGATAATTCTAGAAATATTGATGAAACCTTGCCGAATATTTTAGTCGTTTCGAACTACATTTAAAAATATCGTTCATTTTTAAATCACATCCTCTGAATAAAGTTACGAAACTGACCTTACTTGAAGGCGAACGTAACATCATTGAATTAGATTATCTGATAGCAAATTCTCGTGCTATTCGCTTCACGTTGCGTGCCTTTCTTATCGTGCACAATCATCCATTATTATGACCAATGATATTTATAATGCGCATGTTTACCCGAATCATGTCAACTATTGCTCGCTACCGTGCTTAATTAACCGACGAGTTGCGAATTAATTAAATTCGTTTCGTTTGAACTTTGTGTGGTTTTTTTTTCCTCGCTCATTAGCATGCGACGATAAATATCCAAAACTGGAAATTATAAACACTCGCGAGTTCTTAAACAATTCGAGCATATTCGAGCTCTGAATTTTCGTGGAACCATTTAAAGGCTTGAATTTTTTAAATTAAAAGCATGCAAAATTATTCTAAGTTTAATTAGTTATGAGTAAACCGCGTTTAATGTATATGCATTTATGATACATTAAAAGGAGGAAAAACACGGAAATTATATACTATGTACCTATAAGTACCTAATCGCAAGAAATTCTTCATAACGCATAAAATATGTAAAAATAATTGATATTTATTCATTATTAACGATTGGATATCACGGTTAAAGAGGATGATTACTGATAAAAGAAATGGCATCAAAATCGACGTGTATCAGTTGCATAATATTCCTTGTAAGATGAATGAGATTACACATGGAATGATGCAGCCAAGTAACACGAGCTCAAGAATAAGTCATGATTCAGAGTGATCCACGAGACCTTCCAATTTGGCTAATTGTCTCATGGGGTCAACTCGATTACGCGAGGTTACCTCTCTGTCTGACAATTTCTCCTCGTGCCCTTCACCTTTCTCTGATTTCATTAAAAATTAAACTTCGTTGTCCAAATAACAAGAGAAGTTGAAAATAAATATTCAAATCGTGCGATTTATTATTTTCTGATAATTCAGGAAAAGTTAAACTAATTCACGAAACTGTTCCAACTTTATTGCAAAAATAAGATAAAAGCATCTTGACGCAATTTTCAGTGCAATAATTGTTATCATTTGCGATGACGAATCGTTTAAGATGCACACGATTCTTAGAATTACTATTGTAGAAAGAAATCTAACGGTTGAACAAGTAAAGAACAAAAGGTTCATCGACGTCATCATTGAAGATTGAGTATTCGATAAACGTAGAAACTTCCGTGTAATCGGTGTACAAGAACCTTGTGTTTATTTATTATTTTTCTACTATCTGTTATATTTCTGATATCTTACATATTTCATTTTTGTGCTTGGTGAAAGGGACCAATTCACATTTCGAAAGGACCCAGACCCATCCTACCTCTATCTAGTTACTCCAATAATTGATTACGGTGTTATAGTGAAAGCATAAAAATAAGAAACTCGTTGCTCTTACGGCAATTTCAAGAAATTAAGTTACCTAGTCTCGATCAAATACCGTGCCAGAGAATTATATCGACCTTGTCCTAACACCAAGGTGGTAACTGTTTCGTATTCTGTTACGGATACACTGTCATGGCTAGAATGCCGGATAGTTGCACAAGGTACTATCTTAAAAGCATTCAACGCGTGTAAAAATCCAAGGAAATTCACGAAGAAGACTCACGAAAAAAAACTGGAAACTTCAAAAAGTGGGAAACTTTGAATTTGAAGATTGAAAAATTGAAAACTCCTACATTTAAAAAGTGGAAAATTCAGATTTGGAAAACTGAAAACTGAAAATAAATCACTGATTCGTTATATTAATCTTTAATTTATGGATACGTTTATGCAAATATCCAACACATTATCTTGCATGAGTAATAATAAACGAGATTTAGTAAACATCAGATACTGTAATTATAATACATTTGAAATTCATATGTATTACACGATATCGTTCATACGAATAACACTTTGCTACTAACGATAAATAAGATATGAATTGGTTATAAAATATAACTGTTAATTACTTAAATATATGAAACGTACCTATAAAACAAAGTTCAAGTACACGGAAGTTACGTACAAAAAAAGGCAGATACAACTGAGTTGAAGGTAAACGTACGAATGATCTCATTTATGCATGAAAAATTGATAATGCTAATCATGTTTAAACACCGTTTTATCCTTTCAATATTTATCAGCATACGGAAGTCTTTGGTTAAATATGACCCGTTTAATGTGATCACATACAGTAAAATTCCGTTATAATTTGCAAATGACATTCGCAAAGGAATATGAAAATTTATAGAAATTAAAATCGATAATATGAATTATAAGAAGAAAAAAATTCCAAAGGAATTCGAACACCGTATGATCCTCTTATGCAAACAATAACCTCAAATACCATTTAATCCCAACTGCAACACATGGTTTGAAATAGAAAAACAAAGAATTGCTAAAATACACCTGAGGATAATAAAGTCACGCAACGCCATTTGCGTTATTAATGTACTTCAATTTCTGTTTCACATATTTAAATTATAAACTTTATAAACATTTCCCAATGTTAAAATTTCGTGATTGTAAATTCAATCACGATTAACAGTAGAGTTTTTGATTTCGAAATTTTCTTACGTAGGTATAAGAGCTTCGGTGAAAGTAGTGCAGTTGGGTGAAAGTCAAATCTACCGCTTTAAACCTCTCATATATAAAGATAAGTAATTAAATAAAAGATTAGGTCGTTGGAACGTTTAATTAGAAGCTGTTTCCTAAGATCACCGGATATAAGTTGTAACTGGAAACTCGTTTTATCGTATATTCAAGAAACTACCCTAATAATGTATTTTGCATTTCTCCCGTTGAAATTATATGTTAAGCTATGCTCTTATCGATATTTCTACCAGAAATCAAAACCAAATAGCATATTATCGGATTAAGATATCTTTGTCGTAATCGTAATTGCTATAATAATCTTCAGACGCTAGATAAACAGCTAAGGTATTATTTGATTAACCCTTTCGCCAGACAGTTTACATGTGAAATTATGTAATTCAACGTACCTAGGTACATATAATTTTAATGATAAAATTTCATTAAAAATAACGTTTAATAGTACTAATATTATCATAACACACAGTAGAAAATGAAAAACTTAAATAAAGTATGCCGCATTACTCGCGGCCATTTCTACTGTGGCCGCCAACGTGCTAACCCTCTACCGCGATGGAGTCTCACAAGCACATTAAAAGTAATAATTTTACGAGACTATAACATTACATCTCTTTCAAATAACGTAAAAAAATTACGCTTAAAGATTTTCTAATGTCCTCAGAATGATACGAAGTTGTTAATGCATTCTAGCCTAGCGAAAAAGTACTGATTTACTGAACCAGGGATTACGCCCTTTTCTTTCTGAATTTTTCTATACTTACAAGTAAATACTGGTAGTAAACATGTTTAAGTATGTAATCAATGTAATAACAACAAACTAATGTCTGCCCGTTTTATCTGATGTGTACACATTTTATCGGGATATTTTACGTAGATTTGATCAAATAATGTTCATGTTTTAAAACAAAATGTATCGAAAACGAAAATATTATAATAAGAGTAAAAACAAAAGCGAAAGACAACATCAGAGGTCGTGGGCACAGCAAAAGGCACGTATTTACCTGCACGAGTCGCTTCGCGTCGCTACAATCGCGATCGTCGATCCCCACGGCTATGTTGGGTCCCCGCATTCCACCTGTCAGAAGGTGGGTCCACTCTCTCACGGAGGGTAAAGGAAGCAAAGAAGTCACTAACGGCATGAAAAACGGATCGTGTCTCGAAACTTTCTTTCCTAACTATCTTTCTTAACCGCCCTCGACAAGTGGCCAGTTTTCAATATGGCTGTACGCACACAGTCCATTTCGCTATTCCCTATCCTTTACGTACCTCTTTAATGTCCATTTTTCATTAACGATTCGCGCCGCATTCCTGTACGGTTCGATGAAAATCCCAATCGAGGATCGATTCAAAGCATCGCCGGTGATGATTCTTCGAAAAAGATCCTTCTGTTGTTTCCCATCGAATGTTCACCAAAGTACCGAATCCTGCGTACTTGCAAAACCACGCGTGGGTATGGAATGTAAACGGGGATATCGAGATAATCGTTAAAGAAAACCGGTAGAAAGTACTTTCCCACGATCACTTGCGCACAAACGTTAAATACACTACTGTTCGTATCGTGTTTGTTAGAAAAAAGAGAAAAACGATTTCACAGGACTTCTTGTACAACCAAAATCCAAACAAACTGTCGTCCGAGTAACGTTCTCCACAACGTAACTGAACGCCGGTAGGTAGGGGAACTGATCGGAGGAAGAACGAGTGCCTGAAGCGAGTCCCAGAAGGGGTGGGGGAAGATAGAATGTCGGAAGAAGAAAAGGAGTGGGGGAAGACCTTTCTGTCAGGAAGAAAGATAGACAGTAGGCGTTATAGGGCCCAATATAATTGAATAGGTAGTTTGAACAGGGAAGCAAGTTCAAAAACCTATTCATAATTTAAATCACTGCGAATCCTTACGCACTGATTTAGATGATATTTTATGGACCTAATCATATTTGAGGGTGGTTTACCTCCGTAATATTAAAGGGTTGAACAAAGTAGATGTTATTCTTGTACATTCGAGTACAAGCTAATTCCCCGAGTTCGTGTTCACGATGCGTGACCAACATTTCATTTTTTCACTCATTACCGGACAGAAGTACTTTACCGTCTCAAATCATCCATTACTAAGAATAAAAGATGTTTACAAAGTATTTAACCCATAGCGATAAGAAAAAAAAGACTGTTATTATAACTACTATAAAAAAAAGCAAACAGAATGATAGCTCGTGAGAAGAAATATTTGAACCGTCACCACCAAGTACACCGCAAAATTACATAATAATTCCTTTTACGATTGAGGCCAATCGTGTTGCGTAAAAGATTCACAACGTTTGCTATGCTCTAACTACTTCTAACAAAGTGAGCTTTCCAAGTGACCCACTCAGATTTTAATGAGTTTTTGCATATTGATGGAGCATGTTATTGCGGATTTATCTATGTACGCTTCTGAGCATCAATAGTTTAGAAGAAATTTGATATTAAAATTCTAACACCAGAATAAAGCTTGTTTTTCCGCACGAGTTGAAATCTCGCGAGGAAACTTCTAACTTTATCTGTTTTTAAATAACTATGTGATTGTATTGATTTATAAATAAATGTAATGTTGAAATATAAATTTGAAATATAATGCAATTCACCAAATGAACACAATTATACAATTTTTAAAAAAGAATGCAATTTGAAATTTTTTGCGGCAATTTAAATTCATGCGCCTGGAAACAGTGCACCATTCATACACGCTAACCTTTCTAGAATTAATTGTCAAATTGCATTTATTACTCATTTAAATCTTTGTTACTAGTTCTTATTAATACTGCTCTATAGAAATAAAAATATCATTAATGATTTTTATTCATTGTAAAAAATTTTAATTATATTGATGTACCTAACCTTATCGTCAAAGTTACTTAAAACACGCGTGGAGTTACAGAAATAAAATGACAACAATTACGGAATTAATTAGTTTCTTTGATCATAATTCAAAGGAATATGAAGAATTCTTGCAGGATTTGATATGTCTAAATGGAGATATACCATTTGATATAGAAGAAGTAAAAATAAATTTCTTAAATTAATTGTAGACTTTAGAGTTATGTGTTGATAGTTATGTTGTACATGTTTAATAGCATTTTGACATAAACATACTCCATTTTTATTTGGAAATTATACCATGTTGATATATTTCTCTTATTCCAGGTTGACAAAGCACAAAATGCCATTCTATCAACAGTAAATCATCATTTAAACCGTTCACATTCTCGTTATAATGGTTTATTAATTTTGGATAAGATTTTACCACAATGCTCAAAAGATGTGCTTTTAAAATACTGTATGCTATGGATTTCAAAAGCAACTCAAGTACTAGAAAGTATTCATAGTTCTCCACAAGAATTATCTATTTCCTGCAAAGTTCTTGGACACTTAATTGTCCGATCAAAAGATATTCCTGATATACACAAACAAGTATCAATGCAAAATGTGAAACAACTCATTAATGTAATCAGTAATTTAAGTTCAGAAAAAAAGTGTGGCCCGGTGTATTATTTAGCTGCTACATTATTACATCAATATCCAGAAGTTTGTGAACGTTTGCAGGTAATGAAATTTCTAATAAGGTAAACAAAATTTCATGGAAAATATTAAATACCTTTTAATTGCAGGTATCTATTAAAAAAATTATTCTATTACAAATTGATTCCTCTGAAGAAAATTTAGTTAATGCAAGTGCAAAATGTTATACTCTGTTAGCAAAAGCAACAGAACGCTCATTTAAGCCACCAGCCTTAAAACCTGCTTACACTGCTTGGACATATAATCAAGCACTTATTTGTAATAGTTTACATACTATAATGGATGAACTATTTTCTAATTTAATAGAATTAGAAAATGTTGACATTTGGGATAAGCTGGAATTACCCAGTATATCAGAGGAGAATGTTATTCAATTTTATTTTGAACAAAAATTTAGGTTTCTAAATTTGTGCACTTATTTATCATACATGTTACGGTAAGAGAATAGTACACAAGTTTAAAGAATATGTCTAAAGATTCTATTTAAATATTTTAAAATTAAAAATATTATACAGGGGATTTGGTAAAAAAAATTCAGTATTTCCCCATGAGATTTTGAAGGTTTTATGCAGAGGACTAGCAGTACAACCTTCAAACTTAAAGAATCAAAACTCTGTCCGAGAGCAAATGTTATATCTTCTTTTACCACACTTGCATATTGCATTGTTCAACGTGTTAGATGCATTAATTAGCGGGTAAGAATTTGATGAAGTTACAATAATTCAAAATACATTTTACGTTTCTAAGTTTCAAATGTTTAGATTTAAAGAACAATTAATACCATTCGGATCGAGAATATTGCAACTGTTTCTTCAAACGCTACAGTGGACAGAAACAGTTCTAGAACATCAAATAACGATTAGCGGCAATAAACCATTTAGAAATGTAAGGATAATTGTTTATAAATGTCTCAACTCTTGGTTGATGCATACTAATGCTCTATCAGGTATAGAAACAATTTCCGATGAATATCTACCTTCTATATTAAAAGATATAGTACCAGAAAAAGATCGTGTTTTATTAACCGTAAGTTTATTATATTCGAAGAATCTTATTTTATATTAATAGAATATAAAATTGGCATTACTTGAAATATATTTCAATGTTATTGTTGTAAAGATTCAACGAAACAATAATTTATCAAAAAGAGCTTTAAAACGTTTACGAGATAATCAATATGAAAAAAGTACATATTTGACTAATGGAACCGGTTCTAGTAAAGAATATAATTTAGACACAGATGTATGTGAAGCTGCTCTTAATGTGTTACAAAATGTATTTTTCAATGGTGGAACTCTTTTAAAGCAAACATTTTTTAAGGTAAATTTTTCAGCGATCGATGTACCGATATCTGATATTCAACGATTTAATGATAATATTTCTTTCAGACTGTACAAAATACTATAATACCCATTTTATACGATTGTTATTTAAATTCTTCAGAACAAAAATTTTATAAAGAACATCCTGAATGTCGTTTGCTACTACTACGAGTTTTGAGAGTTTTGCAAATGAATCCACACCCTTTAGTACCTTTACCTACACAATATTCTCTAGAAATATTTGAAATGGCTTTAAATGATAATAATCTATACGTTACCCAAGAAGCCAAGATAGCGTTGGCGGAAATTGAAAAGATCGTACATCCTCATACTCCATCTATACAGCTGACTCAAGTAGAGTAAGTTAAAAAAAGTATTTCTAAATATACATTTAACGATATTTAATACATTTAATATTAAACATGTTTTCTGTATTTTTCAGGACTACTGAAAAAGAATTTATTGCCGATCAACCTGTACAAGATCAAGATGAAACAACAGAGAATGATGATACTGTGGATACTGTAGAAGAAGATATGATACCGTCATCGAATAAAAAATTAAAAGTAACAAATTTACGCGTTGACGAGATTGAAAAATCCATTGCTAACAATACCACTGAAGAAGCAAACGAAAATATATTAGAGAAATCGAACAGTTTAATAGAAGAAGAAATTACGGTTGAAGTACAAGATACAACTATTGTAGAAAGTGAAAAACTACCGATAACGTGCGATAAACCGTTAAATAAAGTTGATTCGATACCAGTCGTAATTGATAAACCGGAAATTAAAGAATCAGTATCATCCGTACAAAAGATTATGGAAAATGAAGGTATCAGCAATGAAGATATGAACACAACAGAAGAAACTAATCATAATTTAGAAACCCCTTCTGAATTGACTGAAGCGAATAAGGAAGATTTATCGTCAGATAAAGAAAATGAAGAAGAAATGTTACTTCAATTATTTCAAGATGTGCCAAAAGATAATAACTAATTACATTTATTTAATATAATTGTATTATAAAGCAAATGTATTGTTACCTTATTGCTCAGTGTTGTGCGTCTTCTTATACAAATGATTTGCGTGGCTATATCCCAAATTTCGAAATATAATACCTCCTTTCCTGTTCTTCGTATTTGAAGGAATATTGATACCAATAGGTATTGTTTTGTTAGTTAAAACAGTAGAATTAGGTATAGCGTCCGAAACTCTTTCGTTCAGGGCTTGAATAGGATTTTCGATCGTATTTTTAGCTTTTTCAGCACTTTTATCAATAAGATCTAAAGTAGTTTTGAAATAACTACATGTAGATGATTGTAATCGTTTTACAAGACCTGTCCATAGTGCTATTTCACAGAATCTAGAATTTGTAAAGCAATATTTATAACACTATTAGTAATAATTTAATTACTCGACAACAGCATTTGATCACCTGAATTGTTTCATTAGATGAGGAGTTGAGGTAATGCTGATAAACGAATTGGTATCACTGGAGAAAGCTGATGTTAAGTTCGAAAATAAACTACCGTTTTGCGATTGAAAAGCTACGTTTGGCTTTCCATTTCTAGCAAATTCAGCTATGAGGTTCGTGAAAGCTTCTTCCACGCGTTTATCTTCTTCATCTGATGAATCATCAACGTTTTGTATCGCTTCTCCGGTAATAGTGTTCTGTTTAAAGATATATCCAAGATCATCACCGTGACTAGTGATGCCTAAAAAGAATTATGTATCCTGACATACCTGTAATATAAGTTAACAAATTCTCATTTAAACGCATACCGTCTAAAGCCTGGCTCGCTGTTGCTATAGGCGACCCTATCAAAAAATCTCTACCGCATTTTCGTTTTCCATTGTGATCAAAGCTGTACAAAAAGGCTTCAGATTTCTTGGCCCAGTGCTCGACGGTCAAAAATGCAGGAACATTATACAAAGAATCTCCAATAGCTTCGGCTACTTTAGAAATATTAAGGGAACTATTCTTCTTATTAAAAACATTCAAATATTTAGTGAATGCTTCTGGCGCGAAATTCGTTCTGTTTTCAAAATTTGGTACAGTATTTTGTAAAACTGGTATAAGATATTTGTTAAGAAAATTTGGATTTCTTTGCAATTTATTTTCGATTTCAGCTCTGTAATCTCCAAATATTGCTCCTCCTACTTCGTTGTTCATAACTCCAGTCAGCAACGGTATCTTTGGAAAATCTCCTTTCAAAGAGTCTTCCGGAGTATCGACGTTCAGATTGGGAAGAAATCTTTGGCAAGAAAAGATCCAATGAGGAAATGGTATTTTAAAAGCTTCAAAAACTGATCATACCTTTCATCGTCGCTACCCTCGATAACGGGGCCAGGACCTAGTATATTCGATAAACTAGAAACAAAACCTTGAATGCCAGAACGAATTGTTTCCAAACTGGAATCAGTTTGAATTAATTTATCAACTGGTATCTCTCGAAGGCAACGAACCATTTCGATTACATTATCCGTAGGACATTCATTTTTGGAAGCTATATATTGTGCGGTTGATGAAGGGTCTTTGTCGATTGCGAAGTGAGATAAAATTGATCCTGACATAGCGATCAGACCGCTAAATGCACCTACAAATTAATAACACAAATGAGGAAAAAAATATACATATTCTTAGCTTTATATTATTTACCTTTCGATAATTTAGACATTGTTAACATAAAAGCTGAACTGGCCCCTGTACCATGGCCAAATGCGATAATTTTTTTCGGATTGCCGCCAAAATATTGAATATAATTTTTCACCCATCTTACAGCCAACATCATGTCAAATATACCATTATTACCCGGCAATTCTTGCGTACCGCTACTTAAAAATCCTACGAATAATATAAATGTTATTTATAATACTACGTAAGTAAAAAAAAAAATTGCCCTATTTTACTTACCGAGTGAACCTAATCTATATTGAATGGACACGACCACAACTTTTTTTCTAATGATATTTCTCATTTCGTATTGACAAGCGGAACCCCTTCTAAAGCCGCCACCATGGATCCAAATCAATACCGGATATCCGTTACTGGCATCTGGTAGCATGGGTGTAAAAACGTTTAAGAAAAGACAATCTTCACTTCCTACAATTCCTTGGCGACCAAATGGATTAGGTTGAGGACACGGAGGACCCCATTTTGTAGCATTAATATCACCTTCCAAGTGTAAAGGTACAGCTCTCTGAAAAATAATTTTTTTTTTTCTAAGCAAAGGTGGAATAAATTCTTGGAAAACTATAAGCGTAATTTGAGTTAAGATAACAGTATCGTGCAGGATACGCCAGCTGATAAATTGATGCGCATTAATTATCATAGTATCGCAGCATTCTTTGTATTCTTAGCATGTAAATATAACAAAAACATAAATAAAAGATTTAACAAAGATAACAAATGGCTTACTTGAAATCGATATTGACCTACTGGAGGTAGTCCAAATCGGATACCACGAAAAACATAAAATCCTTTATTCGAATCTCGAGAACCATAAATACGTGCTTGTCGATTGTTGCGTGTCACATAAACGACAGGATCATCGATTACAGGTTGTGCAGCTGGTCTGCCACCAACAATTCTCTTCTGTCTTTTTAAATTATGTGGTGTAACCACCACTAACGTGTATAAAAAAATGATCAGAATAACGCAACTACGTCTGTACATTTTGAACGCGTATACAACAATAAGTAGGAAATCAAATGTTTTAGCGGGTAAGCAGTGCAGCCAATTTCAGTTTCACATGTTGGATCACTTCCGCTAGTGTCTTTCTCTATTCGATATCGGTTCACTTGGTATGTGAGCTGTGCTTGCCCTTGCCTTAAAATCGTGTTATATCTGTTAAAATACAATGCATCTAATGATATATAATTCTAATTAGAATAAGTTTAATTATTTTGTACATATTACCGTAAATATTTTAGTTTCACAAGCGAAAATTATGTTATAATTCTGTTGTTTTGTTTCGAGGTTATGTTTTTTATGAAAAGCAGCTCATACTGTCACGTTTTATCGTAAGCTTGACATTGTAGTAATAAGCAATTTAGCCTTTTTTTATATTTCTTGTGCAGGTTTTAAACCATGGGTCGAGTAATTCGTGCTCAGCGTAAAGGTGCTGGATCTGTCTTCAGATCCCATACGAAAAGGAGAAAGGGAGCACCTAAACTCCGTTCCTTAGATTTCTCTGAAAGGCATGGGTACATTAAAGGTGTTGTAAAGGTATGTATGATTAATTAAATTTTAAAGTTATTCCAGATACTTATCTTTGTTATTCTGTAATAACAAAGTATATACATGATGATTAGTGTTTCACCTACTCCTGATTGAAAATGAAGAATGATCACTAGAGGCTCTTTCTGAGAACCTAATACATTTTACTCATATAGTAATTATTTAAGGTGGTTTGTTAAAACAGCTATTTTATTTTTATAGGATATTCTTCATGATCCTGGCCGTGGAGCACCTTTGGCTGTTGTGCATTTCCGTGACCCATACAAATTCAAAACACGTAAAGAATTATTTATTGCACCTGAAGGAATGTACACTGGACAGTTCCTTTACTGTGGAAAAAAAGGTATAAAATTGTATATAATATGATATGTAAATAAATATTCTATAAAAATTTTTTTCTTACAGCAAATCTTCAAATTGGAAATGTGATGCCTGTTGGTCAAATGCCTGAGGGTACCATTGTTTGTAATTTGGAGGAAAAAACTGGTGATAGAGGTAGATTGGCTAGGGCTTCAGGAAACTATGCCACAGTTATAGCTCACAATCCTGATACAAAGAAAACCAGGGTAAAATTACCATCTGGTGCCAAAAAAGTAATTCCATCTAACAACAGAGCAATGGTTGGCATTGTTGCTGGTGGTGGACGAATTGATAAACCAATTCTTAAAGCTGGCCGTGCTTATCACAAGTACAAGGCAAAGAGGAATTGCTGGCCTAAGGTAAAATATTTAATGATATGTATAAAATTTGGATATAAAAGTAGATATTTTCCAATGATGCCTCAAGACATTTGAAACCTGAATAACTTGTGTTGAAAATTATTTAACTGAGGAACTCTGAGGTTTTGTTATGTATTGCATAATACTCTCAGTACATTTGTTTAAGACCATGCTTTTTCTTTACAGGTTCGTGGTGTTGCTATGAACCCTGTTGAGCATCCTCACGGTGGTGGTAATCATCAACATATTGGTAAAGCTTCCACAGTTAAGCGTGGAACCAGCGCTGGTCGTAAGATTGGTCTTATTGCTGCGCGTCGTACAGGAAGAATTAGGGGAGGAAAGACCGACACGAAGAAAGACGATTAGATTGAACATTGATTAAATTTTGAAACTTCTACAATAAAACATTTAAAAATGGAGCATTTTGTTGTAAAATTATTTATATCCTGTTTTGAGAATTTCCATTTCCCCTTTAATTTTCTCCAAGGAAACTGACTGTGCTCGATGCTATACATACAAACTAAAAAAACATAAACAATTTCCTCTATGACTGTTTTCGTTTATAATAGTCACAAATCTTACAATCCTTTTAATACAACATTAAACTACGTCATAAGATCATAAAAATCTAAATTTTGTATATATCATATTTTTTGTACTATAATATTTAGCTTATATGTTATTATAATCAGAATTATATATCATTTCAATATAGAAATAAAATTAATTGTATATACATATATTGAGCAAGTTATTTTGTGTAAAAATTTGTTTGCATTGATCAAATTGTATAATCCCGTTCATGTCATTTCATTGTTCGTAAGAATATTCATTTACAATTTACATATTTATATATGTAAAATATGTATTAAAAATCTGTAAATATTCATCAAAAATATATAATTGCATTTTTTATAATTTAGATGTTTTTAATGGCAGTCTATATATATGTATATAGTATCCACGATTTCAAAAATAAAATTGCACTTTGAGTATAGCGATTGCTACAATTTATCACATTCCTCCGTTTTGTTTCTTTGTTGAGTATCATTCAATTCTTGAGTATCATTAGATTTCAAATGAACCAAGGGTATTTCTACATCAATGTCTTTGGTATCTTTTCGAGCATTTTCATCGGGAGGAATTAATCGCTTATTTATAATTTGCAGCCATAACATACATAATATTAAAATTAAACCAGTAATACCCACTGTATGATATAACCCAAAACGAGTATAAATCACACTAACAACTATTGGACCTAAGACACGAGATGCGCATCCAGCACCTGTCATAAATCCCATCCAAACACCTTGCGGCCGTGGTCCTAATACTTTACTAAATATAGTTTGTATTAAAGTAACACCTAATGGATAACCTATAGTTGTAAATCCAAACCCAATAAGGCACTGTGTAATCGTGAGTTGTGGTGTATAAAAACACCATTTTTGAGTATTTGGACATCCTAAGCTTTCCGTACTATTGGAGTCTGTCGTCATATTACTAAATGCTGTAAAATATAAAAACTGATATCAAATTAAAAAAAAAAGATGTTACACGTAAAATAAATCTTTAGACACAAACACATCAGATTTAAAAATTATCTATAAAATAATTATATTGGTACTTACATTCTACATAAGCAATTTTAGGAGGATCAGGTCCCCATGGAATATAAAGTATTCTTCCTATTACCATAAATAAAAATCCACCCCACAACATCATCTTACGTTCGTTAAATCTAAAAATAATTTAGAAATAAATATAAATCTTTTATAATATATTTATATAAGTTATACCTTTTGCATAAAGGTTCAATCATAACAAACGTGACACAGGATGCAATAGCTCCAACACTCATTACTATACCAATATAGTACACAGCTTCCGTTTCTGACCAAGCAAACTGATCCATAATTAAAGAAGTACCAAGTCTACAAGAGAACAAAAAACTGTAAAATGTGATACATGCATACGAAAAATTATGTAAATAAACAATTAATGTACTAACGTTTCAATAAGAACGAAATTAAATACTAAGACAAAGAAAGCACAAATCAATGTCCATGATGCCACATAGTCAGGTTTTATAGACTTCAGCGTTTCTTCTTCTGTAGTTAATAAACAAATTGATTGGTAAGATAACTAAAAATCTATTTATTTATATTGTTACCTAATTTTTTACCTGTTTCTTTCCCTTCATTTCGTATCGCTTCACGTATAGCAATCCTATGTTCCGTGAAATTCCATGGAAGAAATAAAGCAAAATTAAGAATTCCCATTACAACATTTATCCAACCAGTCATAGTGTACATATTAACAGGTAAATTTATAAAATATAAACCATTCTCTCCAAGAGGCGTGACTGCAGCTTGTAAACCAGGTCCTACCACAAATCCTAATACCTATCAAGTTTTAAAACAGATCATATGGCAAGTGTTATTAACATGTATTGGAAGGAAATATCAAATTACATTACCTGTGCAAAAGACACCATAGAAACAGCACGTGTTCTCTCTACAAATTTCGTAGCTGCAGAGAGATAAGACCTTGCTACTGCAATATTAGCTAAAAATTAAATGTTTATACATTACACAAATGATTGTTACTATTATTATTTTATTTGGTAATAGTAACATTGAACAAATTATTAACCAGAGCTAACTCCAACCAAGAATCTAGCAGCTATCATGTACATCTTTCTATTCCCTGGTAGAATTTCAAGAACACTATACATTCCTGATGCAAATACAAAAAGAGCTATTGTCGTTAAAAAAGGTAGTCTCATTGATTTTCTTTTGTCTCCCCACCATCCTACCAGAGGAGAAAATAGCATTTGTCCTAAGGGATTAGCTGCAACCACATATCCCATAAACTCTTTACTAGCTTTTTTATCTAACTGTAACATTATTACATTATTATACATTATAATTTATATTCCCTCCTCTACTTACTTTATGAAGATACGGCCATACTCCAGTAATTATAATACTGAAGCCAAGGGACATGAGAAACATAGTAAAGTAAATTGCATAAATGCTTCTCCATCTCTCTTTTCTTTCGACAACAGTTTCTAGGTCATCATCCACAGGAATAGTGTTTCTATATCAAAGGAATATTAATGTTTTAGTAACAGAAAAAATTAAATACTCAGACACATTTTATTTTATTTCACCTTCTATGAAGAAGCTTCTTGCACCAATCCATTAAAAGTTAAAACATAAAAATGATATAATTATAAATATCTTATCTTCAATGCGAATTTGTAAGACTTAATCCCCTTTGATCTGAAAAATAATAAAATATGATTTTACAATGAAACATAAATTTAAGATATTTTATTGTACATATGTATTAATTTCGACTTAATTATTGTATCCTAATAATTAAATACCGTGTATGCTATAAAATTCTTGTAACAATTCTATTAATTTCATTAATAATCTTACTTTTACTTCATGAAATTATACTTTAAAATATATGCACACATATATTCAGTATGCAGTTTTATATTTACTATTTCAAAAACAAAAGATATAATATTACTTATTCTTATAAAAGATGAAGAAAAAAGATGAAATATTATTTTGAAATTAGAATTATAGATAGAATATACTATAACATGTTCTTTACGATTGATAACTTTCTTTAAAAATGTGCGCACACACACAGCGCTTCCGAGTATCCCAATCACAGTAAATCTGTCACTGCAAACTTAAAAACGTTTGAACCCTGCGTCATCGCAGATGTTTGTGGAATTTATTCGTATCAGACTTTTTCACGCATTAATCATAGTAGTAATTTAAATTGTAAATTATATTGATGAATAAAATGTAATTGTAACGCTCATTTAAGCAACATTGTAACTATGATGTATTTACGTATTTTTTCATTCACTCACTGATAAATATTGATCGTAACTTTAGCGTGACTAAGTACTTTATTAGCTAGCAATCTTTCTTTCAATTGAAAGCATATACTTACATATTTAAACACACGATAGACGCATAACATGGCTTTCCTTTGTTCAATCAAGTCCAATATAATCTGATAAAAACTAAAGAAACACATGTTTTACACCTTACAAATGTAACAGCTGATCAGCTCAATATATATTATGAACATTTAAATTTCTATTATTGCTGCTATTGTATATAAACTTGTTATTAACGTAATACTTTATTTTCAGCCGACGCTTATACATATGCATTGTGCCGTTTGAATCATTCTATCAAATACATTAGTATGTTAAAGATCACACGGTGTTAAAAGTCTTCACATATTGCATATCATACAGTTAAAAAATAGGTCAAACTTCGGTTTAGGGGACCAAAAATTAATAAATAAATCATTTAAATAATTTGTTATCAAAATAAATATATAACGTATAAATTTACATAATAATAATTTCATTCGAATTGATTTCATAAATGTATTCAATGAAATTAATATTTTATTTCTGAACTTTTCAATAAATGATCAATGCCGTTTATCATGCTAGAATATTCAGACTGTTACTTTTAACACTGAATAAATAGGTGATTTTCTTAAATATTTATTGTTTGCTATAAAATCGTTGTGATTACATAACCTAATACATCGGTCTATGTTCAAAATTTATATTAAAAAAAAATGTATTTATATGAGTACAAATGTCAATGTAATGTATAATTATAAAGGAAACAATATATATATAAGAATATTAATTATGTCCTCTGCCCCTTTAGTAAGATGAATGTCTCGGTGGGTAATTTCGTGTTCTGTGCCAACGATTATGCGAAAACCGTCCATGTGATCTGTGCTCCCTGCTATACAAAAAATCAACAATTGGTGGTGTTTTCATATTAACATTTTTCTTTTTCATAAAGTCACTATCCTTTTCTGTATAACGATCTTTGAATTCTTCTTCACATTCTACCAAAAATTTTTGTTGTTCGTCTGTTAACTCTTGTCCTTCCATTTTCTTATTGTATATTTATTAATAAAAATAGTATTCAGCTGTAATGCATAATTAGGTATACAAACTTAAACAATTTACAAAATAATTAATTACATGCATAAGTTATGTTTATACTTACGTCAGAGATATCAATGTTGTACTGATTGAGTTATGAATAATACATCTGTGGAATCGTATTATTTAAAGAATGTTGTTTATCCTAATGTTAATTAATTGATTACATTCCATATAAAATTTATTCTTACAATATATAAAGTAGATGCACACAAGACGAAAATAATGTTACAATTAATGGATAACCTATTTACTTTAGGTTAGGAGTGTTACATTTATGGACCTTTATTGTAACCTTCAATTTCGACCGTATACATTTGGTTCAAAACAATTCTTATAATTATTATATCATTATAGTTCCATGTTATTTATTTTACTAAAAACCAATTATTTTTATTAATATATTTGCATACATTGCATAACATTATATTGAGAAAAAAAACAGCAAATCTAATAGCAGTATAAGACAATAAAGTTTTTGTGTAAAAATTTATGTCTATACCGCAGTTCACCAGAGTCCATAACTGCGACGCGCAGGTTGGAAGATGGTGGGGGAACGCAGCGAGCTCTCTGCTAATCGCTTTCCACTTCGTTTGGGAGTATCGCCAATCAGGGCGAAGATGCGCACTGGAGAAGCGCGAAGAACGTAAACTGGTCTTTTCGCAGTTATGGACTCTGGTGAACTGCGGTATACTCATCTTATTAATTACATCGGTTTCTAAAATTACACTGCAATATATTGACATAGTATAAAAACAAGATTCAATTACATGAATACTTCTAAACAAAAAATATAACAGAAGTAAAAGTTCATTAAATTTTGTAAAACATTTAATTACAAGTTCTCACATGACAAATCATCAAATAAATTTTAAGTTATTTTTAATTTATTAAGACATTTTATATATGCTAAATAATTATAACTTTCTTGCTTAATACATTTTTATACATATTTTTACATTTTCTCAGCATTATACATATTTTTATGCTCAATATTTGTACATGTTTTCAATAAAAAATAAAATTTAGAACTTTTACTTTATTACTTATAAACGTAAATTATTTGATAGTTACGTTTATAAAAATCTAAACAAATATTTATTTTACAAAACCATTTATATTCTTCATTTTACATTTTTATTAAAAAAAGTAACTTGGTTAAATTAAAAAATTCTGGAAAGATAATTCATAAATGACGCTAATATATAAAAAGAAATTTTAAACATATCATTGAATATTTACAGTTAATTTACATGACTGGTTTCATAATTTGTTTTTTGTTTATCATATATACACGTAACCTTCTTTGTTTAAACATAAAACAGCTTGTATCTAAATTGTGCATAGATAATTCACGTGTACCCGCTTTGCATTTTATTCAAAATCCACAGTAACTACCTGCTTATGAGACTTATTATAAATAATATTACTCTAAGTAATACGATTTATAATACTAATACATATTTCTAAAGGCAATCTGCTTTACATCTATAAAATTATATAAACATATTGTAGCGTGATTTTTATAAGTGATCAAAAATACTACTGTAATAAAATGATACTTGTACAATTGGAAGTTTCGTTAGTGTAAAAAATAAATTTTTGAAACCTCCAATTTAATATAATGGTAGGCCATTTAAATTTGTGATCTTAATTTTTAATAAACGTTCTCCCGTCAATCATTGTTAATCATTATTTTCCAAAATAATGTATATACAACTTCACGATGGTTCACGATAGTTCACCGATTGGTGCATTTTGTAACCATAAATCATGTATAAAATTATATAAATCATCACTGACGGCCACCTGTGTAAATATTTTCATCATGATCATTAATTTTTACTTGCTAGGAAAGCATATAAGGAATACGTGGTACTTAGATTGTTTTCCTTGCTAATGAATTTTTAAGTATTTATCTGAAAAAGGACTTACTTTGTATGGTGTAGGATTTAAATTTCTTTTATGATCATTTCTAAGTGTTCTTAAAGATTCCTGAACTCTATTTCGTATTTCTTGTAATGTTAATAATGGTTGACACAATTTACCATTTTTCCAGTATACCTACATATAATTATTGTAATAATTGTTTCCATCATTAAAATAACAACAAAGTAAATATAATAAATTACCTTGTGTAATGGTTCTACTCGCGTAGGAATAACATAAGCTCTTTTTGATTCTTGGAACGGATGTCTACAAAGAACTTTCTGTTTTACTTGCGGGGCTTCTTCCGTTGATCTTTGCAACAGATCAATTAACGCATATCCATCCGCTCCGTATAATCTAAACGCATCTTTTCTTCCTGGTATTGTCACTTTACCAACTTCCTGGCTGAGCTTAATTCTAGGTTGACCATTGATTTCAACCATTTTATAAACACAGCCTAATGCAGGCTGTCTTTGACACGTTACCAAATGTGTTCCAATTCCAAAGCAATCAATTTTATGACTCTAGAAAAAAAATGACCTTTAACAATTTTGTTACTAAACAAATGTTCATTTTTTTCAGATATATTTATTTACCTGTTCATTTAAACTTAAAATAGTTTCTTCATTTATATCATTTGATGCACAGATTGTCAATTTTCCAAACCAGGGTATATTGTATTTGACAGCAATTCTTTCAAATATATCCCTTGCAGTATTACTCAAGTATGCTAAATCTCCGCTGTCAATTCTTATACCAACTGCTTTATAACCCAAGTCATTTAGAGCTAGTGCCACTGCACAGAAGTTTAGTAGCCCACTCCTAAGTAGAAGATTTAGTCATAAGATATACAAAATTTATACAACCGAAAAAGTATGTTATTAATGATACATGCATTTAGACAATATTACCACAGAATCTCTGAAACACAAAAATGTTCATAGACTTGTTTCGTTTCTTAAAAACCTCGCTACAATAAATTCTACATTTAACAGTATATAAATAATATACACGCATTATAATGATTTTATCTAAATGGAAACTTAAGTTAAATAATATTAATATCTACTGGCATGATTAGTACTTTATCTTAGGTATGAAACATGCACTACCATTAAGTATAAATACACGAAGTCTTAAATAAAGAGTTTGAATAGTTAATTAAAATTACATGCAAGCTTTTAATTTCAAAAACTTACTATAATGTTTATTGTTTTAAGAATATTTTTGTAATTACAAAATAGGATTTAATCACACGATTCTTTAGACGTTTACGGTTCTGATTGTTATAGTAATAATACTGTTTTTTAGTTAAATGGCTGAATTGGGAAGGGTACTATATAAGGTCGTATACTTGTGACAAAAACAGTACAAAACTTTACAAATTTTTTAACGAAGTAACTTACTGTTCCCTTGATCTTCTGTTATAGTTGTACAAAACAAAAAGAAAAAAAAAAAGAGCATGAAATAATGAAATCTGCCCGCTTTACAGAATGATGTTTTTATTTATAAATTAACTAAACTCAGTAGAATAACAATTCATGATTTTGCATTCTTTTATATATCAGTGTTTTTCGTGTGACTGGTAATTAATGTAAGATTAAATAAAATGAATATTTAATTAAATGAAATTTTAGTAACCAAATGATTAATTGTAAATAAAAAAATAGTGATTTATTCTGCAAAGCAGACAAAGAGGATAATATCGTACCTCACATAGAGCTCACCCAATTCGCCTCGTCTTAAAAAGCCATTCTTGTGATGTGAAGTCGATTCTGATATAATTGGATTGTTTCTGACACCATTTTGGGCATGTGTATTGGACCCATTTGCTAGACGTTTATTCTTTACATTTAGGCTGGCTATACATGCCTGTCTCTTGGCTGAGGCTTCGACGCTATAAACACACTCCTGTTAGGCTAAGTGTGTATATGTTTCATCATGCCTGCTTTGTGAATTTGTAATTAGAATTACTAATAGATTTACCGAACCCAATGATATATATATTTTTTTGTCAAAAGTGAAATTAATCATTGTCCTATAACGTTTAATTTTGGTTCTCGTATACATATACATATATATGTATAATATTTCTAATATTTCGATATTTGCAGGCACTCCTTGTTTCAATATTTTATATTCATGCATATTAAAAAGAGGAGAAAATAATATCTACAGCATAATAAATCATTAAATAAATTATCACAACCTTACAATTAACAAAATATTCCACAACTACATTAATACTAAATATTGCATACTGTTCGATACATTAAACTAATAAGAAAACGAGGCAGTGCACATTTAAATTAAATACAAATGCATACATGCAAATAGAGACATTAATGTTAGAAATAGATTACAAGTACAATATCTACTTACATATGCGAAACATACAAAAGAAAAAATTGATATATTTCAGAAACAAGAAATGTTGAATGAACGAATAAAATATGAATGAAATGAACACAATACCATACCTTTTCACATCATATGTGTCTACAAGAGCAACAAATCGTTGTGGGAAAGCAATGGCATAACTAATCAAAGCAGCTAACTCTCCACTAGAAGCCTCAGAAACTAGTGTTCCTACATCAGCTGCAATGGAATCCCGATGTTTGTAAGCTAATTCTAGAAGATCATAAACCTTTTCTGTTTCTTTATGTACCAAATTCTGAAAAAGATAAAAGACATTAACATTAAACATAATTTTTCTCGTATTAAATCGTTTAAAATACTTACTTTTTCCTGCAAGTCATCAATGCTAGTGAAGGATGTAATGTATGCGTGCGCGTGTGTACCGCTTACAGGAATATTATACAGTTTTCCTGCCAAAACATTACTTGTCCCATCGAAACCACCTGAAAAATAATTCATTCATGTTCATATTCTTATTTGTAGCTTCATTGTAGTTTCAATACTTGTAGTATTGTAAATATTTAATAAAGATATAATAAATATTGTACCTATATAACTATATTTAGAGGCACTTAAACCACCATCAGGACCCTGAGCTCTTCGAAGACCAAATTCTAGCAATGTTATATTTTTCCCAGCAACCATACGATATCTGGCTGCATTTGTAGCCATTAAACTTGCATAGTTAACTAAGGTTAACAGTGTTGTTTCCAAAAGTTGTACCATTATTAATGGACCTTCTACTCTTAGTAATGGTATTCTGCATAACATATCAATTTGTATTCAAGTTTTAACTTATTAAGATTTGATGTTTCATCAAATATGTAATGTTGATAAGCATTCGAACATTAACTCTAACTGCTGTCTTAAGATCAAGAAAGTTTCCTAAACGATGACAATGATGACGATGATTAACATAACTAGACAACACCTGCATGATACATGCAACTTCCATAGAGATTATACTAACCTTGGAAAAGCAACTGAACCTTCTTCCATAGCGTATATTGTGACATCTTTTGGGGTAAGGCCTTTTAAATATTCAAAAAATCTTTGATCCACCGATGATGGCATTATTGACTTCAAGTATTTAATATCTGCATGTTAAGGTTTCATTAATATATTTTACAATATAAAGGATATCTTAAATATGTAAAAGTTCATATTATTTAAATGATAAAATATTAAAATATATGTAGATACATACCACTACAAGAATAACGAAATTTCTCTAAAAACTTAATACATTCCTCCAGGCCAGCAAAGATTGTAAATTCTCCTTGAAAAGGATTTTTACGAAAATATAAATCAAATACAGCATGATCATTTATTTTGCCACTTTTCCAATAAGCGTATGCCATTGTGATCTGATATAAATCTAAAATAAAATGTTTATATTGTAAATGGAACAATGTGCTAATAAATAAATATTGTGACATAATCAAATAACTAACATTTTGTATTGTTAAGCATTCTTAAGTTGTATTAGATTAAAAGAAAAGAATTTTAAAACAAAAAGTTACAAAAATTTCCTATTAAAATTATTATAGACGGTTCACGTGGATCATATTTTGAAACAACACGTGTTACATCATTAGTTAATATATACATATATGTATATATATATATATATATATATATATATATATAGAATAAAACTATAAGATAAAATAGTCCGGCGTGTTTTGAGGTTATTTTTCGGAACAATGTTTTTGAACTTGGTTCATTAACGTTGCATAAATTTACATCATAAGTACCTGTCAAAAGTGGTTGAACCACACAATTTTGACGCGAGTGACACCATGATATACCCTCGTCATCTGACATTTTCTTTCAAATTTTAGTAGACACAACTTAAAACGGTACGATTGAAAGAAAAAAAAAAATATTGCAATAGTTTCATCCAACAGCGACGAACGTTACCAGCAGTCACTGAACGACAATCGGTCAGGCACCGTTACCGACGAACTAACATGTTTCGACGGTGAACTTCGTATTATAGGTCTCCGTGTACTCCCAGAATCGATAGGAACGTTTGAAGGACGTTACGAACGACGCGACCTGTTATTCCGCCATTCCCACCAATAGTAAAGACTTTTCTTAAAAAATTACTAGGAAGCCTGTTATAATTTTCGATCAAGAACGCAAACGCGTAGAAAGTGTATTACAGGTTTTATTACTGCACTCTACCATCGACTTTTTATTTCATTTGCCTCCTTCCTTTACTATTCCCCCTCCTCTGTACGTGAGTTGCAACTAATCGACTCTTCAAAAATTCAAATGAAATTGTAGATTTGAATTACTTTATATGCATTATTTGTTATAAAATTTAATTTATTTTTAATTTGCTTCATTTTAATATTTATCCTATAATCTGTACGGTTAAAGAATTGAAATTTCATCTTCCTAAATAACATTCTATTTTGTTATAATGGTATATAAAGGATATCTTTATATAACAATTATTTCTTTTTTTGGCATCAACACTAAGTTATTAGTATTATTATCATTGGTGACAGTATGTATCATTGCATTAATTACAATAACGTTATCGAAACAGAACTCCTTGAAAAGAATTTACAATTTCTCTGAAAGCTTGAGCAATAACTAAATCTTTCTTCTTTGAATAAAACAAACAAGATAATATTTATCCTTCGGTACATAAGCGTCATCATAAAAAGATCGTTTTTAATACCTCTAGATTTGTTAGTCTAGACAAGACTTTTAGATGCGTTTCGTTTTGCATGCTGTTCTAATTTTTTTTTTTTTTTTTTGGTTTTAAAGATAGAATCACGTCAAACGGTACCATGGTACAGAAAATATAATTATAGCATCGGTACTCGTGGCGATGGGAGAATTCTTCGATTAAACACGTACATCGTTAGGGGCAACATGTTCATATACAATGACGACCTTGCTGTAATGATAACAGCATTGCAGCTGTTCTTCTTTGGACATGGGAAACTTTTAAAATTGGGAAAATTAGAGTGTAACTGTGAAACATATAATCGCGTGCTTGGCTGACGTGTGATGCAACTTCAAACATAGATTCCTTCCGTGCTTGTGGCCGAGTTAATTACTCCTTCACTTGAACTGTTCGCGCCGCTTGCGCAACACCGTTCCACGATTTCTCTGAAATTGAATCATTTTTCAACGATTATGTCTGTAAACAGAAGAACTGCGTCTGATGTTTTACTTACTGTTGACTCAATGATAAACAAAAAGCTGAAAGAAATAATTCATTATTATTGTAAATTTCAGTATTGAAAACTCTACTGTCTAGCCTCTTTTCTATCACATAACAGAGACCTCAACACACATTAAATATAATACCGGGAAAAATAGAACTCGTGATATCTATTCGAGCGTAGTTTATCAAATGTTTCATAACATTAATCTTCCGTTACGCGTACGAGTTGTTTTATTCAGATTCAGTGATAATTCTCGATCGCTACGCATCTAAGATACCGAATGAACTTTAACCCTTTGACTGAGGCGCGATCACGGAAAAGTCCATCAATACGGACGGCGCGTTATTCGCTTGTCGATCGTTACCACTGGTCGGATAAAACTATTAGTTCCCTATTCAATCAATTGGTGAAACAGTAAAGATGTTGTAGAAAGAAAAATGCGAAGGGCGTGTATACACGCATTTCGTAGTCAAAGGGTTAAACGCTTTCTAACTTTTCTAATCGCTATGAATTTTAATTCCTAAGTTATATACATATGTGTATATCGATAGAGTAAGTGGTATATTAGCATTATTACATTGCTGTGGCGGGAGTAGGTTAATGATAGAGTTACTTAGCGCGTTGTTATCTCACCCTACTTTGTCACTCATTTATCCAATCGTTCACAGGAGTAAACAGATTTTTCCCCTCTAAACTTATATCCTCTATATTATTCAACGTTCATTTATTGAAATGACTACACTGTTGAAGTACAAGTTGATAGTGTTTTCTCGTTCAGTTATACTGTATCAAACAATTGATTGAAAACAATACGAGCGCTATCAACTCCTTGTCCGATAAGTGCAATTTTCCATTGACCTAGACTTTAATTCAGTTTACAAGCGTGACAGAATAGCTGTATCAATATAAACAACATTCTAGTTTGTTGTCATCCAATGCAACCTTCATTTTCTAATCCTTCTGACCCCTTTCCTCCATTTATATATGGGAGTGAACAAAGTAGGACAAGATTCTAATTTAACTCGACCAGAATTTCTCGGATACACGCGATGCTCGAATTTACTTTTGAATGCAATCGCAGAGTTTCGAAACTTGTTTGCAAATAAAAAAACAATGTATTGCAAATTCATGCTACTACAATAATTTAAACAAAAAAAAGGGAATAGAAAAACAGTGAACTAGAAGGAGAGTCGGATTCAGAAGTCTTGCTTGGGTGACACAGAGTAGAAGTTTTTATACAATTATTTTATTAAGTGTCACAATCGATATTATCGAAAATTCATATTGTAATTCTACATGAAACTATCCAGTGTTTATCTGCCAAAGTACACTACGTTTATTCACTGATTACTGGCACTTCTGAGATATCGTTAATCGCTAATTAAACACTAATCGCCCTTGTTACGAGGACTTTATAAAAATACTCAATTTTTGACCCCCTACAGCGAGAGCTGAGCAAACTTTAATTAATGAAATGTATATTTCTGAATTAAAAAAATTAAAAAATGAAATGAGGTCCTTTTAATTATTGAAATAAGAATTACAATATTTTTTTTTTTTTTGGAAGGAATGGCATTTGGCAGTCTTAAGAGGTAGAATAAAAGTGAAAGGAATATGAAAATTTGCTCATCCCTGCTTTAAGAACTAGATGTAAAAATTGAGCCATAAGAGTGAGATCATAAACGATCCTGTTTCTTCTTTTTTCCTGTATCTTTTTATCAAAAATTGATTATTTTTTTTTTTTACGCGCGCGTACACAATTATTCGTATTTAATTAATGATATAATTGGCAAGCATACGCAAAGATGTAATTGCAAAATATATATTGTATTTCTAAATAAGCTAGAGTGACCCGTGCATCGAAGCTTTCGCATTTAATCGATCATTACTTGGACTACATTTTTAATTCATAAAATCAGGATAATCCTTTTAACCCGGTTGTGCTCTTCACTTATATACGCTTTCATTTTGTAATTACTTGAAATGTGTTATATTTTATCAAGTTTGAAAATAATTTATTCGTAAGAAAAATGTAAGATACTAGAGAAGTAAATGCCTAAATGGAAGTAGAAACGTAATCTTCGACTGAGGATTAAACGATATTTGAATAACGAATTCGATGATATATCTTTCATATTTCCTTTGGTCCATTTCATTTTCATTAAGGCGAAAGCTTGATCACCCTTTTTACTACACTAACGTAGCAACGCGATTACATGTGAATTTTTATTAATCGTAGTTACTACTTGTCAATAACGTAATTATCGTCGTATATGTTTCCATTATCGAACATTCTCGTCTTGGACTATCCAGCACGTGTGCGAATGTATACGATACATACGGAAGCACAGGCTATGATCTCTACAAATTACAGTGGTTCCACGCTAAAACCTATCTAAAATTTCCTAAGGGCTACTCAGACTTTAGTTAACATTCAGTTTAATCATAATTCTGCTTAAAAGAATAACATTATGATCGCTTATAACGTTATTTATGGCTCCTACGGTTTGTTTATAATTAATTACTTAATACTGCATCCGAATAAACTAGACTCATCCGATGTCGTTCAGCTACTTCTTATGCTTACACTTTACTCTAATTTGACACAGAATTTTAGTATACAGTCTTAACGTTATTTAATTATGATAATTATGTACTGTGCTAAAAATATGCCGTGATCTACAAAATTTCTTTCATTCTCTCGAAGAATGTCTCCTTTTTTTCTCTTTGTTCTTTTGGTCATTTACGGCTTTTTGTATATAAGTATCTTATTTAATACTTGCTGTCAGACAGCTCTTTGTAATGGACAAAATACGTAACACGTTTTCTTTTAGAACCTTCATCACCGCTCAAATTCATTTTTGACAATAAAGAAATAAAATCGCATTAGTTATAAAATAATTTGAACGTTCAATCTTTTGTGCTATCACTTAATACTTTTAAAAAATATTAATCCCCCATTTGTACCTAAATATAAAAAAAAAAGAAAGAGAAAATTCATACTTAATTGAGGACTAACTTTTGAGCGCACGCAATCTTCTTCCTTTTCTTTTATATCTACGATATTCAACCCATCGGACACGAATGAACTTGTATTCCTACGAATATATCGCCGATTTATAAAAAATCACAGTTATCTTACACTTACTTTTTTTCTACTAAACAGTTATTAACTTCCTCTAGATAAATTATAAGAAATATCATTTTAATCCTAAACTTTTTAAGGCTTAATACTTTATTGTATTCATTACCGATGGGTCTTGATACTAATTTAAAAAATAATACTGTTTCAATTGAATGATGATATTGATATCGTATCGCTTAAACTAAACTCATGTGTTATGTATAATTTTCAAATGTTGAGTTACAAAATTGTTCCTAAGAAATGGTATCAAGGCGATCTAAATAGAATTTCTACCCTTAAAGATGAAGAAGAAAATGTATACAAGTTAAATATTGATAAGTGAGTAAAAAATACAAATTTCTTATTCTGACTAGAGAGTTAAAAACCTATTGTTATTATCACTTGTACTATATATGAGTTAATAAATAATAATTATTAAATGTATCAACAACAATGGAAGTATATGTTCAGTAACATTGATAAGTTAAAAAATTAAAAAAAATATATATTTCTCTCTATTTTATATATAAATAAGTTACGCGATAAGAGCAAACAACCAAGTGCTTGTTAACAACAGTAACGTATCTAACACTAACGCTTAAATGAGTCAATTAAAGGATACAAAATTTCCGTTGCTTCTTACGTTTAGCACCATTGATATTCAAAACTGAAGCTCATTTTTCTCGTGATAGCTAATATATTATATTAATTCGATCATTCATAAATTGTTACGTTTCTCTAAAACCAATCTTCGTATTGGCTACCCATGGTTCATCTCATTAAATCTGCAGCTCTTTGTCTATCACGATGCACCTCCCGAGGATGCATTCTTTTACGATGTGAGAAACAATTTCCAGAACTCGCAAAAGCTTTTGGACAATATGGACATTGATAAGGCCTTGCACCTGTATGTTGGTTTATGTGAAATTTTAAATCTTGATTTCTCTTAAACGTTTTATCACAAAGAGGACACGCGTGTGGCCTCAAGTTTGAATGTGTTATACTATGAGCGCGTAATGTAGAATTTGTTGGATAAACTCTTCCACATACATTACATGGAAATTGTATCCTACCATGGTATTCTTTGTGTTTGAATAAATTTGACTGTGTTTTAAAACTGAAAAACAATTAATAATATTATTACGAGTTATTTTACAAAATGTTTTATTAATGAAGTAACTGTAATACCCACATTCTTCCGCATATATCACAACCGTATTTTCCTTTAGGCCGATGAGTTTCCAAATGTACTTTTAGATTTCCTTTAGTAGAAATTTTTTTGCTACAAATTGGACAGATAAAGTTACCAGACGAATTATTATCAGTGTTCATGTGGAGTACACCATTTGTAGAATAAACTTGTTGAGATTTTAAAATAGGCTTTCCTTCGGGTCGTTTATCTTTAGGCAAATGAGACCATAAATGATTTTGTAGACCAATTTGAGATATAAAGGATCTAGCACAAATTGTGCATTCATGAGGTTTTGTTAATGCATTAGAAACAACATCTTCGCTATCTTCTTGTGATCTATCATTATCTTCTTCCTTCTCTTCTTTCTTTATTTCATCAATTCTATAAGAAACATATTCTCTAATATATAGATCATTTCAAAGCTTATTGACAGTAGCTGAAACATTCTTACTTATTTATTAACGATAATGGTTCTGAAGTATTTATCCTTGTTGAGTTTTCTTCAATGTCTGAATCTTCTGAAGTTTCTGATGCTGAATGTTCCATTCCACACTGTAAAAATATCATTGGATCTACTTTGACTTCCATTTCTTCCATACTTGGTGTATGACACTTATCTTCTTGTGATAATAATTCTGATGGTCCCAAAGGCTCACCTTCAGCTAAAATTTCTATTGCCCCCTGTAAAATAATGTATATTTAGTATATATCCATAAGCTAATTTATTATAAGTAAGAATCATAATTTACTTTTGTTAATATTGTATGCAATAATCCCCGATCCTCTATTCTCTTTGTTGTATCTTGCATATCCTTAACACTTTCCATTTCTACATCTTGAACAAAACTTACATTGTCAGTACTACTATATAATTGTGATTTTAATTTTTCTTGTGTCCTATATGCCATCATTGCAAAGCGGTGAATGCTTTCTAATCTTTTTATACATGTAGCACATACCATTTTTGATAATTTATCTTCAGATGACACCTAAAACATAATAATAGAATATTAATAATCACAATTATATTAATAATAAAACATTAAAAGAACAAGTGAAACGTGAACGAAAAATTTAAAAAATTGTTTATGATACATAATTAAAAATTAATATAAAATTGTTTTATTTGTAAGATTTATTTATTAAATAAAATTCAATTTTAATCTTATAGTATTAATTAAACTTCTTGTTATTGGCTGTGAAATTTTTATTTAACATTAATATTATGTAAAAGATTTCGTACATAATTTTTTTTTTAAATACTACGCATTACTTATGAACATCCTATATATTGAATTATATTTATAGATGCGCCAGTTATATAGCGCATACAGTATACTTATTGTAATCAATAAAATGCTAATTTTTAACACTTCTACATTTTTACTAAAATGAATAATTCTACGTTACGGTTTTGATATATTCTACACTTTTAAGTTAAACACACGTACACAAGGATTAATTAAATAAATTTTCATTTATTTTACATCGACATGTAAAATTAAATGTATAATTCATTTAAAATATGTCACTTTTTGTAAACACTCACGATTTAACAATGCTATTGATTTAAAATTCTTATACAATTAATTAATATAAATATAAAATTTTATTTTCAACACTAAATATTCATAATTAACTCTATTAAACATAATGAATTTACTTGTCTTTCGTTATCTTCCTTATACATATACGTATTTCCATCTTTTCCATACATAAAAAGGGCGAATACAAGTTATAACTTGATAAAAATCTATACATTTTATATAAGAACATTAAAAATAAAATAATTAACAATTAACGTTTAATCATACCTGGTGTACAAAGCTATACTCGATTAATTAGGAGATCTTGTTTTTATAATCATTATTAAATTTTACATTATTTATTAATGAATTACAAATTACTTCTATTTGAAATAATTAAATGACGTACATGATCTTTAATTTTCAATTTTCTAAATAATAGGTAAAATTTCAAAATTTTATACAAATTTTCAAATTTCGAATATAAATAGGGTACGAGAAATGATTGAGCGCGAAGGATCGGAAGAGAATTTCAATCGAGATTTTGAAAAAAAAATCTGCACACAGCATCCAATCTAATCGCGTGTATACATATAGTGCGCATACAAGTGATCCCGCTAATTCACATGGAGCACAGGCAGACTTACCAAGATGTACAGATATTTTCGTATTTTGGTCTGCAGGTAGTGCCGTCTACCATCCTCGGCGAAAATGTGGACCCCGTCGTTTCTTGGTATGTCACTAGCACAAATTCGACAGTGCAGCTCGTCCTCTCGATCGCGCTCAAAATCGCGACCCGCCGTACCCATTTCAAAAAAAAAAAAAAAAAAAAAGAAAAAACAAAAGAGCAAACTGACAAGATACCACCACGATAAAATGACGTTGTTTTTCACAATTAATACATATGTAAACACGCTTAAAAAATGATTAATGTTAAACGATTTCACGTGATCCCTTTCACAATATTAAATTCATTGCTTATGTTATTTCCCCCCCACCCTCTTTCGTTATCTTAGCACCTCGATGAAAAACGTCGAAAATGTTCGATATAAAACTTTCAGCAATGCATCGTTATGACATGCCAGCGTGTCTGAGAGGGTTGATTATTCTAACGATTTTTTTTTACTTATGAGTCTCCCGGATTGGGTGAGATTACTTCGACACAACGTTGACGCTTTAAAAGCGACGTCGGCGCCGGGCGTCGGCGTCTCTCCCGAAACGAGTGCTCAATACAAAATATATAATAGCATTCGTCGATTTGAAAAACATATGTATATAACCAATTGTTTTATTTATGGATTTCACTCATATTAAACGATATTACCACTAATATGTTACAATATACCTTTTGCAGCGTTTGTTCGTTATTTAAACGAGAATTTCATGTTTCTTGTAAAATATATAATATTTGTACTGATAAAATACTACTTCTTGCTATAAATAAAGAATAAAATGTATCAGCGCGGCACTCTTAATTGGTCCGCCATCTTCTTTCACCCATTTGGCTGTACTTTCTATTTACTTCTTTAATGATTCCTTAAAACTGTTTCGTATTCCGTAACTTAATAAAATCGCAAGTTTCTCCTGTTAGAAGTTAATCTCGATCCATAGATTTTTTAGAAGTTAATCGGTATCAATGAATTTAAAGATAATTTTTCCAAACTTTCCCGCCATTTTTCTGATTGTGTATTACTACGCGCCTAAAGGGTGGGATAAATGTGAACGTTTTTGTCACTACAGAAAGTAGTTCCAAGTACTTCCGAACGAACAGCCTCCCCCTGGAACATTCTACGTCCCCATTTAAAAAAATCAATACTTAATAATTAGCAATTAATACTGTTCAAGTATATATGATTGCTGTCATCTCTTCTGTCATTTTTACTGAAGCTAGCGTTTTTTTTTATGCATATCTGTATGAGTAAATTAATAGCTATTAGCATTCCACTAATTTTTACATGTATGTAATAAAAATATTGTACCTAATATGTATTAAGAAATAAATAGTAATGAAATTGATGTATTTTACATTATTACTTCAAACTTTTGTACTAATAATATGCTGTTTCTATTTCACAAAACATACAAATATTTTAGAATATAACAATATATGTTAATTAATTAATGATTCAGTTAAATAGATACAGTAATAAAATTATGTCGTACCGAATAATTTTTCGCGCCATTTACTGTCACTTGCCAAATTTTAGTCTTCTAGCGACATCTATCAAATCAGCACTAGACTCAATTACTACATTACCCAATCCTGGAAATACTTTATATTTTACAGATACCTATAAACCATTGATTAATTTTCCTTCAATGTGTTAATTATTAAAAACATATTAAACCACTGAAGTAAAGTTGGTGCGGAATATCAATTTTTCTTAACAAGTTGTATCCTAAAATATTGCTCCCCATTTGCTTCCTCGGAATCTAAAATTGCTCCAATAAATAACGGAACACAGTTTTCTTAAATAGTTAGTCGCTAAAGCGAGTCGGTTCGTTAATTAACCAGTAAAATGAATAATGAGTTTGATTCGAAAGTCGATTGTCAAAATAATTAATTATACTTAAATGAGTTATTAATAATTTTGTACCTCTTGGCATACCTCCTTCTGACAATGGTGGGGTATAGTCGTTGATATCGAAACAATCTACTGTTACGTATATGTAAAAGAATATATTTATTAAATATTAACTGAAAATAAACATCATAAACTGGTCAATTTACAAATATTAATGATTTATTCTTGTTATTTTTTAACATTTTATAAAGCATTGTGAAATTACCATTGTCCTAACATTTAGCTTTATTTTGAATTGGTAAAAATAACTTGAATTCAGCAGGCAACTCATCTTCAGAATATAATCTATCAGAGAAGTATACTCTTCGTATTCTACAATTTGCATGAATTTGAACTCTTAATGTTTCTACATAATTGGTTCCATATGCACGTCTAGTGAAGTCAGCTAAGTTAAATTGGATTTGATTCCATCCATCGTCTAATCTCATTGGCATTGTACAAATAAATGGTTTTACTCTAGTTGTAGATTGGTAATTACTAGCACGAAATCTACGGCGTACATTTTTATCATCAATTACCTAGAGGAAAATAATTTATTAAAATTTGTTGTTTCAGAATATTTTTAGCTGCAATTAAATAATCAACTGCTCTTTACCTGAACCTCAAATGTAAAATATTTCTTTAAATTCTTAATTATCATGACCAAAAATGGTAACTTTATTCCTAAAGTTTTTCTTGGATCTGCAGGGCAGGTAATATATGTGGTACTGACATTGCTACCCAATATTTCCAGTACTAAACTTTGTATATCATTGTCTGTAATTCGTTTTATGTGTCCATTTCTTACTTTCTTATCCCAAATTTGTAGAGGCTTGCTGCCAATGCTATACAAAATTGATAAAAACCCACTTTGAAATGTGTTTTTAAACATGTTCACTTATTTATTTCACTTCTGGTAGTTCCTTTTTATTTCTCCTAACAATTTGTTTTTTTCCAAAGTATATACCTGTAGAAGTTGAAAAATATTATATTTCAGTTTTTGTTTACAACTTAACCTTCCACTGCTTTATACTTCGAGACTCACTGAGAAGTTACATGTTTTAGGTAATATTATTTTCGATGCAGCATAACCCACATAGCACTCAACATTATTTAATGGTTAAAATTATTTGTTCTTTAATTCGACATGTTCTTTGAAAAATTTGAATTGCTAAATAACTTTAGCTGCGAACATAACCTACAATATTTGTGTTTGATCAATGGTGTCACTGATTTGGTAGGGAATCAAAAATCGATTGATTTCGATTGTATCGAATTTGAATTCTCGTTATCGAAAATTTCAATTTGACTTACAATTAGCTTTGATAGATTTACAATAATTGTGAATGACGAAAATATAAAAATACAAATGTAATTCCATTACGTAAATTATTGAAAATAGACGTAATACAATGTTAACGTTTTTACATTCGTTTATTGATGTCAAATACAAACCGATAAAGTTTAAATAAGCAGTAGATACCTACGTATTAAACAATCACTTTTTTAAAACGGAGTTAACGATTTTTCGGCATAAAAAACTTTATCAGTGTAAAATCTTTACTGCCATGATCTACCTTGCAAATTTTTTCGATAAGATCGTTCTGTTTTAATCGACGTTTCTGAAAATCACATTTTACAACTGTACTCTCTGAAGGAATGAATAAGAGAAACAAAGTAACTAACTTATTTTACGCACAACTTTCATTTTCTATACCACAACATTAAAAACAATAATCGTATATCATAATCACCTTTGATTCATTATTAAAAAAAAAAGGATGTTCTAATCATTTTTTCTTTTCCAATACAAACATGTAAAGCATTACATGACAAAATTAACGTAACGGTTCAATGTTTAAACAAAAAATTCTGGATAACTATACATGTTTTAGTTTGCTTTTACCGAAATTATTTCCTTAACTATCGGTACATGATCGCTCAGATAAACTTAATTCTTGAAAATCTTATAAGCTGTTACTTTTGTACATACATATCAATAAATTAAAGCACAAAAAGGCAATACTTATGTTGTTATCGTTTTATAGCTTACAATCTAGTAACAAATCAAGCGTATAGATATCAATGCCAATGTTACATTCGCCCGATAGTTACAGATTTAAGTGGAAAGCATTGCATTGTAAAATAAGTGTTTAGAACATGACCTTTTTTTTATTTGTTATCTCTTGGAATCACATTTATCATCATATTCCTTCGAGATACTTCCACCTTCGCACATCTTAGTAATTAATACTTTATTCACTTATTGTTACGACTAACTATTGTATTACAGTTTACGCGGATAAAATAGGTCCTGCAACAGGGTTATATCTCCGTAGGATTCATGTTTCCTTTCTTTTTCTTTATCGAAAGAAAAAATCAAACTATCAGAAACATGTTGTCGCTATTTTATCATTGTTTTTTTTTTTTCTATTTAGAACAGCGAATCCCACGTGAAGAAGGAAGGCCCACCTAGAAGCGATATCTCAGAAAAAGGAACATTCATTAACTCGTCCCCGAGCAACCTATAAATTATTTCGGAAGGTATCGCGTTACGAACTGTTATCTGAAAGAAAAAAATTATTGATAATAATACAGGCAATCCTTCTCTTTCTTTACCTCCGTGATACAGAGCATGTTACAGATTGTGGGTGTAAGCAATCAATTATATATTACTGAAATTTAACAGTCGTTTGTATAAGTTTCCCTTTTTTTTTTTTTTTTTTTTTTTACGGTTCATTAACATTCAAAAAATCCTATTGAATAATGTTATGAGGATAATGAATGCAAGATAAGTTTTTTTGAGAAACAGGATACCGTATTCTTCCTTGTTCATAAATAGTCTATCTCTTGACCTTATCTTCATTCATTATCAGATACTTTTCTTTTTTGTCTCCAGCATTATTTTAGTATCGTTATAAATCGTCGGCAATAAGTCAAAATTCGACAACGTTGTTTTATTGGTTTCTTGATTAAGATAAAATCAAATTGTGCCTCTTCCTAATAATTGTGACGCAACGAGACAAATTTTGAATTATTACCATTTTGACTACAATTTCCAATACATCCAAATCATCTTTAATTTTTTTTTCTATTTTTTTTTCATTTTTTTTTTCCTTTTTTCTTGTTTACTGGATAACGGATGTATGAAAATCTGAATGTCCTTTACTTCTCAATACCTTGTAAAACACGAATATAACCCCAGAGTGCTTCTAGGCCCCGTAGAAAAGCAAATTGGGGCAATAATATGAATATATCGTGTTACCTTTTTTCAATTTTATAAATTCGAAAACGAAAGCTTGTAATATAATCGAATATACTTGAAGGGTCTCCAACCAGTTTCTAAATCTTTATCTTGTGTTTTGTCATATATTTATTCTTAATATTTTAATTAAGATCATTATTATTCAGTTATCGCATTATTAACTGAACAAAGCGATACAAATCAAAAGCATTGATTTATCTGTATCTTTGTCGCAAATTATAAAGAATTAATTACTTAGTTGGAGACGCTTAATACACGTTAACACATTAAAACTTTGAACTCAATTTAGTTTCGAAGAAATCATTATTAAAGATTTGAAACGATGAAAAATTCTGATACGTAATACGATGATTTTGTTAAAATTATTTTTAGATCCATAAATTATTTCGCTGATTCATGCGTACTCGCATTAGGTAATAAGACATAACAGACATTCTATTTGCAAGAAATGAGAAAGCCAAGGATTAAATAGAGAAATTAAGAGATGGCCGCATTTCATCTCAGATTTCAATATTTTCACTTAATGTTTCTACGATGTTTTTCATGATCATAAACCACAATATTTTGGAAAATGACCATTTCAATTACGAAATCGAAACAATTTACGTTCATCAGTTGTGATCCTATCAATGAAATTGTTATAATAAATAGAATCGATAATCACTGTTAGGATCACAATTTTGATCAAGCACCAATAATCCCTCTTGTCTCGAGATGTTACTATATTTTCAAGCGCAGAAAAATAATTTAAATTATATATTCCATTAGATGATTATATACGCAAAGCCTACGTTTTTTTTACCACACTCGCAATAGATTGACTGCGATCAACTATTTCTTGTAAAAAGAAAAGGAAGAAAAATATTTCTGGATACTTATCAATGATTCATTTTTATTGGTGCTTGAGCATTTTCTCGTGCAATTAAGGCACTGCAAAAGATTGATTCCTCATAAAAAGCTACTGATCTCTAAAATTCGCGATCCATTATGTTAAAGAAGCAATGGCGTAACATACGAAGACCGAGAGTCATCGGTGATTCAATGTGTTTGAAGTTACCGTGTAATAAGGCCCAGAGAGATAGATTGAGAAGAGTCATTTTCCCTCCGAATAGTTCATTCAACAACTGTAATATATGTAAATACATTAATGAAAGTAAAACATATGATTAAAAATACATAAAAATATTTTAGAAGGAATACATCAAAAACAACACATTAATGAAAATAGAAAATTATAATCTTGATAACGAAAAAAAAAAAAAAAAAAAAAAAAAAAAATATTAAAAACAATAAAATAATGATAATTAAAGGCTTGTGCTCATTTATCTAATAAATTAAGGAAAATTTAATTAAACTGTTAATCTTAAAAACTTTACAGTTCCAAAAATTTTACATGATTTACTATCATGTAATTTCACTATAGGTTTAATTTCAATATCATTATTAAAATTAGGCAATACTAACATTAATATTAAATCTATGATGAAATTATGGACTTTTTAATGATCTTTCCTAAATATTCTCATTTTCATTAATGACTGTATGAAACATCTTTAAGTTAATTTTCCTTTGCAATGCCTTAAAGGGGCAATGTAAATTAAACTTATCAGTAAGCCTATCTTAAATACTATATAATTACTTATCAATAGCTCCATCCATTATATTGTTTTTAACTTGAATGCTAATGTGTATTCCATCTCCAGACGCACCTTTATCTTTTTTCGGTTGTGAATTGGATCCATTATCGAGACCCAGCTTACTTAAAGTACGCAGGGCTTTTAATGCAGCTTGATTACGGCTTGCAGTTCTTGTCGGTCCATTTCCATGACACACTTGTGGCGGATCAGTACTTAATGTCACGAGCGATAGATATTCCTTATTCACTGCTCCCTGAAATCATCATACAAAATAAGCGTAATTTTTTTTTAATTGATTAAATTATTTCGATACAGATTTTAACACTTGCGATTACATGTTATCTGTTCGTATAATATTATCTACCTTAGGAAAATCATTGAACTCCACGCTGAAGTTAAATAACCGAGAAAGATATTTCAATTGATCTTTGGGAGAAACAGTGGCTGGGTTTTGTTGCTGTTGTCCTCGTAGTTCTTCAGCAACAATCTGTACACTAGGTCCGCTACCTAATTTAGATTCCTGACCTCCGTCCACTAATAAAAGTCCAGGTACTAACTGACGTCCAATAGTTCCTGATTAAAGTCAATCAATTTTCAAAATGCTCATGTACAACAAATAACATGTATACCATGATTAATTATTACTATATAGTATCTTTTTATGTCTCACCTCCTACTGGTTGATGAGATTGAGTATCATTAATTTGTTCATCTTCTAAGAAAGTAACTTTCCTAGGTTTCTGTTCTGTGTTTTCGCTTTCTCCTGTTTTGATCGATGGCTTTGTGGGCTGTGGCTGTGGTTTACTGTAACCTAATTGGGTTAGAAGAGCTTCTGCCGCGGCTCTTTTAGCCAACTTCTTGTTAGGGCCTAGTCCTTGTGCAGAATGCTGTCCCATAGTAACTTCAATAACGAATTCCCTTCGTCTTGATGCACCTTTTTCTTCGATCAAATTATAAACAGGTTCTTTCTCTCGCTTAGCTTGTTGTATCTGAACCAATCGGGAAACTGGATTTACTTCTTCCGTACCCTCGGATTCGGATCGCGGTTCTTGATAATCTTTTATCAGATTTCGTGACTTTTTTTTTGTTGCTGGGGGTTTACGTTTCATTCGCCTCGGACGATTTTGAATAGTTTCGGGTAATGGAGGCAGGCGATTAAGCTCTTCTAGCATAAATTCTGCCGCGTGTCTTTTTGACACCTAAATTACAATAATGGATACATGAAAAATGGAAATTCAATAATACACAAAACTTTATGTTCTAAATGCAGAAGACTTACTTTCTTCGAAGGTCCTTCTCCAAACGTAACTTTATCTCCAACAGTACACTTCGTCCTGAATGTCCGAATATGAGGTTTACCGATTTCTGACACAACTTCAAAACTAACAGGTAAGCCATGTTTTAATGCTTTCTCATAAACCAATGATACAGGGCTTTTCAATTCAGCAATCGGATCTTTAGTTTCACCTAATGTACCGTTCTCACCGGTAGTACAAGTATTCGCTACTTCTTCCGGTATTGGCAATTGGCGCAATTGTTCTAAAGCTTTACTCGCTGCATTATGTCGTGCTGCTTGACCTGTCACACCTCTTCCAATAAATTCACGTTCTCCTACCTACATATTATTATATTGAATAAAATTTGAAACTATTTATATAATTTATAGTATATCGAAATTCTGATTACTTTTTTACCTTTAATGATACAATATACAATTGGGGTTCCGCGTGAAAACCACGATTGTATGTAGGAAAACGTGGATTAAATATTCGAGGAAGATGACCTAAATTATGTGTAAGATATGGCTGTGATCCTGGTACTGGAGCCAATAGGAAACTATAAACAGTAGGTTCTCCTCTTTTCATAGCTAAAGCATTTAATTCAACAGTCGGTGGTAAATTTCCTGTAATAAATAATCTTGCTTTGAAATTTAAAAAATTCATATTTGGTTGTACCATTTATAAGAGGTAATACGCAGAAATTACCAGAACCACTGAAACATTTTCCTGGATGTCCAACTCTCATTGCCTTTCTGGGTTTCGGCAAAGGGCGTCGATACCAGGTCTTTGTTAACGCTTCAGTTGCAGCACTATGTTGAGCTTTCTTTATACTAGAACCTTCAGCAACATACTCTTCTTGTCCTAGCTTTAGTGTTACCGTGAATCGTTTCTTGTGCGCTGGTCCTTGTTCATTAGTCAACCTATATTGATGCTGAATTTTGTTAAAACGTGCTAACTCATTTAATAAGCACATCGGTGTTTTTTCTTTCATGTTTGCCAAAGCTGAATCAGTCACATTAATGTGATTTTGTGTAGGTGAATTCTGATCTCTGGACTCTCCATTTGTATCATTTGTAGGTGGTTTATTTGGTTCTATGCTTTGCGATTGATGAACATGTTGCTGAGAGGGTGGAGGAGTTTGTTGATTATTTTGTTGTAGCTGATATTGTGGTGGTTGAACATTTGGATTTTGTAGAGTCACAGAGACAGTATTTGCTTGATCTTTTAAACTAACACTAACCATGGTACCTAAAAAGACACGGACTAAATTAGTATTATAACTCTAAACTTAACTTATCAACATACGCGAGTAAGTTTATCTAGTACTACCATTTGCATTATGTGCATTCATGCCCATCAACATTGGTTGCCTTGGATTTCCATGTGGTGGTCCAGGGTGTTGCATATGATGAATGTGTTGTTGATGGGGGGGCATGGACAGTATTTGTTGATGTGGATTCCGATGCGATAGCGGATGCTGCGGCTGATGTAAAGGGGCCATATTTGCCTGCTGCATGGGACGCATCGGACCACCCATTCTGATGAAACATCAAATAGAATAAATATGCATATAAAATTTGATAGTGAATAATCATTTTATACTTGCATTATGTCTGGAATAAAAGCATATAATTGTATATTACATAATGCTCTAAGATTATTAAATAATACTAATTTACTTATATAGGTATTTCATAAAGTTGTGATGTTATTTTAAATGATCCATTACAAACCTGTTATGATCTCGAAGTTGGTTTTGCATTGTATGATGTTGATGGCGTAACATCATGTAAAATATTATGCAAAACCTGAAATTGAAACAATAATGTGTAAAATATAATATATTTTAAATTGAGATGATACACTTACAACAAAAATTTCTTTTTTATATAAATGTTAACATTCTAAAATTAAGAATTAATTTTCAAAATAACTCATATGTAATTCATATTTAGAAAGCATAGACCTATAATTTTCTTATTTTAAGATGAGGCAATATATTGTAGAAAAATCAGTTCACAGTTTTGAAAACAACAACTAAACTTGACAGTATTTATGAATATATACTGTGCTATCCTTATCATAAATAGAATTTAGAAAATTGATTCATAGGCATTACATGTAACGTCGTTAATCATAGGAAAAGTTTCTTTTCTCTAAATGAACTAGTCAATAGACAATGGGCTTGGCCCGGCTATTTGGCAGAGAAACTATGCGGTCAGTTTTTCTTACCGAAGTTTATTCTATTTCACGAAAATTTTCCGGTTATTCAACAGCGAAATTTCCAGCGAAACAGATTTGCCACTTTAAGGAACACTGCCAGGCCCTTTATGCGGCTATTGGCAAACAGTAAAGAAAAATCGTCTGTAGACTAAAATGCGGCCATTTTGATGTGAGCCTCTCGGCCACCGTCTCTCATCCCTTCCAAAGGACATCCTACTTGCCAATTTTTTTAAAAGTCTGCAATATCGATTGTAATTATCGATACTTTTCGTTTCTTTAAATTATGAACTATTAACATTAATTTTCTAACTTATTTCTAAAAGCAGTTTTATATTATAACATATTGAAATCGAATATTTCATTGTCCTTCATCATTAACACGATATGTAAGATTAATGAAATATAATTAAGTTCTGCAATTCTTACACTTTAAAAATACTTAATTTTTTCATTATATGTGATAGTAAAAATATTATATAATTGTTTTATAAACAAAATAAAGTTGTATATATCAATTTTTTAAAGGATAAGTCTGAAATAGAAATATTTTAATGAAGTTTGTCTACAAAAGCTAACTATACCGCAGTTCACCAGAGTCCATAACTGCGACGCGCAGGTTGGAAGATGGTGGGGGAACGCAGCGAGCTCTCTGCTAATCGCTTTCCACTTCGTTTGGGAGTATCGCCAATCAGGGCGAAGATGCGCACTGGAGAAGCGCGAAGAACGAAAACTGGTCTTTTCGCAGTTATGGACTCTGATGAACTGCGGTATATATTCATATGATGTATCGGTTATAATTTGTTATATTCTTTATTATTTCTTATACTCTTGTTCTATGCATCTCAATCGTATCAAAATCAAATTTGAAATCAAATTTAGAATGATAAATACTACAAAATATGTGTTAAACATAACCTACATTTGTGCGGATGTATTACTCGGTATATATATTATAGGATAATATTAATTTCTTAGAATTATATTTTATGTAGAAATAATGAATCATAAAATAATTTTTCAATGATGCTTTAATTTATTTTTTTAACTTATTTGCTATGTTTCTTTTTTTAAAATATAAACGTAAAAATGGAACAATCATTTCAATATGAATTTTGTTAATAGTATTAACCATTAATACATATCTATTTACAGCAATATATGTACAACAATGCACATACTAATACATTAGGTATAATGAAAAAAATATTTAATTCAATGTATTTTGATCAATACAATAAAAGTGTATATAACATGGATACAGAAAATTATAATTTGACCTGAATTGAGAAATAAATTGAAGACATTTGCTCAGTACAAATTATTATTTGCAATTTAATGGACATCAGGGTATAAATAAAATTGTAAAAATTACTCTTTAGTTTCTATTTTTTAAATACATAATTTAAGTTCTTCTAAAGGTGTAAAAGTATTAAATTTATAGTTCTCTAATTTTTCCACTTTTTTTATGAAAAAAATGATAAACAAATACTTTTTTTTATAAATTTACAAGATTCATTATTTTAATGAAAATACTATATAGCAGTTTTTATTCTTTTGACATTTTTGACAACACTGTCTTCAATTAATTTGCTTGAATAAATTCTGATAGAATAAAAAATTACTATTTGTATAACAAAAGTTATATAATTATATTACTTATTCTATCATTTTCTTCTCCTTATGATCTATTAATTCATCATAGAATCGCACTTTGTGTTATATTCATTCAACTTCCTTATTAATTTCTCTTTGGAGCCAATAAGCGTCTAGCATCATTGTCTTTAAGACTCAGCTAAGCTCCATTATTATAAAATAATTTATTAAACGTTTAACGATTTCAATTAATAAATACTATTTGATATACAATTTCACTACTAAATTTACAAAGAGTAGAGTATAGATATTTAGTGTCCCTATAAAAAAATGTTAGGCTGATTATCTTACTTGAGATTTATTATTTAAATATAAAAGGGCAATAAACATGATTTTTATATAAAAGTAGATTTTAATATAATCGAAAACGTATTTAAAAATCAGTCTTACAACTGATACTAGAAATTTTTAAAAGCCCCTTTATCTTTAAATTTAATATACATATATGTAATTTAATGATAGAGATATGTTACAGTTTATTAGCATGACTTAACATGACTTTTTAAAAAGTTTCTTCAATATTTACATAAATTGCTTGATCAATGTGTTTCTGATGTACATGAACTATTTATAATTTATGAACCTGATCAATTTGTAAGATAATCTTCCTGATAATTAAGTCTAGGACATATCTACCTAATATTTGGTCAAATCACTATGACTCCTTATACATAGACAATAACAAGTAACTTTGACTTTAGTTTTAAAAGTATGTTTATGAATCATTGCTATTTCTGTGTATTTTTTCAACCCACTTCCATCCAATATCAAACAAATTTCTATAAAAATTAAGTATGAAACATACAAATTTTATTTTTCTTACATAAAAAACGTTCAATTTTGATTAAAAAAACTTATACATCCTTTCATGCAAGTCTTTGCAATTTATTGGAATGAAAAAATTTTCTAAAGATTATATGCTACCATTTATTACTGTTTTCATTAACAATTTTATGTATATTTATTGCCGTTTCGACATACTGTTTTATAAAATAACTTTTTAAACTAATATTAACTTAAAACGTTGCCAAAGTGGGTTAAAAATAAATACAAATTTTCTTTAGATTAATTTCAATAGCATTAGGCACTGTCAACCCCTCATTGAAAATTTTTTAATAATTTCAGTACTAGGTACTAAATATAAATATTTGTTTTTATGACAGTTTGTAAAGCTAACATTGAATATATTGAATATCAGAAAAAAGATGTATTATGAGCAAACAAGTTCTATTTTTAAAGTTTTTTAATTTAGTGAATTACATAATCAAATATAGTATACTTCTCTTACTTACAAAATGTAAAATTTTACAATTCTTTTTTTAACAGAAGATATGTATTTAACTTCTAAAAATTCGTACTTAAGCGTCTTTTCATTTGTTTATAGAAATTACACTTGAATTTAACTTTACAGTATTAACAACGTATATAACAAAATCTACAGAGCATATTACGTACTGATGAATTTGGTTTTTCATTTGAGTTCTGGATGACAATACTGTATACTAAATCTTTTATGGAAAAAAGATGAAGATAACACAAAAAATCTACCTATTTTCCTTTAGAACTTATATACTTTTGATTGTGCAGCTGGTAGAACGGCGCTATTTGATTAATATTGTACTTTTTTGGGGTATTATATTTACATGAATTTGTTTACAAAATATAGAAATTTGGATGATTAATAATTATTATTATTAAAGAAATAAACCCAAATCAAAAGAGTCTCAAATGCCTGCATTCGAGAAGTGAATAAAATCTCAGATAATATTCTACAAATCAACGTGCTGTTATTTTTATTAACGTTAAGTGAAAAAGTTTAAAAATAATTACATTTTATATAGTACACTAACAATTTAAAATAATAAGCTTGAAATATTTATAAATGTTACCTATGGAAAAACTTTAAAATTAACAATTCTGAATATTTAATGAACACAATTATAAAATACATTTGTAAAATCACTGAATCGATACTGAACAGAATTTATTATCGTAACAAACGTTCTGATCTTAGTTAGAAAACGAAATAATACATTACTTCTACCAACTGTACAGTCATAAACTGAAAAAAAAAAAAAAAAAAAAAAAAACAAGTAAAACAAAACACTGAAGCTATGTATCCCTGGTTGACATCCAAAATGCTATTTTCTTTCATTTAGATTTAACAATTATTATCACTTCACATGCCTTGGCAACATACATCCTTAAACACTAATTCGCTTAACGTTTTACAGATGTACGACTTGCTTGTTAGGGTACCTTGTATCCTATTTATACTTTCTGCATTATTTATCGAATTCTTATTCTTTCTTATCGAAATAATGCCCTGATTATGCAATGAAATCTTAGCTTATTTTTGTGGCACCATTGTGATTCACTTTGTGGTTTACAGTCCAGTTATCCTCTTGTATAGTTTTCAAATACTCTTCTAGTAACGATGCCAAATTACGTCTTTTAAATCGTAATGATTCTTTCACGATATCTCGCAAAAATGCAAGTCGTATATCTAGAGTCCCTTGAATTTGGTGTAAATGTGAAAATAGTGTCGCATAATCTGTAACAAGATTACAAAACGTTTATAAATACCACCGTATCATGATTTTTATGTTACCGTTTAATATATATCAAAGTACATTTCAACTTACTTGTACCTCTTCTCCGTACTTCTTTATAAACAAGTTCTCGAACGGACAAATTGTGTTTTCTAATATCTTCCAACTCTTTTTTCGTTAAAGCTTTTTCTTTTTCTACTTTAGTCTCGCATTTCTCTTCGACATGATTGGACAACCTTTCTTCGACTAAATTTTCAACCTTCACACTATTTTCAACACAATCGTTAAGAGGTAGTTTGTTACATTCGTTTTTAATATTTTCGTTCTTTTCTGTTTTCCCTTCGATCTTAGGAGCCTCGATGTTATTGACTATCGGTGTCAAAGTCGGCGGAACGTCCATATGATTGTTAGTATGTTCTACTGGAATTGGTTCAAAAACTGGTATCGTCGGCATTTCTGCTACTCCGTTTACTAATTTCTCTGGTAAATTCACACACGGTGTACTCGATACACTAGGCGTTGAGTTCACGGTAGTTGGTGTAACTTGATTTGAATCAGCAGTTGGAATCACTTGATTTTTCGTTTCGTCGACCCATGGTACCGGTGAGTTTGGTGGAGTATTTGTAGGTGTATACGACGGTCTTCGTACTACCACGTCTTTAGGAATTGGACCCGGTTTCCGTTTGTTTGGTGGTGGCTTCGAAGCTAACGAACCTCCTCCATCTGAAGCGGGCATCGTACGTTTCAGACCGCTCTTCGATGCCGAAGATGTTGCGCCAACCATATCAATATCCGCTTCGTCAACCATCATTCTTTTATCTATCTTGAAAGGATTACCTAAAATGAAACCACGAGTAATTAAATCATCTGAACACGAACCCTTTAAACGACTTTGGTTCTTAAGTTCTAATTACCAAACATATGTTGTCTAACAGGAGCACTTTCAATTTCCCTTAAAGGCGGAGTCATACGTTTCAAATATTCTTGATAATTTCCCATTTGAGCTAGGGGCATCGAATGAACATAATCATCATCGAGTAATTTCGTATGTAACAAACCAGGTTGCAGAAAATTTGCGCGCATTCTAACAACTTGATCTAAAAGAGATTTCCGCGGAACATCAAACGCGTTCCTGTAACTGTGCGCGCCACGCTGTTGATTTCTAACTAATCCAACTACAAAGCCACCAAACTCATTTAGTTGATCCCTCAATCCCGTAAATTTGTCTTGTAATAATGGATGTGATACCTAACGAAACAAGAAATTATATTATAAAGTAACGTGAACTATTTTTATAATAAGCGATTCATTCTTTTAAAGAGACATTTACCAAGTCTTTCTTTAAAGGAGTTCTAGGTATAACTCTTACACCTTCCGTTATCGTCGTTGTACTACCATTTACTAAATTTTTCGACATATTGGCAGTAGCGAGTTGTTTAGAAAGAACCTCGTTACAAAGTCTGTCGAATTCAATTTTAGCTTGATTCTTCAGTCGTTTTAAATAATTTAACACGCTATAGGACAAAGAGTTATCCATATTATCAGGTATTAACGTTTGTGCTAAGGGCGCAGGAGCACCCATCCTAGTTAAAGCTCTTCTGAGGGACTGTAAAACAAAATAAAATGTTATTGAATATACAATAAGTTTAATTACCTAATTATTTGTGATTAATTAAAAACTTACCGCTGCATAATAAGTGGGCATGGTTCTCATGTAATTTTGAAACTGTGTTCGCCATTCGTTTGTTGGCTTCAATCTGTGCACTTTGAAAAGTTCTTCCAACAAAGGTAAAAGAACTGGATAATTGTATGGCATAACAAAAAGATTCACACACGTTAAGTTGGTACTTGCTTTTAAATATCCAAATGGATGGCCCACGTCACTTGATTTATATGAATTAGCTACAAAAACTTGCCAACAAATTGTTGGTTGTTTTCTAGCCAGTATATATTGCGTTAAAGGGCTCGGTTCCAATTCGTATTTGTCAAATGGAAGATTTTCTATCACCATAGGCTCTTGACTGGTACAAGTAAATTTCACGTTTGGATGTGCTGACCTAGGAGGCAAAGAACTAGCACTAAGGTCAGGCCAAAAACTTTCTGGAATCGGCCAGAATCCAACTGCAAAACCTTTCTGTGCGGATCTTGGAACGTAAATCAGTCTTCTACAAGAATGCCATGCGGTATTTCCTGGTACTGTTGGATTAAGAGGGTAATTTCGCGTTCCATTCACTGTACTGTTTTCGTCTTCGTTTTCATCGTCGTCTGCGTGTTGTGCTTCATTGGTTAAAGGTGGAGGATCGGGTCCAATTTTTTCAAAATTTATTACCACACCAGACTGTACCTTTTGTACCAATGAATCTATACACTGCATCATCATTCTGAAAGATGTTATACAATACGAACGACCTACAATAAATAATGAATTATTTAAATCGGTATTTTTTACATATAAGAACCTGATACATTGTACTACCAGCAAAAAAAATATTAAATACCTCCTGTAACTTCACACATAGCGTCTATAGGAGAAGAATCACTTGCCACTAAACCAGTATCTCTCTCAACAGCTGGTGTTCCAGATAAACGTAATACCAAAGAAAATAATCTTTGATCCCATCTAAATGGCTCTTTTGTTAGCTCAGATCCAGGTATAGGAGAATGCATCGGCAATGTAAACTTTTAACAAAAATTTAAATGTTTAGTACATTTTCGATCTTACTTGTATCTTTTAGATAATTAAAACTCACATCTTGATTGACTCCGCTATTAGTTGTATATTTTCCTCCATCTGTAATGACAACAATTACCGATGGTTCCAAATAAAAAGGGCATCTTCCTTGACCGTACGTATCTATGCCTGTCTGCATCCGATTTATATTCAAAACATCTAAAGCATGTTTTAAAGCAGCACCTAATGTTGTCAGTCCGACGCATTGTAAATTTTTAAGTTCATTCATAAAAGTTGCTAAATTTTCCTTCCAGCCAGCCTAGAAGAAAAAAAATATTTTCATTTATAAGAGTGACACAAATGTTGTTTGCATTTCCTGTCACTGTGACAAAAGTATAAGATTATATATTATTAAAACATTATTTGTATTAAAAATATTTTAATTGGAATTCTTTATTTTTAACAAATATGATGATAAGGTTAATGGCTCAAGAAAGATACAAAATTGCAACTTGTTATCAGGTATGTACTTCTGTCACTAAAGTTCTGCAATAATAGAGGAGCGAAAAGAACCTCCATGTAACATTAAGACAATAAAGAATAGCTATAAGAAATTTACATTTATTTTTTTATCCAAATCTTATCAATTTCCATCCAATATATCTTAATTCTTTATTGTCTCAAGTACCGCTAACACATGGAAAACTCTTTTTTTACTTCTCTACCATTATTAAACCGGTGACAGTACCTTAATCCTTATAACAATTTTCAACCTTGGCCTGTTCTTGAACCATGAGCCTGACCACCGCTAAACCCTGAAATAAAAAAAAAATCAACTTCAGATTACAATAGATCTAATTTTAACGCATGACTAAACAACGTATAATTAGATTATGAGAATTGTTTTGTAACAATAATGATAGTAAGAAGGAAAACATTGATAAGATCAAGTGAATGAAAATTTCAGGAAGGTAAGAGAAAAATTGATTTGATCATTGGCTACAGATTTCATAAATTTGGCGCGCATGTATTCAATAGAGAAAGACCCTCGTGGGTAGGCTCCCCACCCCGCGCGTTACTACCCACAATACTTTTCTTCCGTAACGGTGGACGGAAGATACGGCAAGTGCACGAATGCATTTTGTTGCCTTCTTACTGCATATTAATTATTCACCAACCAAAGAGCACAAATAATACAGCAATCAACACAAATACATCGACCCGTAACGTGAAACAATGAATCATGGATGCGTTTGAAAGGGAAACTGAAAAACATTCAAAAGGAAAATTAACACGTAAAACCTTATGTACGGGACACTGTACTTATGGCAGCTAACGTAGAGAGCGTACGTGTGCATGTGTGTGAGAGAGATAAAAAGATCTTATAAATAAGAGAGAGAGAGAGAGAGAGAGAGAGAGAAAAGGAAAGGGAGAGAAAGAAGGACAAAAAGTACGAAAGATGCGAACGTAAAGGCAGTGAAATACGAAGAAAACATACCTTGATATTCTGGGGCGGATCTTCGAAGGTCAGGAGCATGTAACGATCTCCACGGCTTTCCGGTGATCTTTGTCTTACCTAAAAAATGGATTATCGTTAAATAATAATGACGACAGAAATGAAACATCGTGCCGTTTTTATACACGCTGCTATTCTCGATGATGGTGTACGAGTTGACGACTTGGCAACCACGATAATCGTACCTCCCGGCCGGGAAAGCTGTGTGACTGGCGTACCTTCACGAAAGTCTCCACGGCGCTCTTAGCTACATCCAAAAGTGTGGGTCGCCCGCCCAAATATGCCCTCTGATTCATGGAGGCCGACGTGTCGATCAAAAAGACTATTATGGTCATCTTCGCGAGGCGAACCCGCTCGTTCTCGAGGTCGTAACTGCGGCCCGAGACCTCCCGTAGTCAGAACTAGCTAGCTAAGAGTCCTACGACGGCGTGGCGCATAGCTGCTTCGACCATTGAACGCTCCCGAATACGTTCTCTGAAAAACTTCTTTTATCGTAACGGCGCCCGCTTCGCTCTTACTCTCTTTCGATCTGTTTCTTTTTCTTTTCTCTCTATCTCTCCCTCTTTCTATATGTGTGTATGTACGATATATATGTATATATATATATATAAGTATTTAGTATATATGTATGTTTTTTTCTTTTTCTCTACACCGAACAGAATCTACTGCTACGCCGCGGACCTCTGGTGCTCGAATGTGCCTAGTGGACAGCGGCACAGGACAGCAGCTGAAACGCAACCACGAGATCGCGAGTCGCGAGTCGGACAGGTCTGTCTGCCAGCCTGTCCGCTTGTTCTCTCGTACGTTCCTCTCTTTTCCTTTTCCTATTCTCTAACCCTTGCTTTCTTTCTCTTTTCATCTATTCTCCTTCTCTCTCTAACGTTACTCGACGCCCTCTATCTTTTCTGTTTCGTTTCTATCGTTCTGTCGTTTTCGACCTGCCATCTTTCTTCTTATCACGCATGTGAAACTATCTTTTTTCTTTTTTGATCGTTCCTTCTCTTTCAGTTCAACGAGAATAAACGAAACTCTTTCTCTCTCTCTCTCTCTTTCTGGATTTCGTTCATCTTTGTTGACGATAGTTTCATCTTTCTTGTAGTTACACTGCGTCGCAAGTCACGTGACATTGTGAAGCTTTTTTTCTATTGGTTATACCCTTTCTACCACGGCTTCGACATTACTTAGCTGAAATGTGATGCATTTCTAAGTTGTGTGAATACATGTATCGTACTCCTGTTTACTTCTATCGAATAGAGTGGTCGGTTTCTATATTTTTACATGTAACGATAGGTTCACGCGATATGGTAAAGCTAGGTTTGTTTCGGTCCTTCAACAGTAGGTATAGGTTTCCATGTGTGTATGCGTGCATACATGCAACCAACCAATCGCATACTTCAGGATGCACTACTTAATCCTCAAACCCTATATTCAATGTAAAATTAATTCACGTCATAATGTATTCAAAACTGATAAATTCTTACAAATACGTATATTAACGTCTTCTTCGGTAGAGACTGAATCAAATAATACAATTTAGCAAATCATACAAATTTCTAATGATTGTTAATAAATACAAAGAAATTGGTTTAACATGATTTTAGCGGAATCGTTTTCATATAAACAGGCTTTGAAAGATTTTGGCGGTACAACAACCATTAGCATTAACATGTCTCGTACTTAAGTGTGTTCCTAATTGTAAAAATATAAAGAAACGTGTTCATTTGTAATTGTTCCTGACGTTATATTTCTCTTACGTTTGCTGGAATTTGCACATAAGAAATTAATATTTTAAGAAAATAATAAGGGTTGTAGTGTATTTGAATAAAAGCAGTCATTTTAATTCAGTATGATATCCGCTACTGTACGAAACACTGAAACTTATGAGACAGAGAAACAAACAAAGGTTGAGGATATCCAAGTACAACAAATATCTGTAAACAACTGTATTGAGGAAGAAAATAAAAATACAGGTAAGTTGTTTAAATATAATTGTGGTAACATACAGAAAAGTTGTAAGTAATAAAGAAAAATATTTAATTTAATTTTCATTCTTCAGTGATTGAAAACATGATACTTCAAGAAACAAGCAATGATAGGAGAAAACTTCGTAATGGAAAGTATGTTAATGTAGAAATGTCTAATTTAAGTAAAATTAATGGTGATATCACTAAAAATCGTTCACCACAACAAAAAACTCAACCAAAAAGATTCAATAAAAGAAGAAGCAATGTAACCGAAGAGTTAGAAACAAATGTTCCTATGTTAATAGATGATGAAAATCTAACACCGAATATTGAATCAAACATTAACTTAAATGAACAAGAAGATTTAGGTGATGAACCTGAAAGTAATATGCTAAAAAAGACCAAAACAGACAATAATAATGTACACATTAAAAGACCTATAATATCGCATCAGAAACCTATTAATGTACAACAGAAATGTGAATATTGTTGTCAGAAACTAACAAGCACAGATCTGAAAATATACCCAGGCCATCCTAATGGAGCTATAGAAGAAATGATTGCATTAACAGATCCTAAATTATCCTTATTCACAGGAGAGGAAACTATGGTTTATGAAGGTGATGAAAGACCACAAAACAAAATAACTCACTTTTGTGTGTATGATAAAAATGGACACTTATGTTCTTTTGATACTGGCTTAATTGAAAAGAATGTTGTACTTTATTTTTCTGGTTATATGAAACCTATTTACGAGGAGAACCCATCCCCGGAGGGTGGTATGCCCACAAAAGATATAGGTCCGATAAATGAATGGTGGGTGTCAGGGTTCGATGGTGGTGAATTAGCCCTTATAGGATTTAACACAGCATTCGCAGAATATATATTAATGGAACCAGCCGAAGCGTACGCGCCATTTATGGATTCTGTGAGAGAAAAAATTTATATGAGCAAAATAGTTATAGAATTTTTGTTGGACGAAGTCAATCCTACTTATGAAGATTTATTACATAGATTACAAACCATAGTTCCACCAAAAGGATTAGCTAGATTCACAGAGGATTCTCTGTTACGATACGCGCAATTTATTTGCGATCAAGTAATATCTTTTGACGCATCCGCAAGACCAGAAGATTCTCTCTTGATTACAAGTCCATGTATGAGAGCGTTGATAACGCTTGCAGGTGTGACATTAAAGAAAAGAATTGCGTTGCGCGGAACCCACTCGAAAGATCAAAAGAAGAAAATTACTTGGACCAAAGCCACAACTACGAAATTAGTTAATAATATGTTTGAAACATTCTTCTCCGATCAAATAGCCACAAATGGTGATAAAGAAATATCGGGACCTAAAAGACAAAGATGCGGGATATGCGAGATTTGCCAACAACCAGATTGTGGAGTTTGTACAGCTTGCAAAGACATGATTAAATTTGGTGGGTCTGGTAGAAGTAAGCAAGCCTGCAACATGAGAAGGTGTCCAAATATGGCTATACAAGAAGCTAATGATTCGGATCCAGAAGATGATGATCTCAATGATATGCTAATAGAAAATGTTAAGATTACTCAAAAAATGATTTTGAAAGAATTCAAACATGTCGAAAAAGATATTACATGGGTGGGAGAAGCAATTATAGATGATGGGAGAAGAACATTCTATAACTCGGTTATTGTCGTTGATGAAGAAATAAAAGCAAATGATTATGTACTGATTGAGTCGAATGATCCCACGGTTCCATTACAAATAGCTAAAGTCATATATATGTGGGAGGATAAAAATGGTGCAAAATTGTGTCATGCAAATTGGTTCAGAAGGGGTAGCGATACTGTACTCGGTGAAACATCAGACCCCTTAGAATTGTTTTTACTCGATGAATGTGACAATGTACCATTCGCTTCAATTAAGTCTAAGGCTACTGTTATTTATAAAGCTAGTCCTAACAACTGGAGTGAATTGGGTAATTATACTGCCTGTTATTGGGAACATTATAAATTATCTGTGTTTTAAATGCCCATTAATTATACATTTTCAGGAAATGCAGATATACTACCAGAAGATGAAATACAAAATAAAGATGGAAAAACATTTTTTTACCAAAAGAAGTATACACCGGAGACTGCTCGTTTTGAAGATCCATCTCCGGATCCTATATGTCCGCGAAAAGAAATCAGTCACCGATTTTGCCCCGCTTGTGTGCGATTTACAACGTTACAGTGTTACTATACACCAAAGGTTTTTGATCGAGGAGAAGAGAAAAGTAGTAAAGAAGTAATATATAACATGGTAAAATATAAAGGCGAAGAATTTACAGTTGGATCGTCTGTATTTTTAATGCCTGGAGCTATAAAATATAAATATACATCTATATCTCACATTTCTACGAAACCAAAGAAAGGACAAGTAGACGAAGATATGTATCCTGAATATTACCGAAAATCATCGGATCATGTAAAAGGATCAAATTATGATACACCTGAACCATTCCATATTGGATATATAAACGCGATATATGCAAAAACTAATAGTAAATTAGTTGCAGCTTCTGACATATGGATTAAAATAAATAAAATGTACCGGCCAGAAAATACGCACAAAGGACTTTCACTGATGCAACAAGTTGATCTTAATATGCTCTACTGGAGTGACGAGGGTAAAATATTATAATAATAAATATAATCCTTACTGGAATATGTATATTGATAAATCTAATTTTAATTTAAACATTTCAGTTTGCGACGTGAAATTTTCGGATGTAGCAGGAAAATGTTACTTGATGTATTCAGAAAATTTAGATCAGTCCGTAGAAGAATGGACTTCCACTGGTCCAAATCGCTTTTACTTCTCGCAAGCTTATAACGTCCCGGAGAAAACTTTTGTTGACCCACCAAATCATGCTATGAATATTGGGAAATTGGGGAAAGGAAAAGGAAAAGGAAAAGCAAAGTACAAAAATAAGAAATTAGAAACTAATGATAATAAGAAAGTAATAAATAAACCCATAGATTATTGCACTGTGCCAAAAAAACTGAGGACACTAGATGTCTTTGCTGGTTGTGGTGGTTAGTGTAAAACTTGTTACTTTTTTTTTTTTTGCAATTGCTGAATACTCTACTTTTAATTAATATTTTTATTGCAGGATTATCTGAAGGATTAAGACAAGCTGGTATTGTAGATAATCAATGGGCGATTGAAAAAGATGAACCAGCTGCATGTGCATACAGACTTAATAATCCCAATACAACGGTATTTTGTGAAGATTGTAATGTACTTTTGCGAATGGTTATGAATGTAAGTATAATTGTTAATATAGAATAAGTAACAAGTTTCAAGAATATATTTGTATTATTTTTGTAGGGTGAACTTTGCGATAATAGCGGACAACGTTTACCTCAAAAGGGGGAAGTGGAATTGTTATGTGGTGGGCCACCGTGCCAAGGTTTCAGTGGCATGAATCGTTTTAATTCGCGGCAATACTCATTATTTAAGAATTCTTTAGTAGTATCGTCTTTGTCTTATTGTGATTATTACAGACCAAAATTCTTTATTATGGAAAATGTTAGAAATTTTGTATCTTTTAAAAAAAGTATGGTACTTAAATTAACATTAAGGTGCCTTGTGCGAATGGGTTACCAATGTACATTTGGTATTCTGCAAGCTGGGAATTACGGTATTCCGCAAACAAGAAGAAGGTGAGAAATATTTAAATTCCTCTTGATTAAATGTTTAATTATTTATATTTCTAATTTTCATTTATGTATTTTTAGGTTGATTATATTAGCTGCTGCTCCTGGAGAAATCCTTCCAACATATCCAGAACCAACTCATGTGTTTAGTAAACGAGCATGCCAGTTAAGTGTTATCGTGGATAACAAAAAGGTAAGATATAATTGTTATTTAATATAAACTTGAATTATCTGTATAAATACTTTAATATTTTTTTTATTATTTTTCATAGTATTCATCGAACTGTGATTGGACAGAATCAGCGCCGTACAGAACAATCAGTGTTCGTGATGCGATGTCTGATTTACCTAATATCCGAAATGGATGGAATACAGAAGAGATGACTTATGGCGATGAACCAATATCTCACTTTCAAAGAAAAGTAAATTATTAAGTGTTCACTAATATTAACATCATACAAGTATTAATTCATGAAATATATCGCATTTACCCTTTAGGTAAGGCCTAAAGAACCTGATGCTATATTGAGAGATCATATCTGTAAAGATATGGCACCTCTGGTTGAAGCACGAATAGCGCATATTCCAACTGCTAGCGGATCTGATTGGCGAGATTTACCAAATATTGCAGTACGTTTGAGCGATGGAACATACTCAAAGAAACTGTAAATAAATTAAATTCATATGTGTTACAAGAAAATAATTAATTTGATGAATAATAACTTGTTTGTGTTGTAGAGAATATACTTATCATGATAAAAAAGCGGGTAGAAGTTCTACTGGAGCATTTCGTGGTGTATGTAGTTGTTGTACGGGCAGAACATGCGACCCAATGGATCGGCAATATAACACTTTGATTCCTTGGTGTTTACCTCACACTGGTAAACGTCACAATCACTGGGCAGGCTTGTACGGTAGATTGGAGTGGGATGGATTTTTTGGTACTACTATTACTAATCCAGAACCTATGGGTAAACAGGTACGTGATAAATATTTTTTGTTGTATTAAATTATCTTCTATTTTAACTCTTATTTGACTATTCAATATTTTCATTGATTAACAGGGTCGTGTTTTGCATCCTGAACAAACAAGAGTTGTGAGTATAAGAGAATGCGCCAGATCGCAAGGTTTCCCAGACTCTTTTCGATTTTATGGAAACATACTTGATAAACATCGGCAAATCGGCAACGCAGTTCCGCCACCATTAGGTGCTGCTTTGGGTTTTGAAATTAGAAAGTGTTTAAGAAGTGAAAATATTGATCAATCAGCCAACAACTTAAATGGTTTTAGTGATTGATAGCATTTTAAACGTTTTTTTATAATTAAATGCTACACCTAAGTTTAATGGTAGAATAAGTTATAGATTATTTTTTTATCTACATACATTTATCATCATGTGTTCATTAAAAATATGTAGATGCTTTTATTCTTTACATGATCAAAAGTATTATGTAACACATATGCAGTATGCAATATTAAAGTTTAACAAGTGGAATTAAAAAGTCGAAAGCAGTATTTTAAATTAAATGATTAGATTCTGAAAAATTCGTATATATCGAGAACCTTATATGATATGTACATATTGTATCTTTTTATAACTATAAGGTAAACATAATATTGTTTATCAACATACTTTTAAAAGGAAAGTACTGATAAATAAAGTTTTCAAAGAACATCAGAAATATTCATTATGAAATAAAAATTCATCATTGTTTAGTTATCTATTTGTATTGTATGTACATAAATAAACAAAATTTATTTTATCTTTCAAGTATAAACTTAAATATATCTTGTTTATATACTTCCTTTATTACATAAATAATAAAAATTAATTTCACACCCATTCACAGCAATTCACAGTCATTCAAAATCACTTCATGAATTGGTGTATTTAAAAGAGCAATATTTGGGTTACATGTCTAAATAATTTAAGCAATATTTAAGAAATCTTTTTCTGTCAATATGTGGGCAGATACTATTTTAATTGTATTTATAAGTATCTGTACAGCTTTATTAGGAGAAGGTAAAAAAGTTCTTTTACTTATTGTTTTCTTAGGTTTGAGGTTATTTTCTTATTTCCATATTATTTACATTTTTCACTTATATTTAAATTGTTTATAGGTTTAACATGGCTAATGGTTTATAGAACAGAAAAATATCAGAAGTTAAAATCTGAAGTAGAAAAACAAAGTAAAAAATGTAAGTTCTTGAATCATAGTAGTATTAATTATACATAAAATTGCTTAGTAATTTAAATAAATATTAAACTGTTGTTTAATATAATTCATTCCAGTGGAAAAGAGGAAAGAAGCGCACGGGGATTCATTAGACAAACAGCAAAAGAAAAAGATTGAAAGAGAGGAAGAAAGATTAAAAAATAATAATAGAGACTTATCTCTTGTAAAAATGAAATCAATGTTTGCAATTGGGTTTGCATTTACTGCTCTTTTAAGCATGTTTAATAGCATATTTGATGGAAGAGTTGTGGCAAGGTTGCCTTTTGTTCCAATTAGTTGGATACAAGGTTTATCTCATAGGAACCTTCCAGGTGATGATTATACAGAGTGTTCATTTATTTTTCTTTATATACTGTGTACCATGAGCATTAGACAGGTAAACACATATTTTTCATTAACACTTACATCTAATTTAATTGAATATTTGATTTGACATGTTTTTGCTTAAAATAGATATTGTTATTTACAGAATATTCAAAAACTACTTGGATTTGCTCCATCTAGAACAGCAAGTAAACAGAGTGGAAGTATTTTTGGCCCTCCACCACAACAATTTAAATGAATTTAGAAAAATTTTATAAATTAATTACATATTTGCCATTCTACTACACTTAATGAATGACTGATAATGAAAGAGAAGTTTTCATATAGATTAAAATTGAAGCTTAATATATTATAATATATACTTAATGTATATATTATCTTTTTAAAGATATTTAGCATACATACAATAAATATATATTTAATACTGATTTTTTTTTAATTTGTATATAATACATTGTTTTAATAAACATTAAAGGATTGTTGATAACTAATTATTTGTTAATGTTTCTGAATGTGAAAAAATATGATTTTTATAGAAACATAAAAGTGTAACGATAATCAGAAATATTTAAAAATATTAATGAAAACATAATAATAAAATGTTTAAATATATTGTAAAGGGAGTCTTTTAATTAGTATAATAATGCAATATATTTTAGAAAATAGGTATGACTCATGTATTCCATCAAGCAGTTCTTATACAACAATCAATGTTATATACAAACATAACAATCAATCATATACAAAAAATAACCACTACCCTTAATTCGTAAAAAATATTTAATACAATAGTATGCTTGCGATCTCGTTTTATAGATTACAAGTTCACATTTATAAATGAACGTGTACTCAACAAATATTAGATCGTTTCGCATTGAACTATTTCAAATTATACATACACGTTTTTACTAAAAAGTTGCCTTCTTTTATATTATTACATAGTATTTTAAGCCTAAAACAGTCTCTTGTTATTAGAGCTAGCGACATTTTATACAAAATGGTACAATTATAATATTTACAATCAATCTACGTACACGACTAAATGTAAGATATCTTAATTTAATAAAAAGTTATTTAACTCATTATTTGAACTTTTGGTGTTACAATTTTACGTTGTATATTACCCTCAATTCATTTTTAACAATATTTTAATTACATATATTCATTAGTAGAAAGCGATTAGACACCCATCTGGCAATCTGAAAGACAAATGCTTCTTATATTGGAATTTGCACTTCCTGCTCGTTAGCGTCATACACTTTGAAATCATCACTGGTCATGCCAATAAGATTAAAATCCACGACGATTCCCGTACAGTTTAGTTTTTATTATAATTAGTTCATTCATATTTTTCGGCAGTGGCTACTCTCTGTAAATTATGAACGTAAAAGGAAGACATGTTAATCGAGATTTTGCTTCTACATGACTCCAATTGTTAATATATTATAAAAAAACAGATAGATAAAAAATATCTCTGACATTATTGCAGACCTTTTTTTAAATATCTGTCTAAAATTATAATAAAAAGTAACGTGTAGGAACCTCTTGCCGTCCAGCAGCCGACGAACCTATTGTTCTCCTTTCATTGTCATTTTCGATTCAAAGTAGTTTTTCGATATTAAAATTCTGCACGTATTACTCGTGAAAAATAAACTTTTATCACGACATTCTTTTGTAATATTCAGTTTCCATATTACACGATGCAAAGAAATCGATTTGTATATAGTTCAATCTTGTGAAAATATACATGGTATAAATGTCATATTATTTGCCTGATCCTTCGTAATAATAGAAAATTGCACATTATAATCAATTTCCTCGACTAATATAAGCTTGTATCGAATACAATTTGATATCTTCCGTACGATTGTTCATTCTTATTCGTTCACTTTCAGTAAAGCGAACACTTATATTATGCTACCCATGGAAATTCCAATAAATCCTTCGATCACTTCAACTGATTTCAAAACGGTGGACAGTTCACTCCAGGATGAAGATACTGACATTTATCACCAACCCGGCAGTAACCATTTTTCGAAAATTGTCTACACACGGGAGGTTGCTTTCCACTTCCCCTCCATCCACCGCCTCCTCTCCATCCACCTCCTCTGGGTGGAGGTCCTCCACCACCTCTGTACCAACCAGGCCCAGGAACACCTCTACCTCTACCATGCATCGGGCCACCACCCCTGGGGCCCTGAAAGTTAGGCCCAGGACCATACAAAGGACCAGGTGGTCCTTGAAAATTATTTGGATTCATATTATTAAATCCCATGTCTTCTGGCCCCATCATACCATAACCTTCTTGTTGCTGATTGTACATAGGCGGCGGTCCCAACATTCCAGGTGGTACCATTGGACCACCTTCCATTCCAGGTGGAAATGCATTTGGCATGTTTCCCATTGGATTCATACCCATTGCATCTGGTACAACTACTTTTCCATCTCCAGTTCTCCAACCTCCTCCTCCAGCGGACATTGGACCTCCCATTTCTGGACCTAATGGACCCATGTGAGAAGGTGGCATCATCTGCTGAGACATTTGAGGAATTGGTCCCATTGAGGTCTGGGGACCCATAGGTGCCATCACTGGTTGTTGATTATGAGGGAACGAGGAATAGTGGAAGCTCGAAACTGGAGGCGTCTGAGGTTGCAATTGAGGTTTTGGTTCTGGCCACGGCATGGAAGTAAAGTCTTTTTCACTTTCCTTGTTTCCCGTGAGATCGTCCAAAGGAATGGTTTTAGGTTCACTATATACATGGTGACGTTCTTCATCAGGCTCTGCTGCCGAGTCTGGAATCCTACAATTAGAAATATATTACATAAAGAAAAACATTTTTATATAATTATTTCTTGTGGTACCCGCATCGGTGAGTACAGTTTATATAAGTTGCGACTACTACTACTACTACTACTACTACTATTGGTCTAGAGTACTCATTTTTAATGTAGCATGCATATATTATTTTTCACACGACTATCAAAATTAATATTCATGTGTTCCGTGCATGCAACCGTACTTCATTTCACAACTGAAGTATATACTTACATGCTTCGGTTGAAGTACAGCGCTTGTAAAATGCCTTTCTCCCGAGCATACTGAATATCTTTTTCTCTGCTATCTTTTCCGGACTCTACTAAGGCAGGAGGTAGATCGATCGGAATTAAAGGTTTCCACCTTGTTCTCTCTTCCATCAGATCTTCAGTACCTAGAAAATCATTAAATTTTACATAAGATTTGAAATATTTCAGATCAATAAATATTTGATTATGATTCTTATAACTTACTTAATTTCCTAGCCATCTGGAATGCTTCCCTCTCATTTTGCTTTTCCATTTGTTTCATATCGGTGAATGTTTTCGTTACGTTCACTCTTTCCGTTTCATCTAATTCGAAATAACGAACCGACTCCAAATCCGTCTTCCATTTCAATGATTTCTTCGGCCCTTTGCGTTTTTGAAGCAACAAAACGCTTCTTAGACCATCGACGTAACGTATTTCTGGATAAGAACCGGAGTTCTCTTTCTTCGCGGAATCGGACATGGAAGACGTATCCTCCGGGGAATCGGAGGTCTTTTCTTCTGCATCATCGTCAGGTGTTGGTGCTGAACAATAGATAAATATAACACCATTGAAAATAACATATTCAATAGCAAGAACTTTTTAATAATAATTAATTAACTTACTGTTACTTCCATCATCGTCAACATCCGCTTTAAATATCCTGTTTTCTTTCTCATCGGAAGTCTCTTCTTTCTCTTTCTTAACATCATCGTCCGAGTTCTCTTTCTCTTTCTGCTCTTTATCTTCATCTGTTTCCAAAGTGTCTTGATAGAACTGCAATAAAAATGATGTGTTTTTTAAATATATAAATTCAATACTATCGAATAATTGTCAGAAAAATATTCTTTTTCATTTATTTAAAGTATACTGCTTTACTGGTTTTACGATGATTATAATTAACGTATACGTACCTTAAAGTTAGGCTTGACAACTACAGGTGATTTTTCATCGGCACTTGGTGGTGAGGTGGGTGGAGGTGTAACATCACGATTATCGTTACTGGCAGTTTCCTGTTTCTTTGCTTCCGACGGACCATCCTTCGTGATTGATGTCCTTCGCTTCCTCTTTCGCGGCTCTTTGCTTTTCGTCGACGCTGTCAAAGCATCCATAAACATATCGCTTTCTTGCAAAACCATTGCTGAAAAATAATAATAAAAATCATCAGTTTTATCATTCCGGCAAAATGACCCTGAAAATCTGCAAAACATTCAGAAGTAAATAGAATTTTGCGTGAATATTGATATTAAGATCCGATTCCTTCATCGAGCTGAAAACAAGTAACATTTTTAGCGATGATCGAATAAGAATGATATCTACAGGGAATCTGTAACAAAAATACAATCATTGTTTTTAATAAATACAAGAAACATTAATGTTACAACAAAGTTAGAAAAACGAAGGATTATCGTGATTCAATCTTCGATAAAGTATTTTTTTTTTTTTTTAAGTACAAAGATGCGTTCTGATATAAACAATGTTGAATTAAATAGGTAAACTCATCCGTGAAAGAAGATTATATTAATAAATGATTTGTAATGCAAATGAATCAATGTAATTCGATCTGGATCAGTTACTTTCGATCCACTAGATCATCGGTATTCTTTTTTCAAGTAGTTTCAAGTAAAAGGGGAAGCTAAGATAAACGCGTAACATCGTTTAAAGTTCATAAGTGTGACGATTGATAAACGTAAATATTAATTTAGAAAACATCGTAAATTTTCACCTTTTTTTTACAATCTACATTTGAATATGATTTTTTTTTATCGCTAATGAAGTATATAATCACATGGAAAATGATTTTAAACGAAAACAACAATTGTTCAATTGATACCAAAAGCGTTTCGCTTCTTCCACGATTAGCGTGGAAGTATCTATTTTTTTCAAATTTTGTACGATGTAGTAATCTGTTTATGCATTAATTATGTAAATTTACAGTCTCTTCGTGAATGCATATTTTGATAACATACAGAAACAATAACTTGCTTAACATCTTTTTTTTTTTTTTATTTTCTCGAGATACGTTATTTAAAGATTAATTTTTGCATCGAACAATAATGAACAGTTGTATACAACGTGAAAATTTGACGTCCAAATTTGGTTTGTTTATAACAAAGTGACATTACGCAGTGTAACTGGATACGCAATAAAATTTAAGTGTATATATCTAAAGAAAATGCAAAAAAAAAAAAAAGATATTGAATTGATAATAAATCACACTGATAATCGTATAAATATCCTTGAAACGCATTCGGTAAAAGTGATAATAGTAAACTGGGGAATAATATACGGGTTTTAATTGTACGGCTCCAATTTTATTTCCATAAACCTTTAAAATTACGCTCGTGAGTAATTTACTTCGTTTCAAAGGCGTTTTGCAAAAGTCGTACGTATACATTTAACTAATTTATTAACGATAAATAAACATTTCGTCTCGTTGTATAATAGTCGCCCGAAAAGAGTGATATACAGTCGTGGTTCGAACAAATAATTATTTAAATTTTACGCAATCGACCCATCAATGATAATTCAATAAAGCTTTCTATCTTCTTCAATATTTTAAAGAAATATAATAACAAAGACTGGAAGATTGTTTTTGTCTTTCTCGAGAAATTAGGCAATCACAAACTACTAAACATTCGTAAAAATAAATAACAATGTAAACGTAATTACAATAACATAAATAAAATTTGAATTCGCACATATTTAAATTTAATATAACTATCTTCGTTCATTTGAAATCAGCGATACAAAAATGAATTAACAAACACATATCATTTTGAATTACTATTTCGTAATACGATAAAATGTTAGAGAACGCATACATATTTATTTTTTTAGAAATCTATGTTTTCGATATGCAAGAAAAAAGAGAAAGAAAAAGGAATCGAATAAATGAAAGTATAGATAGTAGCTTGAATAATAAAGCGAGCTACTACATCATTCTTTCAAGTATATCATTTTCAAATTCAAATTGAAATAGGTACCGCATGACGAAAGAATCGTCCACGAATGGCGCGGATCTAAATATGTTGAATGGTTAATATAACGCGTAGCATAATGCACTGCTACAAGAAACAGAGTCTGGCCCTATACGCGATTGCTGACCTAAAGACCATCGCAAAAACATCAGCCTCGGTACACCACGGAGTACCCAAGAAGCGCGCCGCGCCGTTGCGCAACTCCGTCGTAACTTCCGCCTATTCTCTCCTTCATCGTGTCTAATTCAAATAGACGATTTTTAAATAAAGAGTTTCCTTCGTAATATTCAAATTCAAATCATTGGCTTTCGATATATATATATATATCAACGCGGCAATTTTGTTTTGAATATTCTTTGATTAAAGATTGAACTGCAAGATAAATGTTTTCAGTAGCTGATATGGTATACTACATATATACTGGAGTAATTGGAAAATACTCTTGGAGCAAATAAAATCAAAACTACCTGTTATTCAGAGAAGTTTCGTACAGCATAGTAGCATGCCTTTTCATCGATCAACCCTGTTTCAATGAATTAAATATGAAATTCTTTTTTGAAAGGATATGTAAAACTTGATTCTGATAATAAATTCTAGGAATAAATAACAGAATACGCTTGTACGGAACACAAGCATTAAATTTCCTGTCTGCTCTTCTTTTATATCTTTTTCTTTGTCCCATTCCAGTAACATTTTCAACACGATTGTTAATGCGCGATTACTGGCAAGGAAGAAGACCTTCTTCGCCATGTCGACGTTGTCATTGGAAATAGACGAATTACACGTCGTAAGGAGAGGCCCGTTGATCCTAAGGGGCGGCTTGTTCGGAAGACGTCGAGTCGGTATGCAGCGTTGTATATTTTCATGCATTTATTGGAAGTGCTTTTGTTCCACGATATTCCGCCGCATTCTTTCTTTATACGAATTTCCTTCAAACGTCGTGCCACGCTTTTCTATTCGCTTCTCCATGTATTCGTCCATACATACAATTTACTTTCTTCTCCTCTTTCTCGCTCTTTTTCCATCTCATTCTCTCTCTCTTTCTCCATTTCTCTCCCTCTCTCCCATTCTCTCTCATTCTTTCTCACGTTCAGAAGGATATCTTGGGACCATAACGCCCGATGCAAATTTCAATTCTCTCTGATGAACGCAATTGATTCTGGCGAATTCACTGTGAATTAAATAATATTATAGAATTGAAATTGGTGTATCTCTCATAATAATTTTGCTTCCCTTGTGCAGCGGACACTCGAAATGGGTATCATAATGTTTAAGTAGTACATATAAAATGATTAAACGTTAAAAGATTATCAAAATAGCCAGAAACCTTGTAATTTCAGTTTTGGTATGATTTCATGTAAACAAATGAAAGTATTAATCTCATCTAGTATAACTTTACTATCTCAATCAGATTGTTCCAATGTATGATACCATTTTGAGAGTCATGAGTTGCACTTTGAATTTTGTACAATTAGTCACCGAGAGGATGGAAATCTGGATGGGCTCACGGAATTGAGTGTTTTGCTTTATCAAGCATTCAGTGAGCAAGATGTATAGCAGAAACCCAAGAGTTAAATATTTCCAGATTTCTGATCAATTTATTTAAATGCTTAATAGGGTGTACATGTACAAGGGAAGAAGTATGGACAGACAAGAGTTGGTTTGTTTCCTTACCTAGACAGATTAGTAATATCCGTGGTGACTTCTATTGATGTATCGTTTGTTGGAGAACGGTAAAACACACACCCCGAAAAAATATATGTATATCGATAGGAACACACCTTTTTTTTTTTGTTTTTGTTTTATCCAAGTATTCTTAGAGGAAACTGCACAATTAAATGCTGATACGTCGCTTATTAAAAAAGTATTTTGATTCTATGAATTTACCGCGTGGCACTAGCTTTGAAATATTTTGTACGATATTTAATTAATACTTTATCGAAGATTACCTGCTAGATCTTCTTAATATAGCAAATAAATCGATGCTCAAGGAGGTGATCCTACTCTGTCTTCGTTCTTCTAAACGTGATGTTAGATATCGAGGCAAGCACAAGAGATCCGTTCGATCCACTTCCATGTGGGTCGATAGATACGTTTTCTTATACCTTCTACAATATTCTAATAATTTGTAGGAAAGTAATACAGGGTGTCCTAGTACATACTATAAACTAAAATATATATGCCTGAAAGAAATCCTGAATTAATAAAATAAGAAAACTATATATGAATGTAGTAAATGAAGTGAAATATCAATATTCACGCAACAGACAAAGTATATAAATATATATATATATATAGTTTGCTCGTGATTCTCCTGGAGCCAACCACCTGCAAACTCAATATTAAGAAGTTAGTAAAGAACGGTATAATAGAACAAATTGATATTCAAAGACTAGTTATTTTAAGTTGAATTTAGAATAATTAAACTAGTTAGATAAACATATTTAATTTTTAATTTCTAAAAAAAATATAATCATAAAAATAAAATCAGGAAAACTGCAATATACATATGAAATATTAAATCTTTTCACATTGTATAACATGTGAATAATTTGAAAGCAAAAATAATACAGTCTATTAGTTTACACATAATTTCTATACTTTATATACTGTTGTTATTTGAGCTTAACAAAAGTGTATATACATTTTCTGTTATATAATATCACCAATAATTGAGAAAAAAAAGCTAATTTTTAAATTTAAAGTACCTAGTCTTGGAACATCAGTATCAGATAAGAATTGAAGATAATATGTATCTTTGTCTCTAAAGAATTAAAGAGTTAACTTGTAGAAAAAAGTATATACATGTACTTGCAAAGGAAAAAGTTTTAAATACAATATTTGATATATTGAATAATACTTACGTTTTGGTTTTGGTGGTATTAATTTGATGCCTCCTTTCTTTTCTTCGCTCGGTGGTGTTGTTGGCGAGTCCAATGATAATTTAGCTCGTTTATCCGCCGTTGGAATAGCGTCTCTAAGTGGAGATGGCCTCTTTAAAACAGGTAATTTTTGTGGTATAACCTTTTTATCAATGATAGGATTTGGTTTTTTTGCTGATCTAGGTGGAGGAGGTTTGACTTCTTCCTCCAGACCTGTTGATCGGAATTTAGAGTTAAATGTTTTCACAGTCTTTGGTCGTGATGTAGAATCCTGAGAATTTTTCCTACTCTCGATAGAAATAGAAATATTCTTTTTTTCTGGCATTGCAACGATTTTCTTTGAATCAGTCTTATTTTCTTTAGAACTATCCCGTGAATCGGTCGACGATTTTCTTACAGCTGCATCCCCCGATTTTTCTTCTTCCGATTTCTTCTTAGGTATTTTCCCCAACTTTGAACTCAGCGCCTGTCCTTGTACTTTTTCTAAAGTTGCTTTGTCCTTCTCTGCCTGATCCTTCTTCTGTTTTTCTTTCTCTCGTTCTTTATCAGATTTACTTTTACTAGAACTATGTTTACTAGATGAATTGGATGAATGATGTTTATCCTTGTCCTTGGAAGACTTATCCTTGGAACTAGAACTTTTCGAACTACTACTACTAGAGCTAGAGCGATGACTACTGGATTTGTAAGATGCGGAACTACTACGATGCGAACTGGAACTTGAGGTATGTTTAGAAGAACTTTTAGAAGATGAAGACGAGCTATGATGATTTTTCTTATCAGAACTACTAGACTTTTTGTCATCTTTCTTAGTAGAGTCCCGATTTTCTTTATTACTAGACTTACTACTTTCACTACTACCATTATCTTTAATGTCTTTATTGTCCCTACTTTTAACAACATCCACATCAAGACTGTCCGTGGAATCTACTACAGTTTGTTTCACTTCACTCGAAACTTGGTCTAATTTTTCAGATCGTACAACATCCGCTTCACAATCTTGCCCACTGACTACACCATCACTAAGTTCTGTAGATGTTGCTTCCTCCTCGGAGTTCTCTTTCACAGGAAGCGTATTATCCACAATATCTCCGTTAATGTCTACGTTTGTACTGTTTGCATTTAAAACACTAGTAATATTTGCAGCATCCGTCTCCACTTTTGTAAGAATTTGTTTCCCTTCACGAATTGTAATTTTATACACAGGAACTGGAGATTGAGAAGATGTAGATACCACAACGAAAGATGGCTTTTTTGATTGCTGAGTTGATAATTGTTGTTGTATTTGCACCTGCTGAGGTTTACTAACAACTTGCAACTGTAATGATTGTACAGTTGACCTCTCTTGTAACTGATGCTGTTGCTCTTGTGATTGTTGTTGCTGAACATGGGATACTGCGATAGTTGATGTAGAATTTGGAATAAATTGTAGATCTTGCACCTGAACTGTTGCATTTTCAGAACCATCAGAACCTTGAATACCACAATGAATGGAATACTGTTGTTGCTGTGGCTGTGTCGATTGGGAAACTAAACTTTGTCCCAAAGTTCCAGGAGTTTGTACTGGAATAGTCATGATTTGTGCTGGTACAGAATTTGGTGCAGCTTCTCCTTTCACTATTTTTAACCACTGCTCAACTAATCGGCTAGCCAACACTCTAACACCTTGATGACTGCCTTCTTTTGATAAACCTTTTATCAGTTTCGGGCAATTGTTGCTTTTTAATCTTTCAATATCTACTGGGCATAATAACAGCAGTTCAAGAAGTTCTTGAATAAGAGCCCAATTTTTTGCAAGAATACCATCAGTTAGCCACATGTGAATGAGATTCCATCCTCCAGCACCCATGAATCTAAACAGAGATAAAACAAATTGTCCATGTTGTAAATTGTTCTGGGCAGTATCACTCTTTTAAGGAATACATCAAATATTTCAAATAAATAAAATTGTGGGACTCTCATCAGTGAGTACAATCCATATATCGAACTGTTCATTGGTTTGGAGTTCCTATTTTTTTTAATCTAGCATACATATTATAAATTACACAGGTATACATGGTATGAACATCTGTGTATACCAGTATGCAATATAAAGAATTTTACTTTTTACATAAATATTTGTCCAATTGAAGCAAATATTATCTATTTTATGTAGGAAATATTGATATATCAAGTTAGAAAGAACATATATACTTACTGGCTAAGTAAATCAGTATTTGTAGTTTTTAATATTTGGATGTAAATGCATTTTGAAACTAGTTTCTTTGAAAACTTTGTCATTAAATTAGTCAATCGATGAACTTCTTCTTTACTTTTAATACCTCCAGTTGGCCCCAATAAAACGCTAAGACATTTCAATAAAGATAGAGGATCTATACGTGGCTGAAAAAGCACATGTAAAATGTCATATATGTTGAAGTTTCAAAAGATTATGTAACAATATAAAAGATTCATCCAATAAAATTCAAATGTTTTTAATGAAATGTCATGAATTTATTTAGACTTTTAGCATCATCATACTTGTGTAAATGACTTTTTTAAATATTCAACAATTTCTATTCCTCTGAATAAACATCAGCTAGAAAGAATATCTTTTCAAAACGTATACTATTTCATAACCTTTCACATTATGTAACAATATTATGCATTACACTAAAACATTTCAATTTGAGTGGAAAATATGTCGAAAGAACATACAAACATAATAGAAAAGCGATACGATCATTTACCTTCACCATTTTATTACTCAATAGGAGCATTAACAAAATAAATTACATTAATTTTTAAATAATCTCTCATTAAACTATCTATTTACATCGTGCGGCGAATATCGAAAGTTGCTAATGCCAGAAATAGAATAGGAGGTCACACAGGCGAAGGTTATTGATCCTACCGCTTTCCCCTTCCACTACATACATATCAATCGTAATTCATCGCACATGGCGCCCTCTTTCAAGAAATTTATCAAGCAAGGGGGAAAGTAATTGATTGCAACAAAAAACTAGACTTACCATTTTGATGTTATTCTTGACGATTTAACGCATATCGAAGTACAAACAAAGGATCATGACGCAAATCTGTAATGAAACACAAAAATATTCGTTCTTTTAATGGTGCAATGTCAACACATTTCTTCAAGGCTAAGTATACACGACACCGCCATATTGTTCAAAATTCTTAAGAGTATAGATTTATAAATAACTCAAAAAATCCACATCTACGAATAAAAGAATTATTTTGAAGAACATCGTTACCTAAGCCTAAAATATATTTTCACCGATAATCGTTCATTAAAGTCAAATTCTTGAAACGCTTCGTTACTCTCATCGTCCTTTCATTCAACTAACTGTACAAAGAATCTATCCTCACAAAAACGGAGATAATAATCGATAGGATTTTTGTACAGTCTTTGTTATTTTAATTGTTTCGTTATTTTTGCATTCCCTAATCAGAAAAATCTATAAATACTGCAGTTATGCAAAAGCTACAAATAGTAAAACTATCAATGTGAGAGGTAAGCTCTTCAGTTAACGGTGATCACTGGATGGTCAACTGGCGAATCTCTTCCTGCGCAATACTTCTGCGCATATCCTCCCACCCAGAATGGTTACACAACCAACCAATCACATTTCGAATCCCTTTTAACGTCAGCCAATAACTGTTATGACCCCACCCTTTCACTTGACATCACCGAGCAACTTCTATTTATAGCTCACCATGATGATCCATTTATATTAAAATTTTTACCAAAATCGTAGTTTTCTTAGGCATATGCAATCACTAACACTTTTTATAGCGTTCAAATAATATTCGATTATCACTCTTGCAATTTTAACATAAAATAGATACCTTGCATGCAATTTTCAGCGTGAAAACCCGACAATCCCAACGATACAACGAAGTTACATCACTACTGCATTAATAGTTCTATGCTGCCTATCCCTCAAATATTTTAATATTAATTTTTGTCTATTTTTATTATATCCAATACGAAATATATATAGCTGTGTGATAAAAATATAATGAAAACTGTACCAGATTCTGCTAGTTATTCGAAATGAAACGCTGTCAAAAAAAACTTCGGCTTTTTTGAACGACAGAAAAGCCACTCACATTTGATTAACAATTAAATCCTTTTTATGGAAAATAAATGTTCACAGGAGTGTATAAGAAATTTAACATTTCCTATACACGAGAACGACGTGGCCCTACGCTTTGATGAAAATAGGCTACGCATCGGCAAACGCTACAAGATTGTCCAAAATCCGTAAATATCTTCTTCTTCAGCTGCCATCTGTAATCAAACATTGTTTAAATTTTACTTTTATTACCTTAATGTTGATTTTCTTGTGATATCTTGTTGAACAATTCCGAAATTTACTTTTAACTTAAATAAAATTATTCTCACCTAACTACGTAGAAGCTGCTGTTACGCCCAAGTCGGAAGTGTCTTGTTTTCGTCATCTGAGTCAAATGATACTTTATTTTATTACATATTATACTGTCATTATGGACAGTTAATTACAAATATATATCTATAAAATATTAAAACTATTTAATTTAATAATAATCAATTTGTTAATCATTAAAAAAATTTTAATGTAATGAAATAATGATTCTTTTGACTAACTCAATATGAACTAAGATTGTTCCTAGTCATATCAGCAACTTTATAAAATACAGTTTATTAACAATTCATGATATATTGTAGATAATACATGTTTTTATAGGAAAGAAATATTTTTGTATATGTTCGTAAAAGATTTTTGTAATCTAGTAATGAAACGGTTTTCAGCATTTGTTTTGTAATATTTTATAAGACCTGTTTGAATTACTACGGAATCAATTAGAGCAAAGAAATATAAAAATTAATAATAAAAAATATTATAACCATAATTTAATAACTCTGAAAATGCGAAATTAATAATTCTAACTGTATCTTAATTGACTATTTTCTCTTACCAATGAATTTCCGGGTCTCAGTTTTATCATATGAAAGTAGGAATGCTGGGTAATTATATATATTAGTGCTATAGATTTTTTGAAAAGAAATATATGAATAAAAATATAATGTCATTGATATTAAATAAGTTGTTCTTAGCTGGATCAGTTTGGCGAACCACCTTAAGTGCAAAAGTAAGGGTTATTAAAGTAATTATTATCTATGTTTATACATTTGAAATTATATTTTAGGTTACACCTGTGAAATTTGTACATTCTACGTTTGTACGTTTTGACGAAGAAGTAGAAGGAACAGAACAATCTAAAAAAATTGATCCTTCAAAAGATAGAAGTAAAATTATTCCTGTTGAAACTAGTATAAAATATTTAGAGAGTAGTGGTAAGCTTTTATATGATATGAATTCTTCTCCATAATATTGTTGATCATATGGATAAAACTGTATTTTAGCTTATAAAACAACTTATGGGAATGATCCAGTATGGAAACCTTACAGACGCAATTTTAAAGGACAATTTGCACCAAGGAAGACAAGGAAAATGTGCATTGTAATTATCCTTAAAATAAATTGAAATTGTTCTGATTATTATAAATGTTATGATAGTTTCATACATATTTTTAGAGAAATGGAGTAATTAGCACTGGTAGTCCTTGTCCAATCTGCAGAGACGAATATCTGGTTCTTGATTACCGTAATATTGAACTGTTAAAGCAATTTGTTTCTCAATACACTGGAGAAACTCTAGATCCTAGGTAAGTTTTACTTTTCTAAGGACTAAAACAAAAAATATTAGCATACAGTACAGTTACTATTGCTTTCTTTTTCTTTTCTACAGTTGTACTGGTCTTTGTCAAAGAGCACACAAGGATCTTCTTGTTGCTTTAATGAAAGCAAAGGAGTATGGTTTATTAATACATGATGTTCCTTATAGATATTACGATTATTTGGAGTGGAAAAGTTAATCATTAAACTTTTAATTGCGTTTAAAAATTTGTATTTAAAAAGTAAGAGCCCAACAATGAATAAAAAAGAAATAAATTGTACATTTGCCATAGTAGGTGGCGGTATTGCAGGAGTGTCCTGTGCTGAGAGCATAGGTTTCGTAGCACCAGAGGAAAATACCATTTTAATTACAGCAAGTCCTTTGATAAAAGCAGTTACAAATATAGTCCCACTTGGTAAGACTTTAATGCAGTTTGATGTAGAAGAAAAGGATACAGAAACATTGACAAAGACACATGATTCTTTAAAAGTTATTCAAGACTTTGTAATAAAAGTAAATATTGCGAATAAACAGTTAGAAACAAAAAATGGGAGAGTTATAAGTTATAAAATGTTATGCCTTTGCAATGGTGGCAGGCCCAAGCTTATAGCAGAAGATAATGATTTTGTATTAGGAATAAGAGACACAGAATCAATTGTTAAATTTTCGGAAAAAATAAAAAATGCACGAAAAATTGTTATAATTGGAAATGGAGGCATTGCTACCGAAATTGTTCACGAAGTGGATGGTGTTGAAATGGTATGGGTAATTAAAGATAAACATATTTCTGCAACATTTGTTGATCCCGGAGCTGCCGAATTTTTCATGGGTAAAGTATATAGAACCGATAAATCAACAAATGTTAATATTAAATCTCCAACTAAGAGAATGAGATACAGAATATCTGATACCACAGCTGTAAAAGATGGACCAGCTTTGGGTCCAGATTGGCATAATAATATCGATATAAAAGGCACTTATCTTAAATCTTCAAAAGTGGAAATAGAATACGAATGTGAATTTGTTAAAATTCTTAATCAATCAGAACAAAAAGAATTTGATCCTCAGCAAAACTGGCCTATATATGTTGAATTAACAAACGGAAAGATTATTGGTTGTGATTTTATTGTGTCAGCAACAGGTGTAATACCAAATTCTGACCTAACTGGTTTAGAAAGTGTTAGAAAAGGAGAAGATGGAGGACTATTAGTAGATTGGAAACTAGAAACTTCAGAACAAGGCATATATGCTGCAGGAGATGTATGCACTGCAGGGTGGGAGTTAGCTGAACATTGGTTTCAAATGAGATTGTGGACTCAAGCTCACCAAATGGGACGATATGCGGCAAAAGCAATGGTTTCAAAATTAAGAAATGAAGAGTTTTTACAGGATTTTTGTTTTGAACTTTTCACACATGTTACTAAATTTTTCGGTTATAAAATAGTTATACTTGGTTTGTTTAATGGACAGAAATTAAATAATAAATATGAAGTACTATTACGTATGACTAAAGGACATGAATACATAAAACTTATACTAAAAAATGGTAAAATGCAAGGAGCAGTGTTGATTGGAGATACTGATTTGGAAGAAATGTGTGAGAATTTAATACTTGATCAATTGGATTTAACCGATTATGAACAAGATTTATTAAATCCCGATATTGATATCGAAGATTATTTCGATTAATAATATATTAGAAACGCTCTTTGTTTCATATTATTACAGTTAATATTGTGAAGAGTATAAAATGTTTGTATGTACTCAACTATGTAAGACTTTAATTATAGTTCTTATTTATTATCAGTCCGTGACATGTACAAAATGTACATGAAACAATTACATTAATAAAAAAAACAAATATTGATTTATGTATTATGCAACTATTAGTCTTTTGTTAAAATGTAAAAAATATACTTCGATAGAATAGTACCATAGTTTTACACGTTTTATATAAATTTATGTTGATAATGAAAAAAAAGTATCCTATGTACTTAGATACAGATACATTAACATTACACAACACATTGTGAGTAATAAGAAATAAAATAATACAATTAAATATCAATACAGTTAAACGTACTTCTTTGTTTCTATTAACAGTGTTTGGTTATATATAGTTATTATATACAACCATTTTTTAATATTCATACATAAGTAATTTTTCTTTTTACTAAGTCAGATCTTGTTTTGATTTATCTGTAAATCTTACGCTTTTGTGAACAATTTTATCAGAAGCTGTAGATTTTGTTGGCGTAATAGATTTTCTATTGCAATTTTCAGAAAGTACGTTATCGGATTTTTCAGCTGTACTACAATTCCGAGTAGAGTTTACGATTTCGGCTGTATCTTCGTTTAAGTTTCTCGCTTCTAGAACCTCACGCAAATTATTGATAATAATTTGCATATTATTAAGCGATTCTATGACTAACTGAACTCCGTCATTTCCATCACACAATTTGCGTAAAGTTTTTGTCGCCAGTTCCATTTGCACGAGACAAGTATTTATAATTTCCTGTTCTTTACAGGAATGAAAGGTTTGACCGGCACACGGATTTTCAAATACAGACGTATCCAATGAAAGTTGTTGCAGACTCTCGTTTAAATGTTTCTTTACCGGTGTCATGTTTATTGAAATTCGACTACTATTCAAGGAGTCTTCAAAAGTTTCCGTATTTTCGTACGGTTCCCAAATTTCATCTGTTGTATGTAATTCTTTCAGTGAATCTTCTATATCGTAATCCCGTAAGTGGTGAATCCACTCTAGAAATCGCATTGGTTCCCAGAGTGTTTCTTTCATACAGTCTCTATTTCGTATACGAATTACTGGTTTTAAACTTTTATTTACAATTATTTGTTGTTGATCAAATTCCTAAAAAGATAATAGCTGATTATATAACTACACAAAAAGTAATCACTGAAAAATAAGACACGTGCGGTTGACACGTACGTAATTAAAACCAACTTCTCTACACCGTTCGGTAGCTTCCTTTACTAATAACTGCGTTTCATGCAAACTAATACCACCGTAATTTATTGCTTCTGTACTTGCTTTCATTTTGAGAGCAAATTCAGCATCTGCTGCTTTCTCGTTTAAAATGCTTTCCAATTCTTGTAAAAATGTTGTTTTATACGGTGCAACAGAATCTTTCTTTGGTTCCACTTGCAATTGTTTTAATCTATTATTCGTTTCAACTTCGGTCGCAAGTAATTCCTTTTCCAATTCCAGTTCCTTTTTCCTTTCATAAATTTGTTCTAATGCTATCTTTTGCTCCTCAACCGTCGAACCAAGAATCTCGATTTTACGTTCGTACGATAATCTTTGAGATCCCAATTGCATCTCAGCTTCTCGTTTAGCATTTTCCAATTCTTTTATCGCTTTCTGTTTACTCTCTTCCAATTCTGCTCTCAGTCTATATAAATACAAAACAATAAAACAACGTTAAATATCTATCACGAAAGTTGAATATTGTTGGTGAATAAACAAAATTGCAGGGTTCATACTTCTCCTCTTGCACTTTAAGAATTTCCTGATGAGCAAATTCGTAATCTACTGCTTGCGTAGAAATTTGAGTATTGTTAAAATCATCGTACGGATTTAATACTTTGAAATAATGATTGCCGCCGATTACTAATCGATCGCCATGCTTTAGGGCAACTTTACCAGTTACGACCTATAACGAAACGAAGAATTTATTTAAAATAATTAACATGAAAAAATAATAACGATAAGATAAATGTAAACTACCTGTCCATTGACGTACGTGTCCCCTTCCATTTCTGACGACAACGTAAGTTTCCCATTATTGTTTTCAATGGTGCTGTTAAATATATAAAAGACAATTAAAAGAAAGTGTAAGAAAGACAGTAATTTCAATTATCCATGTAGAAAACTCATTCATAAAATTATACATATAACTTGTTAAATTTCTAAACATCAAACAAAAAAAATGATGTTTAGTTTGGAAATATTCATACCATAAAACCAACACTTATATGGCGCAAAAGTCCATCGTGCAGTTTTATATAGGATATCTGTTAAACGGTATCACATCATAAACGAAGATAAGGAACATGCATTAATAAAAGATAAACGATGGAGAAAAACAAAAGTTAGACATTTCTTTCCTATACCATGAATCGTTAAAGCAGCAGTTAAAGAAAATGTGCAACATGCACGAGACAATGAAAAAGACGAAGACAAATGGATAACGCAAACAAGCCCAACAGATGCATCTCTTCAAACCATTGAACCACAAACGACCCATAAACTAACCAGTGCAAAGGCCTAACCAGTGGTCCATCCAACATGATGTCCAAATTTTTGGAAGAACTTTGATTCCCAAGATTCTTTCCGATACGAACCAATCCTGGAGGAATCAGATACAAAAGTGTACCGGATAACATAGGATCGGCCGCGAGATTTATGAGACAAGGTTGCTTATCCTTCTCGTGAAAATCAATCTCAATAGCAATACCACATTGACGTAAATACTTTAATTCAGAAATCTTTTTTTCCTCAGCATCCCGTAATTTTGTTTGCCATACCCTGAAATTATATGTAACTGAATATTAAGTTCTTCACTTCTCCAGCAGAGTTTATTCAAACTTCAATGTAATATTCAGTAGGCGTTTATTATAAATTTTTGTGCTTTCCAATGTAAATTTTCAACTTTAACTTTTGTCTAAGCAAGCAAGTAAATATGTTTCTATATTTCCTTTAACCATTCTCTTTATGTATCAGTGCATTAAAAACTATAAGAAACGCCTACTGTACATCTGAAAGAAATTAAATTTTATTAAACAGGGTTATTCATAGAGAGATCTTTAATGAAATATTGTCATAATAAATGAACTTACATTTGAGAGGTCGCAAGTTGTTCCTCGGTTTTCTTCAACTGATTTTTCAATTTATCAATCTCATCTTGTTTCTGCTTAACTTCATCGTCATTTTGAGCGGTTGTTTCAAAGAGCCGACGAGGCAAAACACCAAGTTGCTTTTCGTATCCCTCGCGAACACCTCGTAATCTCAACACCTCTGCTTTCAGTTCACTAATTACAAGATTATAATTATATAGGTTTTTTAATAAACCCATCGGGGTTAATTTGTCAAGAATAAATTATATCGACAAACTGCGACATACTTTTGTTTTTTTTTTTTTTTCAAGCTCTATAAATCTACTTATGCTAGGGCCACATCTGCGTCTAATGTAACATACACGAATTATAACCATGGATTAACGCGCTAATCTTATAACAGCATTGTTAATGATAGCTCGGGTGGCGGTCTTTTTTCTTACATCAAAGTGTTAATGCATAAAATCTACATAAAAATGTAAAACCAAGCGCGTAATTTTTTTCTCGCATTAATTGACTCGTTTATCGCCGTTGGACGATAACGTAGATGTGACTCCAACATTACTGGAACATCATTAAAATTTATAATTACAGTATCTTATTGAATTTTTATAGCAGACGTTAATAATAGCAATCGAAAGAAATAAACGTCATCAATATTGATATTGCTAAGTAATTTTACTCGCTCGTTCGACACATAATTATGTGCGTATTACCGAATTAATCTTTCATGAGGATCTTCGTTAATTCGGACTCGATTAACAATGGCTCTAGCTTGACACGCATAACGAAGCGTTGCAAGTGTTTCTTCGATGTGAATGTTAGCCGGTGATACAGTTCCAAGCATCGCTGTTTTTGAGTTCCCTCCAAGACTTTCCTGGGAATTAAAAGAAAACAGAAATACATTAGCAAATAACAATCATTCACTCTGATAGTTAATTCTGTTTAATATAAAGAAGAGTTAAGTTCATTGAAGACAAACTCAATTGGTAGACCGTGAGGCACCAATTAAGTCCGCCAATCAACAGAGTAATTATATCTTATCATACTAATCACACCCGTTAAGTTTTGCAAATTTGATCCAACTAAATCTTAATTCTTTCTGCGCATAAATAATCCTTATCAACATCCTGCTTGATAAGACAATGTGATCTTAAAAAAAGAAAAGGTACGATTGCGGTTTAATCCTTCACGAGTAATATTTGCTTTTATCGATCACACTTTGACGTTTCTTTCTCAAACGTTATCCTGCTATAATAAATAAAATGATAAGACAGCAGATAAAAGATGGAATTTCTTATTGCTATGTGTACACAAAGGTGTGTTAATCAGTACCACTGGGTTTACAACCGACGATAAAAAAAAATCATTCTTTTATATTCCTACATTCTTTCCTTTTTTTTTCTCTCTTTTTGTTACTAATTACTGGAATTTTTATTCATCCTTGAACTCGTTTATTAGTGCTACGTAAAGACGTTTGAATTTCACACAATAACAAGACAACTCGAACTATACTTTGTTGATACCTTGTTAATCGGCATTAAATTATTATCAATTTATTCCGGTAGTAAAGGAAATGCTGATAACTTATCTGAAATAAAATTCGCATCTTAACATGTATTTCTAACACATTTTTCAAGTAAGCTCGTTACGTAGTAAGAAAAAACTTTCATGTGATCATTTTACGAAGAATTGCATAAACGTAAATACGTTCTCTTCGATTACATAAGAAATTTCATTATGCAAAATACAATATTCCCTCATGATTAATTAGCTATTTACCGTTTTAGAAATATATCAAAATTATTTAATTAATCGTAACATGTTTTATACGTTCATTTGATTTATGATAAAAAAATTAAGTTAACAGTACGTATTCAACATTTTTATCAAGTACACGATGATTATTATTGAACTTGCACCTATTACTATAGGTACGTTCATATCGTAAGGTGATAATTAAAAGAACGGTTTCTCACAAAGATCTTTAAGATACGTACGTACGTATGTACGACGTACCAAGAGATAGTGAGCACTCGACGACGAGTTTCAAGTATCATCAATTGTTAATAACAACCTTGAAGTACTCATAGAATAAAAGATCTTCATCTTCTCTAAAACGCAATATACACCAAGGTGAAACAATGCAAATAATATAGAAAAATACTACACGCGTTATCGGACGGTCTATTATTTATCTAGCTGTATAAATAATTTAATTTATCCACTTCAAAGAATTTGTTCATTTATCGCCAACTTAGAATAACAAACTCTGAACAATTATCTAATTTCAAATAATCCTTTGATACCATTTGAAATGCAAACAATTGTCGATATTGTACAAAAGAACGTAAAAATTACAAGAATTATAGATTAATAAGGGCGGTGGACATTTCTCGAGTGAAGCGTATGTATATAAAAAAATTATTTTCAAAGTCTGCAAGAAACAAAATTGCACTTTAAAAGTGCAGTTGAATAAAGAAAAATAAGAGCTGAAAAACATTGAAGGAAAATACCGTAAAGGGATACCTATAGTTGGAAAATGCGATCGAAGTTGTAAAATTTGCAAGAGTTTCGCAAAGGTGATTGGTGGAGAAGGAGAGGGATCGTATCGGTACCGAAGGGCGTAACAACGAGGAGAGGAGCAGAGGGACAAAGAACCGATGGAGGGGAAAAGCCGACTCATAAACATTGCGTGCTCAGCGTCTCGTACTCTTTAGTTTAAAGCAAAACACCGCAGCATTTCGAGCAGAACGTGATCTCATTTTTTACAGACCACTTGGATTCCTTTATTATTATTTGCAATTGTGCAACAACGTTGATAGTTTTGCCAGTAATTTAATTAGCTACCAGGAAGAAAGGAGACCGGAAGCAAAGTTCCTCTACCTAAACTGGTGAAACTGCGTGCTTTCATTGGCTGGGGAAAATCAACGTAATTAACAGATCATTTGAACCGCTTTCTTCGTTTGTTTTTTAAACAATAGAAGAAGAACCGTCGGGTGAACCTATATCAACGGTGAAAGAAGATTCAAAAGTATCTTGATGAAAATAAGAGTCAACTGAAGAAATCGAAGAAGAACAAACACGGGATTTTTCACGAAAAGTAGATAGAAAGTCCACTATTCTGTGAGAAAACTTCGACGAGGATGGATCTGGTTTACATTCCTGAGGTCTTGACCTACGGCTTTTTCAGGGCTCCTCAATACCGTGACTACGAGCAGCCCTGGAATACAGATTACTTCAGTTATGGTACGTTTTAATCGAACCTATACCAATCGATTTCATTTATTTATTATCATTCTCTCTTCGTAAATAAATACAATGAAGTCTTTCATTGTTTGAAATCTTTAAAAAAAAATTGTTGAAAAAATATCGAGGTACTTATCTATATTGCCCACGAAAGACTATTAATAATTATTACAATGTTCATTCACGTTAAGTAAATGTTTATAAAGACTCGAGTTCTTCGTCAGCTTGTTTTTTACTATGATTCAACAATGGATTGTATTATTCTTTTCTGTAAACACGTTTAGCAACGATAGTATCTCGACAGAAGCACGCGATACAAAAGTGTATATCATTTTCTTTATAATTTTAAAACATTTACATTTACCCAAGAAATTAGCATGATTTACTGTTATCTCGTGAATTATGTTCCCCCTTTATGTTCAACTCCTGTTATGGACATTACAATGGATATTAATGATGAGTATCGACACACAATACCGATTTCATCATGCACTTCCTGTTTCGTAAAAGAAAATGAAATGCCAGAGATCGATCAAATTTTCATTTATCGAAACGTATCCACAGTTCAACGATAATTAAATAATATAACATGATCGATCAAATTAACTGATTAACGTTGCTCAATTCGAGACCGTATCATCAAGTAGAATAAAACTAAATTTTCATATTTTCAATTGAATGATGCATACAGGAATAACTCCCAGGTATTTCTACGCAACGAGTTACCCCTTCCACTCTGCTTCCGGCGAGGAACTGGTTGCCTAAAGCAAAGGTGCAGTCGCGCTGCATTATTTCCCATGCATTCTGTTCTAAAATTATCGTCGTCATCATCGTCGTCGTTATTTGTCGTCAAAAATCAATTTCTAATCTTGAAACTGTAAATTCAATCGTAGGTTAAGCTATAAAAAGTACGTTTCAGACAAATAATGACATACGCAGCATCAAAACAAACTAAATACATCGTAGATCTTGAAAAACATGTTTACGATTCCTAGGATTACGAATGTAGTCAGTCGAGACAGTAATAGAATATGCAAATGATCATAGTAGTAATATCTGTCGAATTTATATTTTATTACGACTTTTTATCGAATAAGAAGCGATATTAGCACGTATATTTATATACGAGGATAAAATTCAGTACGATTCTTAAAATACTTCTCGGAACAAACGTAATATAATCAATGGGAATAAATACAGTTAAGAAATATTTACCGCTTGATAAAGAATAAGTGTGCGATAAATGAATTTTGTACGGCAATGTAATCCATATAGATTGAGGAAAACACGGATATTTCGATATTCTGCATACACAAGCAGCCTTGCGATAATCGCTTTCGAAGCATTTCACTTTCAAAACCGGAATTTCTACTCGTCCAATTTGCATATTTTATTTTTCTATACCTAACTTCTGTATACGAATGAAATAATAGCGATGATTAACATCGATCTAGACAAGAATGTCACTGTGAAATTAATTTTTTCATTGATACTTAAGAAAAAGAAAGAAACAGTTTGACTTTGTGTTTATTACTCTGAAAGTGGGTCAAGGTATTGCTCGATGCGATTTAAATATACGAACAAACGCGTAGAAGTTCTAGATATTATTTTTCTTTTAATATTTTCATCTTGTTTCTTAATCGTACTACATATAATCTGATGATAATAAAACGTAAAAGGGGCATAGTACGAGTTGGAGAGGTAGCTACGTGTAACGCATCATGCTGCGCCGTTCAATGAAACGTGCTACGTGCAAGAAGGCACGATAGCAGCATTCGAAAAAGTCTCTTGACCCTTACCTAATAATAACACGTTCACCATCGCAGGGAAGCCAACTGTGTATATGTACTACGATACAGTATAACTGTAACTATTCAGAATTAGTGTCTACTACTTTAACGCATACCTATTTAAAATTTTGTTAAATTTCCTTTTTCGATACCGTTCAAAGAATATTTCTTTCTTGCTAAATAGATTAAAAGAAGATGACGGAGAAATAAAATTATTTTTCAGATAAAACAACACAAGCGCACTCGCAACGATTACCGCAACAACATCATCAACAAAAGCTATCATCGAAGGAGAATTGTTATTTGTGTCGAGAAAATAAAAGAAGAAGCCTAGCCGCTTATATCAGGGGAAAATCGCGAAAGGGTTCTTGCCATGAGATCCATGAAGAAGAAGAAGACGATGTCGATAGTATTAAAGAAGAGAATACAAGCAATGATCACACGTCGAAACAAATATTAAAAAATGGTAATGAACGTTCAGTGATCAACGATAAAAATGAAAGAAAGTAAAGTGTTGTTTACGCAACGATACCTTTTCTAACAAATCGTGTGTAAAAATATACTGTTAAACTCATAGGACATATTTTATATGTCGTAACTTTAGAATTATAACTATTATTTATTTAGAATAGGTATTTTTATAAAGAGTAACATTTTCAATTTACACCTGTATCGATAGTAGCTATAGTATCATCACTTCATGCATAAGTAATAACTTATTTTCATATTTTATGATCACATCTTACGGTCAAATATATTTTGTTAATGAATAACAAACAATAAAATAATTGTTTGATTTAATAGTATTTTTTTTTTTTTTTTTTATTAATAATATAATATTCCTTACCTTTAGCAGCCATGTAAGAACAGATTCACGATACGGAACAAATCCTCGTTTGCGATTATTTGTATTTTCAGCAAGGGATGCGATTACTTTTCCTAATGTGAGCAATGATTTATTAATTGACACACCTTCCTGTAAATTACAGTAATTCATTTTGTTAGATAAATACAGTAATGTAATAGGAAAAATTTTAACATGACGTAACAAACCTTTAATCTATCTCCACTCGCACAAGTCTGACTTAATCTCTCACTACCGGCCAGATCAACTAAATTGATTTTGCTACGACGGCTAGCATCTACAGATTCATTATTCAATTGACTATTTATTTGTGTCTGTGTTAATATAATACTAAATATACTATGAGATCTTGAACTTTTTTCATTCATTCCAGTTGCAGCTGTAGCTCTTTGTGAATTGCCCACTTTAAGCCAAGTCTAGACGAAATGTATTTATAGTAACATAGGAATAATTTTAATACACTTACAGGTAATAATATTAACATACCTGCAAATCTTTATAGTTTTGTACACAATGCTGACTTAAATCAACAATATATGGACCAAAAACAGGATGTTCTCTCACTTTAAGAGGAGCACTTTTTACTCCATTGTTAACAGTGGTTAAAAGATCATGTATCTTCTCGTTATAAATTTCAAAATAACTAATTTCTACTGTAATTTTATTATTTACACTGGCAGATATTCTTGTAAATATATCTTGACAAAATCTTGGAATAATACCAATTTCGTCGTCTAATAGCACTGTATTTATTTGTAAAGATTCTTGACCCATCATACTATAACTTTTACCAGAGCCTGTTTGTCCATAAGCAAACAAACAAACGTTATACCCTTCAAAAGCATTTTGTACTAATGGTAGAACCATATTTTTGAATACAGTTTCTTGACTGGCATGACCAGATTCGCTTGAATCTGCATATGATACAAAACAATGATCATACATGAAAGTATGTTGAATAGATTCACAAGTGACAGTAATATTTTGACCATTTACTTGTATAATTGATGTAACTTTTGAATCATTCAGTTCTCTAAAATAATACAAGATATGAAAAACATTATAACGTTGGATCATCTTAAAAATGTATGTATAAGTACAAAAACTTACTTTGAATTTAAGGGTCTAACACGTATTCCTACAGTCAAATTACTGCTTTCTCCTTCATAGACTGTTTGATCTTCTACACCAAGCTCATTTGATTTACTACTTGGTATTTCTACTTGCACAGCACTAAAGCAGTCAGGAGTAGCTTCAGACAAAATATTGTCATTAAAATAACGTTTTATAGGTGTTCTATGCGAAGGCAAGATATTCATTCTTGTACTGCTTGTAGCAGTACGTGTTTTGTATTGCTTAGGAGTATTAAAATTCATGTTTGAAGTTTTATCATGTAAGATCGAAGTAGATGTAGTTTTTGTTGAAGTTTTACACTTTTCATCAGGTATTACTTCTTCAGTAAATAAAACTTGCTTTTTACGAAGTACATTCATAGATTTTGAATGATTCAAACTTACACCATAAGGTGTACTTGTCAATTTTGAATTCTCCATTATGACATCATCAAATAACATTTGGCGTTTTTCATGGTTTGAACATTTACTTTCATTTTGATTTTGAATACCCTTATGAGATGTATCAAGTATGTCAGAAGATCTGTCTTCTCTAAAAATAATAATATATGATTAAAATAAATATTTTTGAATAGTAATGTGATAAGATAAGACGGTACTACATACTCACCTTTTATTAAGAAAATTAGTGTTTTCTTTGTTAAAATTAATAGGTGAACTTGAGAAAATAGCATCACAAAAACCATGCCCCGTAGATTTTAAGGTATTATGTGACATGTTAGTGAGATATGCAAAATTCTTTCAAACAAGGAACATTTGTACGATGAAAATTTTGTTTTTCATTAACTAACCTCATCAAATCCCGCGTTTTGACAAAATCAGACATATTTCTTGAATTATTTCAGCCAATCACAAGTTGTACTACCCATATAACCAATTTTTTTCGTAGCAACGGTTAAAAGATGAAATGAATTTTTACCAAAATTAGATAACATTTAGTGATTTAATACATACTAACGTTACATGCTTATATATGAACAGTAAATTTGTTTTCAAATTAATAAATTTACCAAATTTTGTTTATAATTTACTGTTATCATTACTACTTCAAAGTAATCTTTTGAATTTAAAATTCACAAGTTTTCATGATGGCCAATATTTCAAGTCAATACTACCAACATTTCTGTACCGTTTTGAAAAAACTAACCTATATAAACCTTATGTATACCGCGAAAAGACCAGTTTTCGTTCTTCGCGCATCTCCAGTACGCATCTTCGCCCTGATTGGCGATACTCTCAAACGAAGTGGAAAGCGATTAGCAGAGAGCTCGCTGCGTTCCCCCACCATCTTCCAACCTGCGCGTCGCAGTTATGGACTCTGGTGAACTGCGGTATATGTTGATAACGTTCCATTTTCTGACGTGGCCAAAGTTTTTTATCTCGTATAAAATAATAACAAAGTTTTGACATTTTTATGCACGTATGTTAATAATACACCAACGACAATACGTAGATTAGTTATGTTTTGATCAGTTTGTGCAGAATTGTAGAAATGACTACGATAACAGAGGATAACCAAAAAAGCCAGAAGAATAAATGGATTTCAAAAATTTTACTTGGCACATTTATTCTACTTATATTCCTAAATTTACCAACTCTTTGTCAAGCTCATGATCATGACGAGCCACCAAGTTTTAAATATTCCGAAAAAGCTAATTCTCGCCAGATGCAAGATGGTGTGGGTGTATCTAAAGTTATAGATCATCATTCACATGGACATAATGATCATGATCATAATCATGATCATCAAGAGAAATCAGTTTTATCTGATGAGGCTTATAAGGAAGTTATTGTTAAAGCTGTTACATCAACTTTAATCATATCAGCAGCCCCATTTTTTGTTCTGTTTCTTGTACCATTAGACAATACTAAAGAATGTGAATCAGTGCTAAAGATATTGTTAAGTTTTGCATCTGGTGGCTTACTAGGAGATGCATTTTTGCATTTAATTCCTCATGCTTTAGTTCCTCATGTACATGAATCTGAAGAAACTCATTCGCATACACATTCTCATGATCATGACAATGAAGAAGTTAAACATGTACATGATATATCTGTTGGATTATGTGTATTGTTAGGTATAGTGGTGTTTTTAATTGTTGAAAAAGCAGTACGAATTATAAAAACTGACCACAGTCATGTGCATGTACATAATGTCAAAGAAAATAAAAATATTAAATCACAGAAAAGTTCTAAAGAAAAAGAATCTAAGAAACCTGAAAATGAAATAAAAATTGCTGGATATTTAAATTTAGTCGCAGATTTCTTACATAACTTCACAGATGGTCTTGCTATTGGAGCTAGTTATTTAGCGGGGAAAAATATTGGGTATATTACCACATTCACAATTTTACTACACGAAGTACCTCATGAAATAGGAGATTTTGCTATTTTGATACAAAGTGGTTATAGCAAAAGAAAAGTAAGATATTAAAAGAACAATTAGCAAATTTTTTATTTAATAAATTATATAATATGGTTGTTATTTGCAGGCTATGATGCTTCAACTTACTACTGCAATAGGTGCTTTGTTAGGGACTTATGTATCATTACTTGCAGAAGGCATGGGTAAGAATGAACTATTACAAGTTAGAACTTATTTAATATTTGATTAAAATGTAACTTTAATTTATAGGTGACATTGCAACTATGTGGATACTTCCATTTACAGCTGGAGGATTTATTTATATAGCAACAGTTTCTGTAATACCAGAACTCTTAACTGATACTAATTTTAGACAGTCTGTGAAAGAAGTTATTGCATTACTCTTCGGTGTATATATGATGGTTTTCATAGCAAAGTATGAATAGATTTCTTCAATACATTGTGATCATTAATCAAGGATTTATTTCCATTTCCATTTGTATTCGTTAAAGACTACTAATGGAACAAATATATTGCATAACATGAATACCAGTGAAAAAAAGAATCGTTATATATCTATTACAAATTTTAACAAGGAAAAGGTCAATGAATATAAAAAAGAATTCAATTTTTGTTAGATATCATTTATATTATATAAGGTGTTCGGCTACGGATGAGTATCCTTACTGGAGGTGGTAGCTGGGGTGATTCTGAACAAACGAGCATTTTGATAAAAGAAAAAGTTGTTTAAAATCAAAGGTTGCCCACTCGTAGGCGAGTACTCTGTATGTAAATAAAAATAGAAAAATTGCAACTCCAATCAATATTAAAATTATATAACGTAATTCCAGAAAAAATGATATTATCATTTATGAAAGTACTGTAATAATTTATTATATAAAATTATAAATGAATTAGTCTTATAAAAAATAATGTAATCAAATATTTCATACTCAATATATTTGTCGTAAATGTAGATATTGAATTCACTAACATACTGATTTTTTAGTACAGACCATTTTGCATTCAATTACTTATTATAGCATATCTAAAACATCGTTTTAAAAAATGATTTGTGCTATAAAGTGATATATTTTTTGCATTGAACTTATTTAATTTTGTACGACTATTAATTCTGGCAATAAGCATATAACTGCTGTAAATGAAAATAAAAATTATATCTTTTCTACATCAGTGGAATGCATGTATTTTCTACAATGACAAGAATTACATTTTTAATTTTAATCAAATCACTACTAATTATTATAAAATAGCTGTTATTTTTATTCAAATCAGGACATATATTTACATATCAAATTTATAGTATCTAAACGATACTAGCTAATTTAGCTACTAGCTGGTGTACCTAAATTGATTCTAAGACATCACACTTTGTATTCTTTCAAGACATTTTTCTGCTTCTGCCACAGATTCATTATCTTTCTTAGCTTTTGCTAATTTCTTTCCTTCATTACAATTCTTTTTTGCTTCTTCATGTAATCCTTTAGCAAACAATGCATTTCCCAAATTGATATGAACAGAACTTAAATCATCCATGTCTGGAAATTTTTTTCCTACAAATATAATAATTCAGTTTGATGCAATTGAAAATTATTATAATAATCTGTATCTGTGTCAATATTACCTAGTTCTAATGCTTTAGATAAATATTCAATAGCTTGGTCATATTTTTGTAACATGTAATTGACACTTCCTAAATTACACAGCAAAATAACAGTCTCTTCGTGTTCTTCACCATTTATTTTTATGCATATTTGGTAAGCTTGATTAAAATACTTAAGAGCTTCAACATAATGTGAGTGTGAGAAAAGCATAGATGCATACCATTCTAAATTTACACCTAATAATTGTAACACATCTTGATTCTCACTATCTTTAGCTAAGTGATTTTTTAAATTATTCAAACAAAATTTGAAGCCTTTTTCTGCTTTTCTATGTTCATAAAATATACGATATGTTATTTAATGTAAAATGAAGAAAAGAAAAAGTTATAGAAATTTTTCTTAAGATTGCTTACTCTAAATCTCCTGTTTTGCTGCTTATGTCAGCAATTTTAAGACTAATATGTATGACTGCTAAATCATCTTCTGGAACTCCCTTAGATATTAATCTTTGTAAAACTGACACAAATAAGTTTTCTGCTTTTTTAAAATGATTTGTATCGTATGCTAAATTTGCCATTATATCATATACATAAGTTATACCATCATAATGTTGTAAAGTTTGTGCTTGCCTTAAAGCAACATGTAGCATTTGCTCTGCTTTTTCAAATTCCTTTTTCTATAACAGCAAAATAATCATTACTTATTTATAAAATAAGATCAAAATAATATAGCTCATTATCTAACCTGAATTAATAAAATTGATCGTTTGATTGTCATTTTTAATTCTTCAACCTCATCTTTTTCTTCCTTAGAACCAAATAAGTTAAATAAAATACTGCTTGAGATAATAAAATAATTAATTTGTGATGAATTTTTTTGATTATAGTTTTTATAATGTTTTGTTTTATTAATTTGTGGCAAATATGTTGTAAATATACCTTTCCTTAAATTTAACAGACAAATATTTGCAGCAGTATAATTAGATTTTATGCGTACTTGAGCATATCTGAATGTGTTTGTAATTATCCTTTGACAATACATTGTATTGAATTTTGAATTTTTTACAATTTCTTAATAATGATACTAACCACACTTTAATATACAATTTTTTTAGCAATACATATGCATCCATTCAGTATCTACAATAATATTATAAGAAATAATTCTGTGCAACTCATTATCAGTCAAGTATGTATGTGTTTAACTGCTGAAATACATACTTATGAGTGCAAGATGGATCAATCACTATTGACATCTCAATTATTTCTAATACTATAAAATTATTGAATAAATGTTGTTGTATAAAAGTAGAACTAACTCATAGTAGCAAGATTCCTGTATAAATCATAACAATATAAGTAAATTAGCAAGTATACATGTAATACAATTATATATATATATACATAACATGTTTATTCACTTTACATATATGGTTAGTAATAATTTTGCTAGTGTATATACATATATATACGCATACACACATAGATAGATATATAGATATATTCAATATGAAACTATACTAAAAATGTATCTAATTCCAATAAAAATTGTCTATGGACTCTTTGCAATGGTGTAACCATTCATTATTAAAGGCTAGAAATAGTAATACATACATAATGCTATATAAACACATAAAGTTGAGGTCAAATTAACACATTCATAACAATCGAACAGGCAAATGTATCGTATGTGTCGTATGGTTTTCCTTGCCCCACCCTTCTTTTTCGTATCGTAATGCTGCACACCTTGATTTCGTGTATTACGTACCTTTTCACCTCACGGATATGAGATAGGTCATATCACAACAGGTAATAAAATTAACCATATATTTGTTCTATATACAATAAATACAACATTTATGTATTTTTTAGTGACTACACTTTCGATAATAAGAATTGTAAATAAATATTCAAGTGAAGTTTTGTTTCTATGTATAAATATTTCAATCTTTGTGTATACTTTATATTATATATTTCTTTATGTAAGAAGGATAATCAAAATAATATTTAATACAATGATTTAACTGTTAATTATTTTAGAAAGGTACTTTATATTTTAATATATGTTTATATTATAATTTATATGTTCATGGGCACTCCCTGTTTTTTTTTTTTTAAACCATTATTTGTAAACATTCATCATTATGTATGATATATTTTATAAATATTTAACTAAATTAATATTAATCATATAAATAAACAAGAAGGAACAATTAGTTCATTGTGGGTTAAGGAAATAGGCCATTTTAAAATTAATGATTGTACATATATTTTTTTATATATCACATTAAATGTTTCTATACATTTTTATTAATTTTTTTATTACTTCTTCAGTGAAAATGAGTTCACAGGACACAACTGATAATGTACCAACAGTTAATTCACCTGATATATCCTCAAGAACAAAAAATTGGGTCCAATTTGAAGATGAAACACCTGTTAAAGATAATGGTAGTATGGAAGAAAAAACTAAAGTAAATACACCAGCTGTAATAAAACCAGAATCAGTTACAGTAAATGTTGAGAAAATTGGAAAAACTGTTGATAAATTAGATAATCAACAAACAAAAAACAATGAGTATAAAGGTGCTGTGATATCAACTGAATCCGTCCAGATTAATTTAGATAGATCAGGTCTAAGTAGGTCTGTCACATCTGAAAGTCCAGATCTTAATTTGCCGTCCGAAGTAAAAATTTCTGATCCTAAAAGTGCTTCTCTTAAAACCATTGATCTCCGTGATGTATCCAATGGTAGAAGCACTATAAATAATATTATAAGCACACCTATTGGAAATATTAGACAAGGTTTTGCAAATGGGGATACTATAGTTACTCTTTTACCAGTTAATACTAGATGGCCATGGATTACTCCTGCCAAGTTTCGACCAGAATTAGTACCAGAAGAATTAATGGCTCAGGGCTTAACGGTAAACATTTAATAAAATTATATCATTTAATATCCAATTACTAAATAATGAATAGTATTATCTATTATTGAATTTAAAAAATATTTTCTTTCCGTATGTGATGTTTGCATTATTTTACAGTTATATGTAAATTATTGTAATATATTTATTGCAGCTTACAGTAGAAGATTACGTACATATTATGGAGTTGCTTGTGAATGATGTACGTTTTAATATGTACAATGTATGCTACAAAAGAATCCTTGTTCTTTGGATATTCACTGCATTTATTGTATTGCTTGGCTTATTATTTTCTGGAGTAACTGGTCTTACTTTATTTGGCCTCGGCATTATGTGGTTAGTCCTAAATGCTGCTGCAATATTCTTTTGCATGTTTATCAAGATAAAATTAAATCATAATCTTGAGAAATGTATGGCTCAAGTGAACAAGCATTTACTTCGACATAAAATATTGCTTGGATTGGATGATAGAGGGAAGATTTCTTGTCACAAAGTCAATCTCTGTTTTATATATTTTGATACTACAGATTGCATCGTAAGTGTAATTAAATATGCAATTTATTTAAATAGTTAGGGTTTAATATGTTTTGTGATAACTTATTTTATTTAGTGTATTTTATTGATATACAAAAATATTTGCTTTTGATACAAACAGAACATTTATTTGCCAAAGTGTATTGAATGTAAGGAACATTTATTTTATAACAGAAAAAGTTACAAGAAGTTATAGAACGTGAAGAACGCGAGGGTAGAATAATCGGTGAAGATGGAAATTCTGAAATGCGTAGAAAGAGGGAATTGCAACAGCGAATGGATATTGACGATAGTGATATTGTTATCCAAGGCAGTACTACTACTAGAATTTCTCGTAAACAGGTAAGCATCTTTTAGCAGGTAATCGTATTTTAGTTAAGTTTATTAATTTATTTTAATTTTTTACATTTGTTGTTATATTTTTAAATTCTTATTACAATTCTTTTTGTTACTCTCTTGTAAAATGAAATAAAAACTATTAGGGTAAAAGTGAACAAGTATTCTGCCGTTATGTACAACGTTGGGCAAAGGATTATTTACGTCGACGTTTGGATTGGACAGTTGACGAAGAAGGTGGAAATCCTTCTTCACCTCGCCATTTAGCATCAGCTTTATGTCCATGTCAATATATAGAAGAATGGCTACGTAATAAGCCACATGTTCAGGGCAGAGATTTTTGTCCTTCCTGGAGTAGTTTTCTTAAAGATAGAGGCATTTAAATCAAAATTGTTGAATGTGCACATAAAAACTGATAACAATATTGCTTATAGCAATTTAAAACAGTTTTTAAAAACTTACACTTTAGTTGATTATAATTATTTTAATATCACGTTCATGATTAACATTTTCTTCAAAGAGAACTTTAAATACGAAATATCATATATTAAAAACAATAGAAATTAAATAGTTTTGTAACTATATTTGTAGATAACATAGATAATATTATTAAAACCGAATAAATAATCAAAATTTATATTCATGAAAGTTAATGAAAATAAGTCGCGCTAGATATTAAAACTACTTACTTATCATTTAGTACTTAATTATATAAGATTTTCGCTTTTAGAATTATTAATTACAATTAAATTTTTATATCATATTGATATTAAGGAAGAATTTTTACTCATATTTTTATTGTAAATTGGATCACTAATAGTGATAATATTTAAAGTTCTTTTACATGAAATTTAATATGGTTTTAATTTTAAATAATTAATTTGATGCCACTTTGTATTATATTATTTTGATGAAATTTGAATAATTTGCACACATGTGTACATGTTACAAGTTTGCTTTTAATATTTTTTCTTAGTGCATAAATTGTATATAATATTTAAATATTATATAATCCGAAATTGCACATTTGATATTGTACTTAATGACTGTGTGAAATGGTGAATGATATAAGATTTGTGACAAAATGATAAATTATGTAATTTATAACAGTAGTTAAAAACTGAGTGTACATAGTATGTCTTTTACGTATAGCAGACTTTTCAGCTTTACAGATGAGTTTGTTGTTAATGTATAAAACATAAATTTATTAATTTAGCTCTAGGTACTGAATGATGATGGTATGTGTTGACAGGAACGGGCGGAGTTGCTGTTGCTGAGGTATGCATCTCGATGGGCACATCACTTTGTGCGCCGCAGACTTGATCTGGTTATAGACTCACAGGAACGAAATAGAGACATCGCCGGTCTGTCTGTTCCACCACGACATTGTGTCTCCGCCCGTTGTCCTTGTCAATTCATTGAGGACCATCTCAAATACAAGCCTAGAGGCAAGTTAATATTTCGTACGTTTTTTCTGATGCCGAATTTTGATGGTAAATAACTAAGATCAATTGTTTAATTACAATTCCAGATAATTTGATCAGTTGATTGTATGTTCCTATCTACTTTTTATTACACATCTATCAAACACTTTTACTACCAGTTATACTTAAAATTATTTTTTTATCGTTAGCTATAATATAGTATCATAGAATTTTTTGTATTTTACATACAAAGAAGTCATATTTTTTCAATTTTTTGTTTATTGTAATTTGCTTTTAACTAATCTAAATAACATTCACCACTTTACAACATATAGTAGCACATTATGTTAAATATAAAAAATGTTAAAGAGATAGATTATACATAACATTAATACTTGAAAAAAGAAACGATATAATCATTCCATTGTTACTACATTATTATTCATAAATTCAAATGTTTCAAAATTCTGAAGACATTTACTAAATGTTATGCATATCATATATATATATATAACATATATTTTTTTAATACATGTTATATTGCTTTCAACTATTGATACTAGAAAACCATACATAAATTATGTATGAATTGGAAGATTTTAATCTGTTAAAGTTAAATTTTATTTTTATGTTTAAAAAGAAATTCTTGCATTTTAGTTACTACAATTTATTATTATTACAAGTAAAGACCTGATATTAAAGCAGCTAGAAACATTTTATATAATTGTTTATACATATATTTTATAATTATTGTCTATGATAAATCGTCATAATAATGTTGTAAAAGGCATACAATGTTGAACTTACATATCTGAATTCCGTCCTAATTGAATATATCAATACATTATATGAGAATGTAATTAATATATTGTATACTTTTATATTATGTTAAAAAAAAATACATAATATTTGTAAATGAATAAGGCTATTCTACTTTTATATAACAAAAATGTAAAGCATTTTGATATCATTGTTAAAAATGTTATAAATAAAGATAAGTATATGATATATGTTTTCTTGGTGGAGGTATGATTGTATTCATGTAAAAAACTATTTCATTAAAGTAATAGTTATTGCACATAAAATATATTGTTAGTTTTAGTTACCAAATGTACCTACAAAGTTCAATGTATACGTATTTTTCTAAAATATAGGTATTTGTTACTAACCACTGACTAATCCAGGGATATTACTTGCATGCAGCTGGACAAAAGATAGTATGCTTTGATATTTTATCTCGGTCACACACTGTGAACACATGAATATCATTCACAAACTGGTACAGGTGTAAGTATAGCTTGACTTGTATCTTTCTGATATACATGTATGCTTAAACAAACACATTACATTTTATTAAAATATATTCATTTATTTATGTATGTACAAATTGGTATGTTTATGTTTTCTAATCATAGAAATTGTAGCACTTTTTTTTGTAGAAAGTTTAGTTATTAACCATATAATCTTTTAAATCATTTGAATCAAATTACTAATTTTAAATATTTGCCCAATTTTTTCAGGATATCCACCTGGCTTTACATGGTGTGCTTATCTTAATGACCCATTTGTTAGGTATGATGTTACATTAGGTATCCCTAATTAACAGCGTCAATGATTTAATTAATGCACAACAGTATTTATAAGATATTGTTTAACAAAATAATCGTATCAACACCTATTACTTTACTTATTGTTGATAGTGATTTTTAATATTATTAAGGTATAAGCACAAGAGAATAGTAGATACTTGGTAGTGTATGATAAACTCTTATAGAACCAATGCACCCATAAAATATATATTTTTATATAGTTAATTAATTTTAACTGTTTCTGAAATTCAAGTTTACACTATAGAATTTATCATAAATATATGCAAAGCTAAATAGAAGTTATTAACATTTTTTAGTGCAACTAGAGTGCCTTCTATAAATGCTATGACTTTTGTTACTATTAAAAATTATAGGATTTACAATTAAGAGAATTTTCTAATTGTGAAATTGTATGTTATATTAAATTTCATGTATCAAATTATTCAAATATTTACCATATTAAGTCTATGTGCATACAGAAATACATATACATAAAGTAAGATAGCAGCTATTACATATATGTAGCATTTATTTTTATACAGTATTAATTATATGTATATGTTATAATGTTCTAAGTATTTTATATAAATGAATATATTATTTACATATATATCAATCATTCAGAAATGACTACAATCATTTTGTATAAACAAATAAGTTGTATTTTGTTATATTAATGATTAAGAAAATATTAAATAAGAAATAAATATATTGTATTTACGTTTTTTTCATAAAAAATAATCAACAATTTCATGTTACTAATGCAGCTTGCGCTTGTTTTCTAATATCATCTGCAAGTCTTCTTATTTCATTGTTATCTGTTTGCAACTGTTCTTCTTTGCTTTTAAGCATATTTTCTAAATGTTTTAATCGTTGTTTCATATTTAAATACATTTTCATTTTATGATACGTATCAGAAATATTTGCATTCATTTGACTTTCTTCAGTAATTTCATCTAAAAATAAATTTTTTTAAATTATAATCTAAAACAAGGTTACGTTTCTTTATCATTTTCTTAACAGTTCTTTAATCAATACATTAATAATTAATATGCAAATGATAAAACCTTTATTTATTATTTTGAATGCGACATCATCCATAGCAGCATTATTTAGATCTTCCAACACATGTTCAGAGTTCGGAATGTGTGGTCTTGGGGGTAAATTATTCTTCTTATTGCTAAACATATGTAATTTGATAACGCCACACTTATTATATTTTATTTTACTTTAATTATTGAAAATCCAGACAACACATTAATCATACGTGTAGCAGTAACTATAGATAGTCACTGATAGTCACTGCGTATACTGTTTATGTATGTACCAACAGTAACTACAGATCCAACAATACCAGATATGCCTTTGTTCTCGAGAAGTCCTGATTTTTGGGGTCCCAGGCACCCCGCGTGGACTTACAATTAGATCGGGTACCTAATTTACCAATTCTTCTTTCATCACATCTCTCACTGTCAACCGGAAAGACACTCGTTTCAACTTTCTTTGATTCTACTTTTTTAGGAATCAATCAAGACCAGCAAGAGGTCGAAAAATTATTAAAATAATTGTTTGACAAACTTGTATTCATAAACTTGTGTTTTAAAAAGACCGCCATAAATGGTTTTTTAAATTCTATATAACGCCACCTATACAAAAGTGGTTCAAACTACTCGGCGACTTACCGATTGATTTTCTAGAGGAACACTAGCGCCATCTATCAAAGAGCAGCTGAAGCTACGCGTCAACTTACCGACTGCACGGCCGATAAGTCGGTAAATAGTTCCGCTACTTTCTAATAGATGGCGATATTGTTCCTTTAGAAAATCAATCGGTAAGTCGTCGAGTAGTTTGAGCCATTCTTGTATAGATGGCGCTACGGTCGAAAATAGAAGTACAACCCCCTAAGTACTTCTTTAACGTCCGAAGACAAACTGACGGGCTAAAGCACGAAGCGGATATTTATAGTGCCGAATCTCCCCGTCATTCAATGCCGCGCCAAATACTACTATTTACGTGAATTATTAACTACAGATCCACCAAGACCTGACATGTTTTGTAATTGATATAGTAATTCTTATTGTTAATTCGATACACTGACAATTAATTATAGGGTATATATCACATTTTTATACTAGGATGGATCAGATGGCGTTTGTTTTCAAGGCACAATTCAGGACCCTCTTCGAAAACAAAGGCATATCTAGTCTTATTGAATCTGTAGTCACTGGTTTCAATCTTCTCCCATTGAAATATCCTATATAAACAGCATTGAATATATATGTATATGTAATACACCATATAGATACGCTGTTTGCTACATTTTCGCTTCATTTTAAAACATCATCCAATTTATCAGGAACTTAATAAATTCAATGACAAATTTTTAATATCTTCAATTTATAAACTGGGTAATTTATTTTAATATTGTTATTTCTGTATGATACTTATCTGTACATCAAGTGCCATCGACCAATTCTCTTGAGTTTCATGATATCGCGCAGTATTCAAACTTCACTGAAAATTCTACCGGTAACGAACTATTCTTTGTTAGACGCATATGTTTTTTAGTTATTTGAAATTAATAATTAATATAATTATTGAATCAGATAGATTATTTACAGTTCAATAAGAAAACATTCAAGAAAAGTATTCTTACATTCTTATTATATATAGTGTTGATATTAATAATACTTTTCTTAGCGTTTGTTTAGGTGCACAAACGTGACTAACATGCCGCCAAAACGGAAAGCAATCCCAAAGGTTAGATAATTATGCGATTTATTTACATAAAGTTATTATTACGTAGTATTAAAATATTAAGCTTCATAAATGTATAATTTTTATATGAATGTATATGTAATGTTTCAATTAATATTAAACTCTACGCCGGTATTTTTGTAAACATAAAGAAAATTAAGAAAATACATTTTTATTCTATTTTGAGTTAGGTAACTGCTATTGAAGGTAAAAATGAAAAGAAGAAAGGAGTAACAAAGTCCCAAGAAACACCTAGCAAGAGATCTAAACGCAGTGCAAGTGATATTGAAGAACCTGCAGTAAAACGTGCCAAAACAGAACCAAAAACGTTTATGAATAAAACAGATACAGATTTGAATGAAACTAATTTTGATTGTGAAAAGTTAAATGCTGAAGGAAATAAATATAACTTAAAAATTGTCAGCTGGAATGTTTCTGGTATAAGGGCACTCATCAAAGTTTGTATAATTCCTGTATGATTTTACCGTATGCTTTTTCAATAGTTTCATAATGTTTTATCATTATATTTATGCAGAAAAGTGGAATGCAATATATTATGAAAGAAAATGCAGACATAGTTTCATTACAAGAAACCAAATGTGATAAAAACAAGTTACCAGAAGAAGTTAAATTAAAGGGATATCATTATTATTTCCATGATAGTAAGTTTTAATAATGTATTGTAAATTTACATGTAAAATATTAAACTGTTCATACACTACAAATAGGTAAAAAACCTGGATATTGTGGAGTTGCATTATATACAAAACAGAAACCAATGAATGTAGAGTATGGTTTAAATAATTCTGAGTTTGATGATGAAGGTAGAATGATTACAGCTGAATATCCGAATTTTTATTTACTTAATGTTTGTAAGTTATTCAGGTTTTAACACCTTTTAAATTTCATTTTTTTATATTGATATTTAATGTATTTAACAATTGTATATAATAGATGTACCTAATGCTGGTCAGAAATTAGTAACACTACCAAAAAGATTGCAATGGAATGAGGTCTTTAAGAACTATGTCAAGCAATTGGATAAGAAAAAGCTAGTAATTATTTGTGGTGATATGAATGTTGCTCATGAAGAAATAGGTAATAATATTTTGCAGTATTTTTTATAAATAATTTTATAAACTTGTAAACTTTAACTTTGTCATATTTTAGACATTGCAAATCCTAAAACAAATGCAAAAAATGCTGGCTTTACTAAAGAAGAACGAGAGGGTATGACAGATTTTCTAGCTCAAGGGTTTGTGGATACATTTAGATTTTTATATCCTGACAAAGCTGGTGTTTATACATTCTGGTCATATTTTGCTAATGCACGTAGTAAAAATATAGGATGGTGAGTACTTAACAAATAAATGATACGAATTTCAATATTGATAGTATTGATTAAAAAATATCCTTTCTTATATAGGAGACTGGATTATTTTTTGGTATCAGAACGAATTAAAAACAAAGTTTGTGACAATGTTGTAAGAGATAAGGTATATGGCAGTGACCATTGTCCCATTGTGCTTTTCATTAATATTTAAGAAATTGAATTTTTTTGTTTAAATTATATTTAATCGTATGGATGTAATTTATTCATTTTCTTTATTTTGATACATTTTGTCTTTTAAAAATAAAATTTCAGTTATAAAACATTCTCATCGTTTATTTTGACTATAAGGAAAACTAGTAATTTTTCTAAATGAACTGTTGTTAATATGATATGTATGCCATTTCGTATCTTTTATAAATTTTACAATATCAAGTAAAGTAGGCTTGACTAAGGAAAAGAAATTCTCAAAATCCTAATTTTGACAATACTATAGTCCAGTAAACATATACTGACTCGTCTCGTTTGACGGACTGTAGTATTAAGATAATACAATTTTAAATGATTACATATTATAAATAACTGAAATGCACGAATAACAAAGTGAATATTAATTCAAATTTTTCCGCGTCAGAGTTTGTATGTAAGAGGTGGGGCGCCACAGCCCCTGTATGTGGAGAGCCTCTTTCGCTCCTTTGTCAGTATTCTTGGCGATGCCTATCTGAAGGGGCGATAACCTGGAACGTCGCCAGTTCCCTGTGGTTCCCTGGGAATACCTAGGAAGCCTACCATGCTTAGTGTTGTACAAAATAAACTTAATATGCTGATTTATATAGTATGGTCATATAGTATAGTAGTCAGTCATATATCCTATAGAAAAATGTAAACATATTGTACCTTATTGTTGTGCATTCTGAAAAACAAGGTGGAGGTAGTATATATATATATATATATATACACACATATATATACGTGCATACAGAAATAAAAATGAAGCGGTAAATTTAATTGTAGTTGAAGATGACATCGGTAACACGGAACATTATTAAATTACATAAATATGAGATTTTCGTTTACTTCTTTTTGTGGACAAATGCTATCTTGTATTCAATTTATAAAGTGTCTTTAATTAGTACTTGTAAGTATTTAAGCGTATTTTGTTTGAAGAGACATGAATTTAATATTTCGATATTTTATAAACTGAATATTATTCATAAATTTTAGATTTTGATAATTATAACGATGTATATGGTGATTTTGCACCAGGATGGTCATGGATTGGAAAAAAACAAGATATTTCTGATCAAGAATGGAAAATATGGATACCATTAATGATTAAATTAATACCATGGATATTTATCCACCATTTAGTTAGTTTGATTATTAAGACTGTCTCAAATATTACGGTATGACTTTTTGGTATTTCATTTATTTTATATTTTGTGTTTTGCCTTTTTTACTTATAATATTATATATCTTTACAGCTGTTATGTTCTTGGTATACCTTTATGTCTATTTCATTTTTGCATTTTTTAATTGGAACATTAGGTACATTATGTATATTTATACAATTAAGTGTGCTATACATTTTAACATATAAACAGAGTAGATTAATTATATGGTTGATAAATATGATATTTTTATTTCTGATACATTTTCTAAAAATTCCGGATGGTACCTTTCAAAGTACATTCAAATTTAATGATGAAGAGCATTACCTTTTAACTCTTATAATGTGTTGGATTCAATTAAGAAGCATTAGTTATAGCATAGATAATATGAACAAACATTTAAAAAGTGACTGTGATGAGATGCTTTATTTTTTTAACAACTTTTTATACAAATTAGCATACTGCTTGTATCTACCAACATTATCCTTAGGACCATTGATTTTATATCATGAATTCATGGATTCTGTATGTATAATTTTAGTTTATATTGAAAAGTAGAATTTTGTTTAATGATTCAAAATAAATCATATTCTAATTTTCACAGATAAAAGAAACATTTCAATTTTGGAAATTAGAGGATTTCGGAAATTTTTTTTTCAGAATAATTAAATATATTTTTTGGATAGAATTTACAAATCTTTGTTTACATTTTCTCTATTTCAATGTTATGCAGTATCATCCTGAGGTAAAAGTACAGCTTTTGATATAATAACTGTATTAAAACTTATTTAACTTTTTTTTATATTATATTAGGTTGTTGAAATTGTGAATCCATGGGCTTTATATGGATTAGGATATTGTATGGGACAATTTTTCTTAATGAAATATGTTGTGGTGTATGGACTTAATCATACTTTGTGTGCAATAGATAATATAAAAGCACCTTCTCAACCTAAATGTATAGCAAGGATTCATTTGTATTCTGATATGTGGAAATATTTTGATAAAGGTTTATATAAGTTTTTAATAAGGTATGATCCTTGTAGCTGAATAATATAGAAAATATAATGTAATCAAAATTTTCAATAAATTTATTTTTCAGATACATTTATGTGCCATTGTTAAAATCAAATTATAATAAACTGTTTGCTTCATTTTTGTGCTTCACATTTGTCTTTGTATGGCATGGAATGCAAATAAATATCTTTATTTGGGCAGCCCTTAATTTTATAGGGTTAAATATTGAAAGTGTAATGAAGTCATTTGGAAGACAAAAATATTATCTAAGTATAAAGAAAAAATATCTGTCGCAAATTAATGCCAGACGATTCGATTGTATTTTAGCAAGTCCCCTTTTAGCTGTATCAGTAATATCTAATTTTTACTTTTTTGCTGGAGAAGAAATTGGAAATATTTATGTCTACAGATTATTGCATGGTACCATTCTATTATACTTTAGATGCAAAAGGAAGAACTTATTGCAAAATTTGGAATTAGTAAAAATTTTGTTTTATTACAGATCCTTGGTCCACTACATTTACTTTACTCTTTTTTTTATATTGTTGTTGTCAAGTATCCACAGATATAAAAAATTGGGAACTACAAAAATGTCAGAATATATTATAGTATTACAAAGAAGAAATTGAATATCTTGCATTTGGGAGAGTAAATCACTTTTAAATTACATTCCGAAGTAATTTTTTAATGTTTTATTAAGTACAAAAAGAGTATAAAAATACAGTATATAATTAAAATTACTCTTCATATTAACATCGTTATAATCGTTTAATATTTATTATAATAATAAAAAATTAGTAAAGAGTATGTTTGAATATTTTGTTGTATAGTTATTACAACATTAGTTTCGTATTATATAATATGTATAATAATCAATTGTATGATACATACAAGGCACATTATTTTTCACAGTGTACAATTGGTAATGTAAAATAATTTTTTACTTATTACTTTTGTTTCATACAATGAATAAACAACTGACTTTTGTAAATATTGCATTCTACATTTCTATAGAATTACATCTTGGTTCAGAAGAGTATTATATCTTCAAAACTGTTGATAATTATTAGTTATGTGAAATGATTTAAGAAATACGAATTCTTAAATTGTAATCTTTTAAATAAACTTTGAATTATAGATATTGATTTTAACTATTCAGTATTTAATTGATTGTGATAAAGATATTTTCAACCAATATTTACAATTATTACTCGAATAAAAAATATGCTTATTTTTCTACAAACATTCTATATCTACATTCTTGTAAGCTTTTAATACGTATATTTAAATCATATTACACAGAATTTGATTTGTAAAGTATTTTTTTAAAGTGTATATTGATACCAAAATTAATTCACAACTAATTATTAAATATCATTCTGTCTTATGCAAAAACTGTTTATCATTATGTAGAATATCTATTCTGTGTTGTATCTTATGCATCATTTGTAATAGCTATGAATTATTGCTATGTAATTATACTGTTATATTATTATAAAAACATTGAGAATATGATGCCAAATAAACGATAATTTGTATACGGAAGACACGTTTGAGCTATATTTGAAAAAATTATGGTAATTTAAGTATTTAAAGACAAAAATATAAACCCAATGAAAATTATTATATACATTTTTGTATACTGCAATATATGTTGTAAACATATATGATTTGCAGCTAGATTGGAAAATTGATCGATCACACAAGCTTCCTGTTTGTTTAAACAAATTAGAAATTTGTACTATGCTTTTAAATATTTGGCACATAAATAATTGTTATTGCTATTAAGTAACCGTATCTTATGCTAATATACTTAAGTGAATCAAATTTGTAATAATTTCATCATATGCATATATATGTAGGATTAATATTGTAGATTAATTAAGATTTATAGCTGCAATGTTTGGAATGGCTAATAAATAAAGATTTTATAATATATAATAAGATACTTCTTAAACAATTCAAAAATAACATTATTTCTCAAGAAACAAAATAAATGCATTTTAATTCATATTTTTAAACTTTATACAGGGTGTTCGGCTAGGAGTGGGTATCGTTCCAGAGGGTGGTAATTAGCTACTATCCCTATCAAGAATGCCCACCTCTAACAGAACATCTTGGATATAAGGTATGCTAATACTGTGCACTTTATATATTCTAAATCATGTAAAAATATTTTATTAAATTCATTTTTTATAAAAAGTCCTTTTTTAATATGTCCTCTTTTTCCAGTAAAAAATATTAAATCTACATTGTTTTAACAATATTTACATGTACAAAAGCTTAGAGTATTATTTTAATGTAACCATACTATCATACATATTTATTAGCTATACAAAAATTTCTTTTAATTTTAAAACCTTATTGCTCTTAATATGAAATATCTTTGATTTTACGAAAATAAGGTGAAAAACTCTTTAAATTTATTTTCTATTATTATTAAATGTTACTTACTTGTTTCAAATATTTGTTTTAGTTTCACTTTCTGCAGCATTATTTTGGTCAATTTTAAAAATACTATTTTGTAGTGCATCACTTGTTAATAACAAAATTGTATTTTCATTTTCATTTTGTTTTATATTAATAGCTTGAACATGTTTATTCAATAATGTAAATTTCTGGTGTTTGTTCACTTGAATTTTCGATTTATTTTTAAGATCATCATTAATTTTAAGCGTTTGTGGAAGCACATTCACGCATTTATTTTGTATTATTATATTGGTTAAAGGTTCATTATGAATATACAAACTTTGTTCACCTTGATTTAATAATTTTTGATTCTTTTCAAGAATATAATTTGAAGAAGTTATTACTCCATTTTTAATTAAATTTTTTACAATAGTTTGATAGTTACTTAAATTTTTATCTGCTGGTACTAAACTATCTTTAGTTGTTGATGATGTTCTATTAACAACAATATTTGCTTCTTCTAAAGTACTTGAATTTATTGCATTTTTCGATACATCAATCTTATGCACTTGCATTTCTTGACAAGATTTATAATCAAGCATGATAACATTACCGTTTTCTTTCTCGTATTTTATATTTTCTTGAGTAACAGTCATTTGTTTATTGCTATTTTCATCCTGTTTTTGAATATGAATGTTTTCTTGTATCAGTTTTCTTCCTGATTCTTTTATATCGTGTGTATATTTAATTTTTCGTTCGTTCATAGAATTATTTAACGATTCATTGTAATCATTTGTTTTCGAATCTTCTATTATTTGTATGTAATTCTTAAATTGATTTTCCGAAAATTCTAGACTTTCATGAACTTCTATATTATTTCTACTTTTTGTATTATTAACTATATTACTATACTCTACTTTAATATACGATGGTGCTTCGTTTATATTATGATAAATTAATTCCGATTGATCAGTGTTATCATGATATACAATGTGTTCACTTTCATCTTGAACTAACGATGTGTCTTGTATTTTATCCGTGAATTCTTCTGTAAAACAATTGTCATTCTTATTAGAAACGCTATTTACAGTTATTTCAGTCTCTGCAGATTCAGTCTTATTTAAATGAGATTCTGGAGAAATCTCGTATGTTTCAAAACAATTCTTAATAATTTGAACTGCATCGTGTGGCTCCCAATTTTTTTCACTGTTATCAATATCTTCATTTACGATATATTCTTCAGTTCCAGTATCGTGCAGTTGGTCGTTATCATTTTGGTAATGCATAATCGCTTTTGGTGCAATTATACCCTCATTCGCTACATGGTCCTTGTTTGTATCATATTTTTTCCTTCTATTAGTTCGAACTTTCTGAAAATCTTCTTCGGAAAGATGTAACAACTCTCCAGTAGTTGTTAAAACTTTACCATGTCTCGTTTTTAAATGACGTTTGTAGGTATTTCTCGTTTTAAATCTAAGTGATGTAAACACAAATTTTATATTACATTATAATATTTACAATGTATAATGTAAATCATTACTTACCGTTGTCCACAATCATCACATCCAAACGGTGCTTCTCCAGTATGTCTACGTCTATGTTCTCTAAAATGCGATGGATGCCTAAATTTCTTTCCACAATCACCGCACGTAAATCGTGTTTGATTTTGATGAATCAACATGTGATATTTTAAACTGTGTCTCCTTGTAAAAACTGCTCTGCATATGCGACATTCGTAAGGTTTTATTCCCGCATGACTTCTATAATGCGATACTAATGTTGTAGGTGCTGTAAAACTTCGCGGTGGATTGCAAATCCGACATTCAAGATTACTTCCGGTTGGATTTCCTTTTTTCTTAATGCGATCCATAAAAGCTAATGCCATTTCTCTTTCCTCTTTACTAGTCCCTATAAATTTGGCTTTTCCTTTGGGTTTAGTACTTGTCATTTCTGCACTTTTATTACCACCTTCATTTAACCATGATATTTCTGCAAGTAAGTTAAGATGTAATAAAGATAGAAAACAGTATTAAAATCATATCCAAGTATCATATATTTACCTGGTAAATAAATAGTTTCAGATTTCCCATTAACTTTTTCTGACAATTTTTGAGTAATGTGAGGATATTCTTTCATATGAACACTATCAGTACCAACAACCATAAGTACGATCTATATAAAAAAAATTATATATCATATTCAAAACTTTCAAATTATGCGCTCATCTTTTGTATCGACACTTACATTTTCATTTGCTGTATTTTCAAAGGTATCATGAAAAGATACTTCCTTTGTGTTAGGAATTTCATCTTTTAAACGTTCGAAATAGCTATGATCACCAAGAACTTTGAAATCTGCTCTATCTGTATCCTTTTGCTCAGAATTATGTAATTTTTTTGAATTTTCTACTTTTTCAACATTTTTATTTTTGTCTAATTCTTTAAAAGTAGAATCATTCAATAAAATATTTCTCAAATAATTTGTAGAATTTTTAATAATATTTTTATTCTCCTTATTCAATGCCTCTTGTGGTTTCCTTGTCTGTTGAAATTTATTTTTCTTACTTTGAGCACTTGTTTTATAATTTTTGTAACTCACTGACTTTGCTGTAAAATTCTTATCTATAAAGCAATATTATAAATATGTTATTTTTTTATTATAATTGTTTCTGCTTGTAGGAACATAGTTATATTTACTTACAAGCATCCTTGTTTGTTTTTAAATATTCTAAATGTTCTGCTAAGTGTGCTTTAATTGACATTCTTGCCCTTCCCTCACTTGCAAAACTAGTATATTTTTGTCCACACCCAACAACTAGAGCACACGTATAAGAGTATTGCCTTTTTAATTCATCGCTTGTAAAAATAGAAAACTGTTTAACTAATTGTGATGCAGGCATGGACAAAAGCTGTGGCACAGTAAAGAATGATTCATAAGTCTTTCTTTTTATGTAATCTGTTTTTGACTTGCATTGTGATGTTAATAATGATTTACTATATTTCTTTTCCGAATGTAATGTTTGAGAAGCAACTTCTGCCAGCATATCTAATAAAGCAGCAGGACTATCGCTTCCCACAATACCTGAAATTAATGAAATTTAGTTTTTTTCATTTATACATTTTATGCGCATATAAAATGAGTCTATGTAATAAACTTTCAAATTTTAATTAGCAATTACATTTAGTACATTTTCATCTTATTTGTCATGTTGATTATTAATGTTCTTACAATAATAATAAATATGTTCTTCCATTAGTATTATGACCTATGACAGTTGAAAATTATTCTTAAATTTTCAGAAACGATAGTAAAATTATATATGTTTTTAATATAGAACATAGTGAAATTCGCTGAAAAAATAAGAGTTTTCAGTCTTTTCATATGTGAAAACAAAGTTCTAATTTTCAAGCATCATTCTAGCAGACGCCATAAGGACGCCCAGCAGACGGTTTTTCAATTCATCTTTATTATAATGTTTAAAACAATATATATTTTTGTATTAATACGGATATATTGAAGAAACAATAAGTTTTAGTACATAAAATAAATAAAAATGTACCTCTGTTGTATGAATTAGAAGTATATTCATGGTTTGTTTTGGTGTTCATTATGGCATTCGTATTCGCGGCGTGTCTTCATTCCACTGTCTTCTCTACAACATACCTACATAACAGGTTCCTTCTTGTTGCTTCCTTGTTTGCCTTCTTTCTTGTCAATCCTGAAAACAGTATTACCAATCTACATATAAAATAAAAATTTTGTGCCACATAATGTACATACACAAATTGTATATATAAGGGATGTATATGTGTATGTACCTGCATATGAATGTCTCTACTTTCAAGTATGTGTGCTCTTTTTTGTATTTTTATGAATTGTTAACAAATGTGAATTTTGGTTTCTTTATACAATTTTTATTAATTATGTAAAAGTGGTGTGTATATTGAGTATGTAAATTAATGTTATATGTAAATTTATTTTTAAACACATAAAGTTTACTACTGTTAACCACTGTTTTATTTAAATATATGTATTATATATGTATATTTGTAAGAGAGTTTCAAGGAGCAATGAATAAAACTAATTTTTACTCAAATTAAATGTAGTGTACATTTGTATATAGTACAGGTTGTGATCAGGGTAAGAGATACAAACTTTATGATTATAAATTCTTAAGTGTTTTATTGTATTGAGATAGAAATTTCTAACCCCTCATAAAAGAAATACATGTATAATATTATACGTATTATAGATAGAATATCATATGTATGTACTAAGTTTATTTAAAGGGTTTATCATTTCATTGTGACTTTATGAACAATTCGTTTACTAATTTTTACATCAGTGTAATTTATTACAGCTACCTATTGATTCATTTTTAATCATATCAGTATCAAATATGTCTTTAATGATATCTTGCTTTTTCTTCATATGAGTAGGCAAACCATGGAATAAATTCTCTGTAATTTGTTTTCTGTTTGTCATATGCTTTTTATGATCTGGGCTGAAAAATTCAATATTTTCATTATCATCAATAGCTTTCATTGATGCTAATAACTGTTCTTTGATATAATTAGCTGGTTTTAGTTGAGTACTAATTTTATTTGTAGTATTAACATCTACAGATGTATTAGGAATTGAATTAGAATCATATGATTTTACATCATTTAATAATGTCTCAACATTTTTTGATTCTGTATTTATATCTTGCTTATTTAATTTATTCTTTGTTTCTACATCACTGTTTTCAATCAGAATATTTTTGCTTCTTATTTCTATTTCACTTGTTTCTATTTTATTTATATCTTCTTTTTCATCCAAGTTTTTAGAAACATTTAATGGATCCTTTGTAGATGTTGTTTGCAAATCTTTAAAAAGATTTTCATTTACATGAGGCATCTTTGATTCTAATTCATTATAAGTTATGAATGATGCGGCATTTTGATTCCATAGTTCATCTTTTGATTCTAATGTTTGTAACAATGATTCAGTTTCAAAGTCATTTTGTGTTATATGACTATATTCTTGTCTTTTAGTTTGATCAAGTATATACTTCTCAACATTTTCTGAATTTGTATCTTCTTGTTCAGTATGTGCTACATTATATTGATCACCTGCATTTTTAATTTGTATTTGATCATCACATATAGAAGATATTAATTTAAGTGTATCATTTTGATTGTTTATTAGAAAGTGATGTTTAACTGACTCTTCTTGGAGTTCAAATTCTGTTTCTGAATTACTTTTGTAAGAATCTTTTCTATCCTGTACTTTAAATTTATCTTTATATTCAGAAAATATTAACTCTTTTAAATGTTCAGTATCATCTGTGTTGCTAATTAATCTAAAAAGTAATAAATAATAATTACCATTAGAGATATCAATCTATTAACATAAAAGAAAATAACAAAGAAAATACAAACCTTTTGTGTAGTTGTCTGGAATTAGCTGTATTAACATAATTATTTTTGAAATTTTCACTTTCATTTTCACTACCACTATTTGCAGATGAATCAGAAAGTTCTTTATCCAATGTCTTGTTTAAGTTCTGATATTTTTTATTTTTATATATTTTTTTCAATTTATCTGTATTCATTTCATACTGCCAATTAACATTTTCCTCTTGCTTTCTTGACTCTTGTAAATTTTGTAAGTTTATTGAAATCTTTGAATTTTCATTTACTGTGAAATCTGGTTCTTTAAATTTCTCTTCTGAATCATTTGATGAAGTTCTTCTGTGTAATGATTTTTGGAGACGATACTTTCTTACTTGTTCCAAATTTGCCATTGTTTCTGACCTTACAGAATTCAAAGTTTGATTTGAATTCACTTCTTCATTCTCTTTGATATTTTTATCATTTAATTCAGATGAATGAAGTACAGGCTAAAAGTAGTAAAAATAGAATTTTTTAATTGTTTAAAAAGAATTATAAATATTTAAAAATTATGTTATAGGACTGATTCTTACCAAGGTATTATCTTGTACATCTATTTGCCATTTTTTACATTTATCTGGTAATTTCAATGGATTTGATGAGCTGGAAAGTATTACAGAGTAAGAACATGATAAGTAAGAGAACTAATTTAATACTATATTTATCACATACCTAATATCTCTTAAATTTGTGAGAGATTGTGTACCAAGACGTCTATTTTTACTACGAAATAATAATTGCAATTGCCCGCTAGAATATAATCTATGTTCTCTATTATCTAGTAAATTTTCTAAGCCTCTTAATTTTTCTGTTGCTTCATCTAAATTTTTTTGTGTCTCTTTTCGCTTAGAAATTTCCGTGTGTAATTGATGTTTTAAACTTTTACTTTCAAGAGTCAATTTTCTGTGTAATGTCTAATAAGGCATTAAAATATATGAACAGTAGGCAAGACATTGTATAATATTATTAAACTTTTCATTTACCTGTATAGTATCTTGCTGTTGCTGTATTCTATGATGTAAATCTGAAACTTGCAGTTGTAATTTATCCCTTTCTTCTAAATTACGATCTTTACTGAGTTGTAACAAATGTTTATTTTGACACTATAGAAATAATGTATAAACATTAATTTCCAATACTTCTGGATAATATGTTAAAAACATATTAATCAGTATTCACCTGCAGTTGTTGAAGTTCATTTTCCTTTTCCTTCAATAAATCACATGTTTCCTTTTGTAGAGCTTTTAACTTTTTATATTTAATTTGAAGTACTCTCAGTTCCTCATGATGTGAATTAATGATTCTTGGAAGTTCAGCATTTGTTCCTTCGTAACGTTTTAATGCTGAATCTTGCCTCTTTTGTAGGGATTTTAATAATTTGTTTTCATTACTTAATTCCTGTAGAAAAAGACATATTGAATACATTGAACATACCTGTAATTAATATAAGCTTTTAATGTATAAATGGCTTTGTAATGGTTTCATATCTTATTTCATTTATATAATGATGATTAAAATTATTACATTTAATTGATAATGTGCATCAGCTAATTGATTTTGTAGTTCTTTAATGCGTAACATTTTTGCTGATAGAACTCTTTGTTCAATGCTACTTTTATTAAGTTTTGATTGTTCAGAAAAATGTTGCTGTCGAATATTAACTTGATATGGCTGACCTGTACATAGTTTAAGAATAAATTATATATTCATAAAAAGTTTTAAACATTTAGAATACATATGATAATATAACAGTATATACAAACCAAGTAAAGGATGCAAGTTTTTCTTCTTAGATGAAAGACATGTTATATTTTTTTGTGGCAAACTACATTTAGTTTCCACTGATTTCCCTAAATTAGAATTTTGTTTTCTGTAAATTATATATGAATATATTGTGTTAAAATGTTTCAAAAATATTTATTTCCTGTTTATTTGTTTTAATTTTTACTTAAATATATGTGACTTTATAGAAACAGTTATGTCAGAATATTTGTAAAGTGTTTGATATTGTTTTGATTACCTATTGAGGTTTTTATGGGTATTAAAATGTACTACAGGTAATGTAGGTACTTCAGTTTGCATTTTATATATGACAATTCTACATCACAGCTAATATCTCAAACATATGTAATACTTGTATTTAATAAAACAAAGTATTATAGCTTTGTCCAAAACTTATTGAAGACTAATCAGCATCCATAATTGTTTTTAAATGGTTGCTAAGGTAACAGGCACATAATATTTCACTAATCAATGTGTTTTGAAACTATACATATAAAGTCAACTCAATTGAAGTGGATAAAAACTGAAATTCTTTCAAATTATTTTATTTTCTTTCAATTATGGCATATTAATTATATAAAACGTTAGAAAAATCTTCCACTTAATACTTTATCCATTAGTCATACACGGATTTAAAATACTTTTATTTTTATAAATCTGTATACAATTATATTACAGAAATACAACTTAGTTACAAGTACTTGATCTTTTAAAAATACCAGATATTTGTACATATATAAGTAGATATGTGCACAGCACATACATTATTGTTACAACCTGTGTAAATTAAGTTTACAATACTAAATATACTTAATCGTTGCTACTTGTATTTATAATGTACAATGAAATAAATAACAATTTTTTAACATTTTGAAATGTTCCTATATTAAAATGAGAAAAAATGTGAATATGTAATTAGAATTGTATTAAAAGTATTATATTTAGTATATCCTGTTCATGGCGTTGTATTGTACATGTTATATTAAACACTCAAGTTCGTTAAAAAAGAAAAAAAAAATGAACTTTCATTTCACGTTTAATTCCTTGAATACTATTTTTTCATTATTTGTTTTTAAATTGAATATTACGTTAACATGTTTACCTGTATGTTATACGATACTTGTTTTAAACTCCAGGAGTTCTATGATTATTTTCTTTTTCTTTATTATTAGATTTGAGCATTCCCATATGCTGTGTTTTCCATAATTTACTATAGAAAGAATTTGGCGTAGCTAGCAAACAATCATGTGTTCCTCTCTCAATTAAACTACCATTGGCTAGTACTAAAATTTCATCTGAATCCATGACTGTAGATAAACGATGGGCAATAACGATGGACGTACGCCCGGTGGTTGCTCTGCGTAATGCTTCAAGGATATGCTGTGAAGATATTATTGTTAAATATGTATCAATAGTATTTAAATTACGTTGGAAGAACTTACATATTCTGTAATAGAATCTAAAGACGACGTGGCCTCGTCAAAGATTAATATTGGACTGTTCTTCAAAATTGCTCTAGCAATTGCAACCCGCTGTTTTTCACCGCCGCTTAATTTTAAACCACGTTCACCAACTGGTGTATCGTATCCTTTTGGCCATTTAAGAATGGAATCGTGTAAATTTGCCATTTTGGCAGCTTCATAAACTTCTTCCTTTGATTTAGATAAATTTCCATAATGAAGATTATAAAAGATACTTTCGTGAAAGAGAACTGTATCCTGAAATGATGTTTCGAAGTTAATATTTCAAGATCGTTTTTCATTATATCGATTCACTTACCTGCGGAACAATTGCTATTGATTTTCTTAAAATATCTAAATCAACGTCTTGAATATTGTAACCATTAATGTGAACACTGCCAGATTGTGGTTCAAAAAATCGGTATAACAATCTTACTAATGTTGTTTTACTAAAAATATACACTGTCACTTAATATTTTCTAAAAATCTAAATTATTTAAATGATACTTCAAACTTACCCAGAACCAGATCCTCCAACAATAGCAATTTTTTTACCACTTGGTATAGTAAAATTCATATCTTTAAAAATAGGTTTACCCTCAACGTATTGAAAATTAAGATTTCTGAATTCAATATTTGAATTCTTTGAGTTTAAGTGCAACTGTATTGCATTCTCTTTGGACTGATATTACATTGTAAAATATATTCATTATTTACATATTATTATGTTTCTTATGGTTTTAAAATAAAATATATATACCTTAATAGCTGTATCCATTGTCATCAATGTAAACATAGTTTGCATATCAATAAGAGCTTGTCTAACTTCGCGATATACTGATCCTAGAAATCCCAAAGGAACTGATAGTTGAAATAAAAGCCCATTGACCATTACTAAATCTCCAACCGTCATAGTACCTACAAAGATTTTCATATTACGTATATTTTTATATCTCAGATATTTTCGATATAAAGAAAACTGTACCTTGTGTAATATTTTGAGCTGCTAATACCATTATCAAACTTAAGGCAGCACTGAATATGGCATTTTGTCCAAAATTTAGCAGTGCTAAACTAGTGTTTGTTTTAAGTGATGCAGCTTCGTACTTTTTCAATGATTCATCATATCTTTGTGCTTCAAATTTTTCATTGTTAAAATACTAACATAAAAAGTATTGTTTTTAATTGTTTATCTAATAAAGACGATATACTTTTATATATACATAGTTATTAATCACAAGAATAGTAGACTTTATATAGTACCTTTACTGTTTCATAATTAATAAGTGAATCTACTGCTTTATTGCTTGCTTCATTCTCTGCTTGATTCATATAAACTCTAAACTTGGTTCGCCACTGTGTAATAGCTAATGTAAATATAGCATAAATTCCTACACAACCAAGAGCAATACTTGCATATTCTCCACCACATTTTAAATATAGTACTGTACTGACTAAGGATAATTCAAAGACAGTAGGTATAATATTAAATACCATTGCATTTAGTACAAAATTGATACCTCGGCTGCCTCTATCTATTGTCTACAAAAATGTTATATAGGTAATAACAAGTGAAAACAATTAATAGAAACTTTTGAAAAATCAAAATTTATGTTACTTTTGATAATGCTCCAGTTTGTCTATTCAAATGAAAAGCCATGTCTAAATTGTGCAAATGTAAAAAGACATTTTTGGCTATTTTTCGAATAGAATGTTGTGCAACTTTTGCAAAAACTGCATTGCGTAATTCACTGAATCCAGCCGCCCCTGCGCGTGCTATTCCATCTGTTTGATAAGAAATTAGCTGTTAATTTTTAATTATAGTATTATTTCTTAAACAATTTAATATACGTACATCCTATAAGTAATGTTGTTGCTGCAGTTACAACTGTTTCTGGTGCAGTATCTAGACTTAAAATAGCATTGCCAGTACTTGCTATATGTTGAGAATTGATAGCATCTATTGCATATTTGAAAATAAAAGGGACACAAACATTTAAAACCTTTGCACCAATAAGTAAACTAACAGCAACTTTAACTCTGTTCCTTATTTCTGGATCATCCTACAAATAGACATAGATATATTACTGTAACATTAATAAAATGTTTAAGATGACTCACTCTAGGCCAAATATACTGAAGCATTGCTTTTATCATATCCGATGAAGTAACTGGTTCTTTTTCTTGTAAATCAATACTTTCTTGACTTAAACTGGATACACCAGGATGAAAACAATCTCTTTTTTGTTGACCTGATTTCCCTTCCCTAAATCCAGGAATTGGTAGTGGAAACTTTATTGGTGTAATAAATTTTAAATGTAATGCACTTTTTTTCTGTGTACGATGAATTGCACTTCCACTAAAACACTATAAAAATATTTATTTAGAAATTTATAAGCAATTTTATATGATTTTCAGTAAGATCTTAATTACAATGTTATTTAAAAACGTTAATAGTTTAGAAAAGAGAATATAAAAATATTTTAATAAGTATAAATAAACGAAAACCTTATTTATATTACAACAGATGGTTATTAATTTTTTTTTAATGTTAAATGAAATAACTACCTAATTATTAGAAAATTACACAAAACTCAGTAAAAACATAACAATTTATTAAAATGCTACAAAATTATAAATCATATATCTATATTATATAATATTTTTTATGTATACATATTGTAAATTGTTTTTAATTTTACATTACTTTTATACAAAAGTTATTATATGATTCAATTAATATTTCAATATATTCTTCTATAAAACTTATTGCAATGGAAAAGCATTGTGTACAATTCTTAAGTGTTTTCATATCTTCTAACTGATGCACTAATTGGTTCTTTTTTAGATTAAAAATTTGTATTGCTATATCACGTGTACTTATTATATCATCACAAGTAAGAGAATTTCCATATAGTTTTGTACTCCAATATTTTTTTTGTAATTTTGTACTTAATATGAATAATGTAGATATTGCATTATAATTCAATCCCTGTCTTATAAATGCCATATTTTTTTGTAAATGATTAGAAATTATAAAATCTAATTTGATCTTTGGAATATTGAAACAAGTTTCTATGTCAGAAATATCAAAATGAACTTCATCTAAGGGATTATTTGGTATAAAAAAGCCATAATGAATATACAACTTAAGACTATTATGTGCACCATAATTGATAAAAACTTGTGATCCTTTATTAAATGATTTTAATGTGGTGAGTTGATAAAATTTATTACCATATTCATTTATAATAATAGATGTATCTATGGCAGTATAAATATCATGATTAAATAAATCCAAAAAAGGAACTAAAGCTAAGTTATTAGGATGTTTCACATTAATAGTAATATTCTGATTTGTTTCTATGTGGTTTGAATCTATGTACACAGTTCTTGTATTAACAATATAATATGCCCATTTATATCTTTCAAATGTTATTATTTTTTTAAGATGAACATTACAATGAGAACAATTACCTTTATTATTTGAATCTAAATTATTTATAGATTGAATTAACAACTTAAAGTCATTACATACTTTATGACATTCATACATATAATTCAAAATAAGTGGTGGTAATAGATTTTTTTCTTTGTTTGTACAAAAATCTGGATTTGTTAAAATTCTTGGAAGACTATTAATGTAATGGTACCATTTTGATGTATTTCCTAAATGTGATTCGTATATAATAAATACAGATAATAAATATTGGGCACTATATTGTTTAGTTTCTGAAAATAACTCTGTCACATTGCTTTGAGATAAAGTAGATGTGGTTATTAATATTTCATATGGTATTTTCATCAATATATCATTGATTTTAATATCCTTCATTGTTTTCAACCCTCTACCAGTAACAGAAAAATTATATGGGATTAAATGAGAAACTGATAAACAATTATTTGTTAATAACCAAGATTTTAGATGCATCAGATTTTCATTCTCAGATGCATAGTCTTCCCAGTTTTCACTTATTGCTTTGAGATTTAATTTCTTCTTTTGGAGACGTTTTCTTGATGTTCTACCCATTATGTATATATCTGTAGAATCAATAAAAAAAAAGTTGCTTTGAAATAAATAACAGTCTAATTACTGTTACATAATTAATTTGCTTTTAAGCTATGTACTTTTATCATTGATTAGTGGAGCATTTATTATATGTCATTTACATAATGGACATAAATTATATAAAAACCATATAGCTTCTATTACTGATTTAATAGTTGAAATCTTTAATATTTCTTAACATATGCTAAAGTAACTATAATAAAAGTATTAACATTTATTAGGTAATTAATACTTCAAAGAAGCACCATTACAAATCTTTTACCATTACTTTGTAAAGATAATATAAATTAGGAAATATTACCCTAAGTCCAAGGGCAGGATACAATGGATTATGTATGCTTGTGTTAGAAAAAAACCATTCTGAACAAATTTGTCTTCTTGATTTAATTGCACATACTGTAAATGATTTGATCCAAGGTTTTCTTTGATTGTATCCAGATTGTAGCAGACGACGACATAATACAATGCTTAACATTATACCAAATATTTATTCACAAATGGAAGTGCAAAAATGAAATTCACAAATTAGGTTATTTTATCATATTAGGGAGGCAAATTTGTGTCACACTGCTAAATTGTATAACTATATCTGTAATCATTGACTGTATATAACCTTTAAGTATCACTATATGTATGTATATATATAAATTATATATATGTGTAGTGACTACGGATACAAGAGCACAATTGATATTACAGTTGTGCCTGTCTTACCAGTCCCTCTTCTACCATATCTTGCACTCACAACTAAAAAGACACAGTTTTGACTCCCTTTGATTCTATTTCTTTTAGCACAAGACCGAAAAATTATTTAAATAATTGTTTGATAACCTTGCATTTTAAAATGACTGTCATATATAAATGATTTTTGAAATTCGATCCTAGCGCCATCTATACAAAATTGGCTGAAACTACTCGACAATTTACCGACCCGTCGGCAATCGCTAATTTGCTAATTTATCGAGCAGTTGGTAAGTTGTTGAATAGTTTCCGCCGTTTTTGTATAGATGGCGCTGAGATCGAATTTGAATATTTTTACAAGATTATATATTTTTATAAGATTTATGTTTTCTATAGCCACTGGTATATATTACAACATATATGGATAAGAGAGGGCATTCGAATTGATTCGAATGATCAGTACAGTGCAAAGCGGAATAAATTAACGAAGAAAAGTTGTATATATTATTTCAATTAGTTCTTCGTTTCAAAGTTGTACTTGGAATTATTTAAAATATGGCTCCTAGAAAACATATATTGGATCTATTGCAAATGATTTATTCTCAATCGTGAGTATATCATAATAATGAGTTTTAATAGAATCAGTAAGAGTAGTAATATTCAATATGTTTATATAATATTGAAAAACTTTTATATAATTTAGACAAAATTGGCATATACTGTATATTTAATAATTAATATTTAACTTAATTCCAATGAATACCAATTTTTATTAATGAAGAATATTGTTTTATAGGTGTAAATGTCCAGCTCATGGAAATCCAGGAGGCACAACTATGCATGAATTAACAAAAGCTTGCAGTACAGTAACAAATGCTACACCAACAAAAGAATATGCATTTGAGGCATGCATTCTAAAGTTTAAAAAAAATATATATAATACCTTTTTAAAGTATAATATTACATAGTGAGGTCAATTATGTCATAGGTCATAAGGATTGCAAAATATAAGAAACACTAAAGTCTTATTCAGATAATGAATGTTTTTGAATTAACTATGCGTATTATAACATGAAAACTTGAGACAGTAATCTAAAGCTTATATACATTAATCTCCATCAGTTTTACAAGTAATCAGCAATGTTTCAATTATTACATTTTTAAGGAATAAGCATTTAATTATAATAAATTTTATTACACTGAATAAAAGGAAAACATAATGCAAAAATTAGATCTTGCAAAAAATAAAATATTTTTGGTCAATTGTAGATGGCCTGTTCTACAGTACGATATGGTGTTGGTGTTACTAAAGAGTTGGGTATGGATATGCAAAATATTGGATCAAAAACTGTTTGCTTGATGACAGATCCAAATCTTGTGAATCTACCACCTGTTAAAACTGCTATGGATAGTCTTACTAAATATGGTATTCAAGCTACAGTTTATGATAATGTACGTGTTGAGCCTACAGAGCAAAGTCTCAAGGATGCCATTGAGTTTGCTAAGCGCGGCAACTTCGACGCTTTTATAGCGGTGAGGCACTAAAGAATTCATTGATTTTAAACTAATCATTCAAATGTTACAATTCAAAAATCAATGCTATAAAACTATAAAAACGTTTTTTTTTTTATTAGGTAGGTGGAGGTTCAGTAATAGATACCTGTAAGGCGGCAAATCTTTATAGTTGTGATCCACAAGCAGATTTCCTGGATTACGTGAATGCACCCATTGGCAAAGGGAAGCCAATTGTAGTACCATTAAAACCATTGATAGCGGTACCTACTACATCCGGTACAGGGTCGGAAACAACCGGTGTTTCTATTTTTGATTATCAACCACTTAAAGCCAAGACTGGTATTGCTAATAGGCAAGTCGCTTTTCATAGTTTCTTTTAGATTTAGTTTATGAATCTACTTTACTCAAGTTACCTATGATTATTATGTATTTTAAGAATTTTAATTACAATAGAGCTCTGAGGCCTACTTTGGGTCTTATAGATCCACAGCACACATTGAGCATGCCAGAAAGAGTATGTGCTTATTCTGGTTTTGATGTACTTTGCCATGCTCTTGAATCTTTTACTGCATTGCCATACACAGAAAGAACACCTTGTCCTTCAAACCCAATTCTTAGGCCAGCTTATCAGGGTAGCAATCCTGTCAGTGATGTGTGGTCGAAGTATGCCCTTCAAACAATGCGCAAGTAAATAAGCGTATTTTTTATTAAGAATAAAACGCAGATCATAATAAAAGAGTATAAAAATAATATTTGTATGTACCCTTTTTTATATAGATATTTCCAAAGGGCAGTATACAACCAAGATGATCTTGAAGCCAGAAGTCACATGCATCTTGCAAGTACTATGGCAGGTGTTGGATTTGGTAATGCTGGAGTTCATCTTTGCCATGCGTTATCTTATCCTATTAGTGGAAATGCACGAAGTTTTCAACCTAAGGTAAATTTAACATAAATTCCATTAAACAGAGGTTTCATGTATTGCTTATTTCAGGGTTACAGCAAGGATCATCCAATAGTACCGCATGGTCTTTCAGTTGTCATATCAGCACCCGCAGTGTTTTCATTCACTGGAGATGCGTGCGCCGAAAGACACTTGGAAGCTGCTGAATTACTCGGTGCTGATATTCATCAAGCAAAGAGAAGCGATGCTGGGAAGATATTAGCAGATACTGTAAGAGGGTATATGCAAATAATGAAGATTGAAAATGGTTTAACCACATTAGGATTCAAGAAGGAAGACATTCCTACCTTAGTTGAAGGGACGTTACCCCAGGTAATACATATCCATTTATTAGTAACTTATATACAACGGATAGAAATGATAGGTCACAAAGAAAGTTTATAATAGTGATTTATTGGTCACCATACATGAATGATTACAATTAAGTAAATTCACCATATGTTTAACATTACATATTTTTATGCATGATGAATTTACAATTGTGATATTGTAATAGATATTTTATAATTATTGATTCAATATTTATTTTCGTATGATCATACGTTTATAACTATATACGTATATGTTATACATTTTACTATCTTAAATTTACTAATTTATTAATTAATTAATTGTTTGCAGCATCGTATTACAAAATTAGCGCCACGAGAACAATCTAAAGAAGATCTTTCGCAATTATTTGAAAATTCATTTACGATTTACTAAGGAGAAATGGTATATATTTTCTTACTGTATTAGATATAACTAGATACAAATAAAGGGCTAATTTTTCATAGTTTTAACTTTTATGTCAAAATTTTCTTAATTTTAACTTTCCTTTTACTCTATGTTAATGAAGTTACATAAACGATTATATGTTTGAACTAGTAGATTAAAAATTATAAATAAAACATTAAAGATCTAAAACATTCACAAATTAATTATTAACCAGAGTATATTACATGCATTTTGTACGGCATTTACAAAGTCATCTATTCATCAGAAATCCTTGAAAAAGCGTTCATCGTTGTTTACAACGATGAAAAGGATCTCCGTGATCGATGACTTACAGTCTAGTACTTGATTATTAAGAAATCATTTTTTCTATAATAATGTTAGGATAAATTTCAGTTAATTTTAGATTTCGTCAAACAAAATATTCAATTCGAACCTACGCCAAATACATCGCACATTAATTAAAAAGTAATATTTTTTTTCAACCGAAAACGAAGATAAGCTACAGATATGAGTTAATCTGAAGCAGTCAGATATTATTACGCAGATTTGATAAATTCTTGAACATTCTTCCTATGAAATTTAATATAAATTTATAAACTTAACGAACTTAAATATAAATAGATAACGTAAATAAATGCCATCGAAAAATGTAGGACCAAATAAAACTTGTACATTTTCTTTTACAAACTAATTTCTATATCTTGTAATTATTTTTAGAAAAATATTGTATATAAAATTCATTATCAATGTTTCTCTCAAAGTAATAGAAATAATAATATTTGTGCAGTCATCTGGATTGGTATTAAATTATTGAAATTTATAGATATTATTTACGTAACACATTTATTATCTAGGTATAGTTGTTATTCTAATTGTATTTAAACATAAATAATATTAAAAATGTTCAATGATATCGATTGCGACTGTAAAAGAATTTATATTACAATTTTCTTTAATTTGAGAGAAGATAACATTGATGATGGATATATTTGACGCTTACAAATATTTTTCTAAATAATCACGTTAACTAAATATATAGAATGTAAAAGAAATTTCATGGTACTTTGTTATTTCGCATAATTATTATTTTTTTTTTCCCCGCTGTTTCGTTTGTCATAATAAAGATTATGAATATAGTATAATAATTTCAACTTAGGAACATCCATTGTCAGGCCGAAGAGAGAATTATTCTAAAATTCGTACATTATAAAAATCAATTAAATCAATTGGTTTTACTGTACCGTATTGTGTACTATTATATAATTTAAAATTAATTACCTGAGATATGTAACAAATATATTTTCATCGATCTTCTATGTCGGCAAATTATTTAAATATATTTGTTAGAGTCACGCATCATGAAAAGTTCTTAATGACATTAAAATTATTTACTTCTTTTCTGCAAATACCGAACACTATAAATGTTTGATAAAATATATATATAAATTATTAAAAATGGTGATTTACTTACTGTCGAGCCTCTTTAATGTAATAGCGGTGATGGTACGGGACATTTTGCTATCCCTTCGAACTGACTTCCTTTACCGTAAACTTGAGACTAATCATTTGCTTCTAATTCTCTCTTCTAGTAATGTTGATGCCTGTTTTTCATTCTCAGCATTAAACTACTTAGCGTTTCACAATGGCTTCGACACTTGAAGATTGCAAAAACAATAAATAAATAATATTAATGTTATGAATTCAGACTATGTATTCATTGAGGGATAAGGAACGTTAAATTTCAAATAATTTGAAACGATTCGAAGCCACTTCGCAGTTTAATTTTCTTATGAAACTATATACAAATTAATGTTATAAAAGATCATTTTAGAAGTTTTGAATTCTGTTAGCAAATTCGCACTATTGATTGCTTGACGTTCGTAACAACTGAAATTCTATATAGAATTTTTAAATATTTTAAAGTAATATTATTGACATTTAGTTAATAATTTTATCCAATTTAAGTTATGGCTGTTGTAGGAATTAATGGATTCGGAAGAATAGGTAGAATGTGCTTACGTACTTGCATAGAAAAGGATATAACGGTAAAGATGAACTGTTGAAAATACAGATATAGTTTTATGTAAAATAGACATAAATTGTTTCTTCTATTCAATCAGGTTAACTTGATTAACGATCCATATATTTCAACTGATTACATGATATATTTGTTTAAATACGATTCAACTCATGGAGCTTATCCTTTAAAATTGGAATGCGAAGATGGACATATTATTATTGCAGGTACGTTCATTTATATCAATAAAATTTGTTAACTACATATTTAAAGACTGTAATTTATTATGTTTTGAAGATAAGAAAATCGCTACGTCCCAAGAAAAGCATCCATGCAAAATAAATTGGAAAGGTGCGGGTGTAACGTATGTAATCGATGCTACAGGAGTATTCAATACTATAGAAAAAGCAAGCGTAAGAAACTTCGTTACAACTTGGAAATTAAACACCGGGATTGTAAAATAATTATACTGTACTTAACTGATTATAGTTACATATGGATGGTGGAGCGAAAAGGGTAGTAATTACCGCACCCTCGATCGATGCACCGATGATGGTTTATGGTGTAAATCATACTTGTTACGAGTCGTCGAGAAGTAAAGTAGTATCAGCCGCCTCCTGTACGACAAATTGTGCAGCCCCCATTATCAAAGTAATGCACGATAAATTTGAAGTTATTGAAGTAATGATCAGCAGCGTGCATGCTTTGACATCAATGCAAAGAACTTTAGATGGTCCCATAGAAAAAGGAAAGGTACCTGTTAAATATTATATAACATTATCAATATTTTTTGTAAAATAATATTCCGTAATTCGTTTGTATGGTAGCTATGGAGAAATGGTAGGGGTGCAGTTCAAAATATTATTCCAACATCTTCAGGTGCGGCTAAATCGTTAGACAAAATTATTCCTGACCTTAAAGGAAAAATTTCGGCGATTGCTTTCAGGGTACCAATCTCGAATGTTTCTTTATGTGATATGACCTTTAGGTAACAAACATATTAATAGGATCTACTTTTAATCTATCTACAGAGTCCATTTTTAAATTTTAGAGTTAACACACCAGTGACATATGAAGAAGTAAAGGAAGCAATGAAATCAGCATCGGAAAACGAATTAAAGGATATATTAGGATATACAGAAGAGGATTGCGTATCATCTGATTTTAATAACACGTGTTATTCATGCGTTTTTGACGCTAAAGCTGGGATTCCCCAAACAAGCACGTTCATTAAAATTATTGCGTGGTAATTAACGTGTATTTTAAATTATATTTTTCTATATAACAATATATGCTAATTAAGTATGAATAAAAAAATATGAATTTTACAGGTATGACAATGAATATGGTTATGCGCATCGTGTGACGGATTTGATAAAATATATGCATCGAGTCGATTCTGGTGATGTACCAGTAGCTTCAGAGAATGTAGAAAAAACCGAAGATGAATAATTTGTTAATTAGTAAGAATATATTATAAAACTATATATTTTTAATATTTTACATAAAAGGAAATTATTGCTATAAGTTTTATGATTTCTATCGATTTTATTTCACTTAATACCTCTTCTTCTGGAAAAGTAAAGAGTAAATTTACAAAATATATGTGCGTAAATATTATTTTATTCAGTTTTTTAACAAACAATGTAGATCAGCATTTAAATTGAGCGGCCGTTGGATACGCCAATACAATTTTGTATTCACGTGATCCGAGTGTGGCCGATGATGTACGAAACCAAAAAACGGTTACGGCGCATACGCCTAAACCGATGACTGTTATATTAACGTTTTCTGCCCTTCAAATGACACTGCTTTCGTGGTAACGGTTGCGTACGGATCATTTTACAGGTGAGTATCCCAAATTTTTCACTTTAATCTAGTTAATCTTTCTAGTGAATTAACAGATTTTCCATTATTTCTTATTAGTTGTATCCCATAATAAACTACAATCATCAATTTCCATGTCAGGATTTACTAATAGAACAACTGAGAATTATTCTGTTCCTGTATCCAGAATTATGTAGCATCTATCTACGTGTTCATACCGGCTAATATGACGTCATTAAAAGAACTTTATTGCAATAATTCGTCTATAATAAGCTACGAAACTAAAGATGTTTTAGTAACAGTGTGCTAAATAATTTCTACATATATATATATATGTATGTATACTCGAGGTTATTGTTCCTAAAAGTCACTCGGCATTTTATTTTAAAAGGACTTGTCTAACATATCGTATAAGATATGTACAGTTTCTATTGGTTAATTATGATCATGTTATCATTAGTACGTTGAGATTACTAGAAAAGTTTATTAATTTAGATTTAATTATGAATCAATCAAGAAAAATTATAAAGTTTAAACTTTAATGATTGTTAAAATTTGAATGCCAAATCTTTGGGTTCGTTAATCAAATGTTACATCATTTTATTTATATATGATTAAAAATCATATTGAATATTGAACAAAAAGTTACTAATTGTAACCTATTAACCATGTACTTATATACATATATAAATACGTATGTCATATAAAAGGTCACGTTTATTTTCAAGAACAAGATGGAAGGGAAACAGTGAGATTTTTTTGACCTTGATTGACCTTTAAGTTTGCACGAGGTCTATATATAATAAAAATATTTCAACTATAGCGAATTGTTTAATTTCTAGATAATATTATGATTTAATGACTCGAATGTATTACAGTAATTTTTAATGTCAGCAGATAATAAAATTATTTAATATTAAATTGTTATTTTTTATCTAAATAAATTTTCTATGTAATGCGATAATTGCAACAAAACACGAGCGGAATAGTAACAGATTCAATTTGTAAATGGATTATTAAAATTATGTATTAATTTAATATTTTTTATGCCGAAAAAATAGAAAATAATTTTACGATTACATTATAATAACAAAATTCGAATTATAAAATAAAAGCTATATAACTTAAACGTCGTTTGAGGTTAATTCGTTCATAATGAGATCGATTTTATTTGCTTTTATGACCCAAAAATTAATTTTTAAACGTCAAAGGATATTTACTGAACTCAGAACATGTTATCGGCAATTATCTCGTTCATTTTCTAGTTGCACAGAAGACGACGAGGACGAGATGAGTAAAATTGGAATTAACGGATTCGGCCGTATTGGCCGCCTTGTACTTAGAGCTTCCCTTGAACACGGTGCTCAGGTATGTTACATAATTTCTTTAATACAGTTTCCTTTTCCATATTTCCATATATAATTTTAATAGGTTGTTGCCATCAATGATCCCTTCATTGGTTTGGACTACATGGTATACATGTTCAAATATGATTCTACCCATGGTAGATTCAAGGGAGAAGTCAAGGCTGAAAATGGTTGCATAGTTGTAAATGGTAATAAAATTGCTGTGTTCAGTGAACGCGAACCAAAAGCTATTCCATGGGGCAAGGCAGGAGCTGAATATGTTGTGGAATCCACTGGTGTCTTTACTACCATAGAAAAGGCCTCTGTATGTAGAAATTTATGTAGATGTAAACAAATTTAAGGGTATATTACATGTATAAAATATTTATATTGTTTTTACAGGCCCATTTGGAAGGTGGTGCTAAGAAGGTTATCATCTCTGCACCATCTGCTGATGCACCAATGTTTGTTGTTGGTGTTAACCTGGATGCTTATGATCCATCCTATAAAGTTATCTCCAATGCTTCTTGCACCACCAACTGTTTAGCTCCTCTTGCTAAAGTTGTTCATGATAACTTTGAAATCGTTGAAGGTCTTATGACCACTGTACATGCTATCACTGCCACTCAAAAAACTGTGGATGGACCTTCTGGAAAAGTATATACTTGTTTTAATGTTATTACCTCTTGTGTCATAATTTTCAATTTTGTTATATGTAATTTTGTTTTATTTATAGTTATGGAGAGACGGTCGTGGTGCTGCCCAAAACATTATCCCCGCCGCAACTGGAGCAGCTAAAGCTGTTGGTAAAGTCATTCCAGCTCTTAATGGAAAATTAACTGGTATGGCATTCCGTGTACCGGTACATAATGTATCGGTGGTTGACTTAACGGTCAGACTTGCCAAACCAGCAAACTATGATGCTATTAAAGCTAAAATAAAGGAAGCTGCCCAAGGACCTATGAAAGGAATTCTAGGATATACCGAAGATGATGTAGTGTCCTCTGATTTTATTGGTGACAGCCACTCCAGTATTTTCGATGCTAAAGCTGGCATACCTTTGAACGATACTTTCGTTAAATTAATTTCGTGGTACGATAACGAATATGGTTACTCCAACCGCGTGATTGATCTGATTAAGTATATTCAAACGAAAGACAACTAAAGTTTTACGTACGTTCTTATGTAATACTTTCGTAAATGTTTCTGTGTGATAGTGATCTATCATATAAAACATATCGTTGTATGGATTTCAGATTAAATAACGTTATGTTTAGCTGGTAGCATTTCCAAAAACTGAAAAATATGAAATTTGAGGGTACTCCAGCGTACGTTTTCTCTCGCACAGTAGAATTACAGTTAGTATTGGATTAGACGTTTATCGTCCAAACAAGTACAAAACAGCAGGCTTTGTTATTATCGCTTAATTCAGGATTTTTGTTTTTAATTTTTAAATGTATTCGTAAATGATGAAAAACAAGAAATATAAATGCAAGTAATAACGTGTATGCGTGAAAAGTTACATAGTCGTGTATGTAACATAAATTATTATATTCTCATGTTGTATTAGCTAAGTACAATGTTACATTTAATTGATTTCTATTGTTCATTCATTCAACCTTCACAACAGAGACCTCAAAATACTTGGGGTTTGTTTCTGTAACATTAATATTATGTACCATTCATACATTGACATCAATAAAAATTGTTATGAAACTAAGAGAATGCTTTATTCGATTCTTCAGTTAATTGTTTGCATATATCGTTACATTTTTACAGAATTATATGGACAAAAGGAATGAGTAAAATAACAGTTAACTTTTATATACTTTTTACACGCTATCTTTACAGAATTTTCTATACACATACAAAAAGACCTTTTCATGATTGTTGATCAAAATATTTCTAAATAGTTTCAATAACAACAGGATAGTTTCTAGCAATCAGTAGTGGCTGTAATATTAAAATATCGTATTGTATGGCACGAGGAATTACGTTATTTAACGGTTCTCAGCAACAATTAAGTCATAATGATAAATTCAAACCACTCTCAAAGGGATTTTATCAGTAATATATTCGTGTAATTTGTATAAGGAATATAATAGATACTTCATAATATGGTGTGAAATAATATTCTTTATAATCGAACAATAACCAAACTGAAGTCCAATTAGAACAATACATTAATCAAGTCAAGTTATTAACAATTTGAGAAGTCTTTAAATATTCTGCTTCAGCAGATTTCATTTTATCTCATTCCTTGTTCTAATTCTATTAGCTATGTACAATTATATCACGAAATAAAATACATTTTATAACAGTTTCTTTTTCAGGAATATCGATTTGCTCTATATGCCATGCTCTGAAAAATTTGATTGTACAGCGATACGAAAATACAGTTTTATTTTGTCTTCGTAAACAATAAACATCTATCACTCATTTTTAATAGTATCTTTCTATAGTTTTGCAGTGTACAATAATCATCAAGCTTTGACTATTGCTCGATGTAAATGTTCAACGTTTTAAAAGATTTTTTTTTCAGTATATAAAGAACTACTTTTTAGCAATTTAGAACAATACTATGCATAAAAAATAGAAACTTTTTTTAAAATGATTATCTGTTTTGTAATGTTAACATTTGGTTACTCTAATTATTACGAATATACGAAACTTTATCGCAAAAAGAAAACTAGACTAGTACGACATATGAAATACTCGATTTTATAATGAATTCAGGAGAAATCGGTAATTCACAGTTTGGAACTTTTACAAATATTAACAAATTACATCATGTTAAGAGTAAAAGTTTTGCACGTAGATTTATACGTTCTTGGAGTGCGCTAGCTAATTCTCGTGTTAATTCTTCACAGACTAATCGGAGTTCAGCGTTTTTTTCTCGTAATTCTTGCAATGTTAATTTTTTTGATTCCTCTAACTCATCTTTAGGTGTGTCTTCTTCTCCTCCTTCCCGCTCTGCAAGACAAACAATAGATGAATTTTTATTGATTCGTAGGAAATTTCTTGATAATTAAATATAATTAGAATAAAAAACTTACTTGGACTGGGTTTTCTATAAATATGAAATGCACCACAGACACCGGTAAATTGCTGTGATTGGGGGGGTACTGTTTCCAAAGGTAGATTTTCAGGTAGTTCGCTCTTTGGAGAAAAGTGAGAAAAATCAGCAATAAAACTCTGATTTTCGTTTAAAGTTTTTTGTCCTTCTCCCTCACTTTTTTGACCAACCAATTTTCGAGGTGAAGTCTGTAGTAGAGATATGTGACAAAATTTTCTTTAAAGCAATAATTTTGCCTACGTTCGTTTACTTTCCAAATGAAAAATATACAATTCGTAATATGTGTAATATAATGCAGTATCTACTGTATAGATCCATAAGAAGCAGCTTAATTAAATGTAGGACTGGTCATTAATAATTTTAGTTTCATCATTTGATAATCGAAGAGTAAGAATACTTACGATTCCCGGAGAGATTCTTGGTGGAACTAGTGGAGGTGCTCCAAGGAAACTTTGACCATTTTTCCCTACAAGAACGCGCACAGTTTGAAGCGTAAAACTTTGCTTTCACAGCCACAGATGAAAAGTATCGCAGAGTATTGGTAGCAACATATACCTAATTTATTAAGATCAAGACTAGAACTTCTTGCATGTGTTCTATATGGTCTGGGTGGTGGTGGAGGCGGTGGTTCCTTCTTTGGAGTTACAATAATAGCTTCTTCAGGAGGTGGAGGTGGTTTTTTAATAAGAGGTCGTTGCACCAATGTACTTGCAGTGCGTTGGAGATCATCATCTCCCAATGTAGTGCAGTTGGTATTGTTACCATTTGCTCCGGAAGCAAGAATCGCTGCTTCGGGTGTTAAGCGTAACGGTACAGGATGCAGAATTTTAGGATCTTTTTCGACGGCGGACTTTTGAAAATCGAAATTTACTAATTGTAGACCTGGACTAGTAAGAGAACTACTAGTTCCAGTTGGAGAGTCAACAAATTTTGTCCATTCTTTATTTTTCTCCTGAGTACTGGTGGAATTAGGTGGAGTCTTTTGAGTAGTTGTAGTTGCTGGAATAGTTGGTGGACCAGTTTTTTGCTTGAGCAAAGGAATTAATAAAGGTGGAGGTAATACATCAGGTAGAGGCACATGATTCCTTCGTAACACAACAAGATGCATAGCCACAAAAAATTCTTGTAAACTTAATGCTCCATCTCTAGTTATATCCGCTAGCTGCCAAATGCGACTAAGTTCTCCTAAAGGAAGTCCAGACTTTTCAAAGAATGTCCTTGCTATGGGACCATGCAACAGCCCCTCAGGATCAAGTTGTAGTTGTGCAAACTGAGCTGCATAATATTCACGTTGTTCGTCACTAATTATCCACACTTCTTCTGGTGGAAATCCTGAGCCATCACCATCTCCTTCACCTTCATCACTGCTGTGACGTTCTGAACTTTCTTCTTCAGTTCCTAATAACTGCCTCTGTTCTTCTGATACTAATAATCCTTGCCAACCACTAGATACAGAGTCTAATATTGTTTCACCATGTATATCGCTATTCCTTTCCTGTGTGACACTATTTGTTGGTGTTGGTGAATCTGTACTAGCACCAGTTTCTCTTGGAGACTCTGCTTCGCTTTCACTTTCTGTAGTGCTTTCAGGAGCATGATGTCTACTTTTCATAGCATTGTTAGAATCAGAATTTTTTCTACTATCTTTATCTCCCGACATTGGCCAAGTAAATCTTGGCAAAGTTATTATATCCAAAGGCATAGTAATAATGTCTTTATGAATGCTAAGCCCTGCTTGATGAGCTGCTACAAGTTTCAGTAGTGCATAGAACTGTTTTCTTCCAAGATGAGTGCCAATGTATGCTGCTTCAGCCCCAAAACATATATCCAATATCTGCAAATAATACAAATTTATTCCATGTATCTATGTTTTAAATGTACATTGATAATTAACAAGATATCAGTGTCTGCATTATTCAGATAACAACTAATGAATATTAAACATCATTTACTTTTCATAATTATTACATTTATTAAAAATAATTACCTTCACTTATAATTTTTATTTAATTCTAACCTTCACCAACATTTACAATTTACCGATTTCGTAGTGTGTTATGACACATTAAATACTCACCTTGATGCAATTAAAGACACTGTACGGTTTCGATATTTTGATCAGAAGTGTGACAGAAAACCAACAGCTGACATACTACATGTAAAGAATGGACGTAATTTACCTCCATCGTGACAGCTCCTGGTAAATTAGCGGAACGCAGTAGCTCAGCAACTTTGATCACCGGCACATTATCGCTGTCAGGATGTTCACAGCAATAACTGAAAATGTCTTCGTAATACTGATGTTCGGTCATTGTTAAATGAAGGCTCGCCATCGTGATTGAGTCCCAATCCATCTTGGCGACAACTCGGAGCAGAGCAATGAACCGCTTCTATACTCGTTACGTATAAACTGGGTCCGTTCTCTTTTCTGTAGTCTCTTCCTCTCGCTCTCTCTCTTTCTCTTTTTCTCCTTCTTCGTTGTTCTTCCGTTCTTGACACGGTCTACTACTTTACAGGATAGCCGTGATCACTGTGGTCACATCGCACGATATGATTTCGAAGAATCTCTTGAGAATACGAGACACAGCATTAAAAGATTACATGCGCCGGAACATAGCGAAATTACCGCTTGACCGCCATCTTTCTGTTCTCTTGGTTTTGACATTACTATAACCTATATATGTAAACTACCTGTATAACTCAACCAGAGAAGAACAAAGGGTGCTTACATTCGGAGTTTTGTTTGCATCAGGTATGGTGCTGCGCCATGCAGCTAACTCATGCAAAAGAGTGGAAATCTATAAAAAACATCCATATTAGCGTATTCAAGAATCCATCGACATCCACTTTAGCATATACAAGAACCCATGGACTTCTATAAATAACTAAAACTTAAAACAAGAGGCGTGTTGTAACGAAGCTGACAAGGTAGATTATTTAGTTTTTTCTTCTATATTTATTTAAATATTTATTTCTATATTAGTTCTGAATTATACAACTTTAAATTTCCACCAATGGCAGTCGTCTTCCCATTTCGCCCAATCAGAATCGCCGTTATCGATGATGTGTGCAGGTCTGACTCATTACGTCACTTCCTTCCGCAACTAAGAGGTGAGTGCACGCGTCTGTAACAAAGTGAGATCAAATTGTATTAAAATATTACATTAAACTGTGTATTAGGTACCAGAAGTACGAAAAACAGAAGGTAAATTTGAAGAGAAGTCAAGATTCATGTTTTCTGACATCAATTCCACGTGGTCTACAGAGAAGCTTAAGGTGAAACAGCAGCTGAATTACTTTTCTTTTATATCAATAATTTCTTGAATATTATTACATCTTTTTATGTTTTTAATACATTTTTTCTACAATTTATTGTTGTAAACTGATTTCTTAGTTTTTGACTATTTTGCCGGTATAGATATGCCGGTATAGATATTAAAATATTATTTTTCTCATTCACTCTGGTTTTATGTCGATAATTTTTTAAGTACTTCTAATAACATGTTTTTTCTACTTTTTTTTCTATATTTTGGTGCTTTAAGTTGAAAAAAAGTAATTTTGACTTTATTTCAATATGGCGTCGATAATTTTCAACGAAGCTTTATATTAGTATTATAGTTTCGAAGCAATTCGAAGTTTCTACCAACGGCTCTGATTGGTCATCCATTATGGCGTCCTCCCATTTCGACCAATCAGATTCGTCGGTTGGACGGTTAGTGAACAGAGTGTGGCGTAGTACTGCATTCCCCCCTCGAAGCTTCGACGGTTTTGCACGCGACTGCAACAGGTAAGCTTAAATCATCTTCAAATATTAAATTAAATTGCCTTTTGGGTGTTGGAAGTACAAAAAGCAGAAAGAAACGTCAAAGGGAAGTCTAGATTCTTGATTTTTTACATTAATTCGACTGTTTGTTCAAAAATACGTGAGTTGAAAATTCTTGTTCTTGTCGCGAATTCACAATGAGACTGGAACAGCAGAAAATCAACAAATTCAACACATATTTATTTATGTACAGCCCTTAAAATTTTTATATAAACACGTTGTAAGTTTATGGTTTTGTAGAATGATTATATCTTAATGACTTTATGGTCATTAAACACTGCAGTGTTTAATTAGAAAGCGTTAGATTTAAGCGAATTTTTAATATAATTACGAGCGCTCGTTTAGGTAGGCATTCTTAGTAATATAAGTATGTAGGACAAATATGCAATTGCATATTTATTAATTACAGATCTGTAATCAAAATCAAAATTAAAAAATGTTGCGATAGGAATAAAAAGCGAAAATCTACGTAAATATATGTATAGATAAGTAGATAGGTAGGTAGTGAATAAAAATAATGCTTCTTTTGTTGTTCGTTTGCATAACAGTCAAAAATGTTTTGCAAATGTGCATCAAGAGGATGATGGTATTGAATAAAAATAAAAGTTTGCATAAATAGGAGGGTGGATGGGATGAGGTAGGGCGGGTCTCCACCCGCAGCAACCTCCCTGTGGTGAGACCTGGGCAATCGTTATTATTTGATGACTAATTAATAACTGTATCATTATTTCTATGGTATATTTATTAATTATGCAGCAAATAATACGAGGGGAATTGGCTGCGAAAATGCTTTTTTTCTATTTAATCGCTGTTATATTTTTTTCAGGACCTATGTCTTTAAGATTCTGAAGTGTACCACATTGCAGATACAATTTTACGGAAAGAAAATGAATAATAGTGAATGGATGGTCAGTATTGTTTAATTACAGTATTGTAAATATACATATAGTATACATGTGTGATTTAGGTATTTGCGAAAGGTAACGTAGTATAGCATGCCGTTAGTTGGATGCAATAATTCAGGTGGCGCTTAAATCAGTTTCTGTTCAGCTTAATTTTCGATCAAACATGGCCTGTTTTACCGATGCGGAATTCGGAGTTTAGCTAATCCATTAGATTTTTCATTTTCTGAGCAGTTTTTTTCATTATCGACTGATGTCAGAATAGAAATAAATATTATCGCGTTTATTAAATGACATTATTCACAGTCAATTATGTATCTTGAGAAATCGTATTTACCAACAATTATGCACTCACAATCTGCATGCAGCATATGAGGGGCCAGTTGTGCTATTCTAGAAATGTTTTTAATTGAAGATTAGCGTAACAATAATCTAAAATCAATATGCACTAGCTGATTGGAGTAATAAACAACAAAGATTATTAATAGGGCAAAAAGGGTGGTATTTTTGTTATATGTCTAAAGGATTTATGTTGAGTGATAAAATATTTCAGCAAAATTCTGAAAAATTCTGAAAAATTCTGAAAAATTTTACTCTTACAGGGGTTGCGGAAAAAGAATTGGAACATTTGTCGGTTTCGCTCTGTGGATAATCGAGGCATAGGAACAATATCAAGATCAGTTACGTAAAAGGAACAGAAAGGAGAGGTATCAAGATTTCTTTTTTATTTCATATGCACATATGTATGTATACATATACACATACTATATCTTAGCGTCTTGAATGACCCACACTTTCACTTTCGTAATTAACGCAGGTACCCGCGCCTCCTGTTTACTCGCGTACCAGCTGGAAACAATATACGGATTTCCCTACGGAATCAGTACCGTTTCAGGGGCAAACGATTACCGTTTTCACGTTCAGTTTCGTCAAATCGGAGAGGTTGCCCGCCGTGGACGGATGTACAGGCGCGATATCCGGTCGCGCACGCGTTCACCGTGCCTGGTTCCGGTGTGCAACTGCTGTAATCGCGGTTTCAACTCCTCCGAAGCCTGGCATAACATATAATAACGGCTATGATACAAGTAAGTAATGCTGCGCAGACGATTTCACTTTCAACCAAGAGGCTGTATCCTCGTCTTTCTATCTCTTGATCGCGCTCGCCGCCATCGCGTCCTTTCTTTCCTTTTGCTTTCGTTGTAGCCAAAGGAATTACGAGACGATATGAAAAGATAATAATGCCTCTTACAGTTTTTATGTCCTATCTGCATTTAAGCTCGGAAGCAGCAATTATAGTAAACATCAAATACAGGATGATGAAAACTAGCTAAATGCAATTACTCGCGACGTGTATTATATCAATGATCACGTTTATGACTCGTTCAATTGTCTGCTCTATTATTATCCACGCGTGTACCTACCTTCTAATCCTGAAGGTAAACAACTGTTCTTTTTTTATAATATTGTGAAATAATTCGCAGAGTTTTAAATATCAAATTACTCGACAACACTTAATAGTCTTTATAGAAAAATTATGATTAGGAAGTTGTCAAACATTCTCCGAGGCAAATGTTTCGTGGTTGTTATTTCTATAAGAGATCCAAATCGCTAGTTCCAATTGAAGGTCTTACAATTAATGATAAAACAATTTTTCAACCTTTCAAGGCGAAAGGGTTACGTTGCTTAGACTATCTTGGAAACTCACCTGATTTAAATCTCGTTTGACAATTTACCAGCTATTCGTAAGGTCAGAGTACTTAAAGTGGATTGCATCATCAAGAACGAAATGATTGAAATTCTGTCGATATCAAAGTGCATACTTCTCATGAAGAAGTTAACGCGGTATGGCTGTGTTTCTACTTAAAACTGACCTGTAATGCTAAAACGAACCAATGTTCTCATTAATTCGCACAATAACGCGCATACCGCTGAAAGTACTGTACGATAAACACACGGTTCTTGAGAACGTTGGCGTTCAGTTACACGCTCGGCCACGATATATAGGTTCACCGAGTTAAAACAGAAATTAGGAGCGAACCGTGTCCCCTTTCTCTTGCCAAGCCAAGCGTGGTATAAAATACTTTCCCTCTCGCGAGGCAAGAGAGCCGCGGTGCTGTAGGCGAAAGAGCAAGCAGGTAAGCAAGGATTGTAGCTTGCGAACGGAAAACCGGAAAACGATAGCTTCTAATCGCGAGCCTCCGGCGTCTTGCTTCTACTCTGCTCTTTGTTTTTCGCTTCGACGCGTGCACAGAACCCTCCCATACACCATTTTTATCCTTTAATTCGTTTTCTTACAATAACTGTAACTCTTACTCCGGTCATGACTAAACTTCCAGACGAGACACGCCAAGTGTAGAATCACTTCCGTCCGGCATGGCAGTCTTGTTCCCACAGTTCTTTCTTCCTGAAGAACGAGAGTTTAGTGTTTAGTGTCCTGAGAATTGAGGAAGAAACGAGGAAATCTTAGGAAACGAAGGGTTTTGGGTATTAGAAGTGGATATGGATCGTCAGAAGGGAGGGAGATTAGGGGAGATTAGATTAACTTTTATCGTTTTATGTATTGTAGTAGCTTCTGGTGAGTTTTTATTTAGATATTGATATTACAATGAATATAATCTATTTGGTGAGAGAAGGGGTTAGGGCTGAGCCTATTAAGTGGAAAGGGGGTTCGAGAAGGACAGAGGCCCTCCTGAATTGGCGACTTTCCCGATTTTGTAGCGTAGCGATCGGAGGCCAGGCCAACCTTCTCTTGGTGGTGCACGTAAGTACGGGAACCGTGTAACAATCACTGATCGCCGGTAGTGGCAAGTAGTAGTCCCCAGTCTCTCTGGCTGTGGGTCGTTTCCCCACCTTTTGCTTTTGCCACCGACGTCGACGTGTATCGTCGGCCGCAGTTAGACCGAGTCCGCTCGCGCATTCACATTAATTTCGAATCCGCGCTTGTGCTCTCTCTCTCTTTTTCTCTCGGCCGGCTCTCCCGACTTGCCGGCTCGATCCTCCTCGTCGATCCTCGCCGATCCTCGCCGATCCTCGCCAATCCTTGCCAACGTGGACCAACGTGGACCAACGGTGTATCCGCTGACGGGAAAAGAAATGCCCGTGAATTCGAGTTCGTTTAACGCAAGTACGTCGAGGAGAGAGGATACGTCGTGAGAGATCCAGTTGAGTTTTATATTCGTCGTCGGGTGTCATTTGTTGATCGTCGAACACTTTCGAGCTGGCTCGTGTGTATCTAGTCGGTTCAGGATCGAAGGATACCATTCGCGTAAGGACACTGAGAGTCAAAGTGTAGTACGAGTGTTGATCGAAAAGTATCCGCAATTCTAATCCTCTGTGCGTCCTTAGGGGCTACCTTGAAGAGATAAATCTTCTTCAGAGACACCTTGTATAATATAACAGTCTGTTTTCATACGGTTCTGTTCGCGTTTCCTGACTTGTAACTTCTCGTGACACAGGCTGGGGACTCGTTTTAGTTGTCCTGTTACCGTTGTTAAAGTAGTTCTTCCATAAAAAAATGATTTAAGCTAAAGTTACCCTATTTACCCTATTTCCTCGAGGAAATCGTGGATACTTTTCGATCGACTCTCGAGGAATTGGCTCGTGTTGAATCGACAGCGAAAGTGCACGATGAACATTGCACTTGTGCCAGATACCGCACGTGATCGTTTCACGGAGAACGGAGGAAAACCGGAGGAAAAGGATGCGTTTCTGCGTGGATCGCGAAGAGAGTAACACACCTGTCGTTTCTTTTCCACAAGCGACGCGCCATCAAGGCTTCACTGTCCGTTTCCATACGCTTGGAAATCGATTTCGCGTTTCGTTTCGAGGATATCAAGCGTTCTCGCTTGGATAACATGCTAGGCGGTTCGAAAGGCGAACGCTTTATGGGATACGAGGTTTTTAGCTTGAGGAAGCGGTTGTTTCGCAGCCTTTCGTTGCTAAACGTCCGATGTTGCGCGCATTGTCGCTGGAAATGAAACAAGACAACGCTTTTTCCACTTGCTTTCAACCACTCTGTTGCAATTGAATTTAAAACAACTTCTTCTTCTTCGTTTAATTATTCCCTTCTATTCGCTACTTTATTGCAAATCTCTGCTCTGTTGGAAGTTCTTTAAAGGTGGGATAGAATTTGAAATTCATTAGAACATTTAACGATAATGATTACAAACACTTTTTTTTTCTCTAATTAATTAAATGATTTATGGATCGAAAGCAAAGGCTAAAAGTTAATAATCTGTTAATGTAGCATAATGCTTCACGGTAACAATTGTTTAGTATCATACATATTTATGTTTTGAGTAAAAGGAAACAGATTGGCATTGAAGATTTATCTGATCATTCATTATAAGTTAATTAAATGCTAGGTATCTCCTTTAAACAGATCCAATTTATTTTCAACCAATGGTATGATGCTTGTTACGTATTTTGTCTTGTTCCATTGTCCCAGCTAAAAGAATACAGACTTTGTTTAGAATCTTTTATCTTCAAAAATTCAATCATTTTGAAATTTTGTAGAAAAAACATAAAAATTCAAATGTAACGTGCTTTACACGCTCAAAATGCTTTTCTCTCCGGTTTTCGACGCAAACTGCAAACGGTTTTGTTGAAATTTGCGTATCCGAGAGGACCGTGGAAAAAAAACAGCTTTTCCCGTCTGAAAAATTGCTGACGATTTCTCTGAAACTCGACTGTATTTTTTCTCTTTTATTTTTTCGTTCGAAAAAGCGGAGAAAACGTGTAGACGCGCGAAGGAGCCAGTGTGTATTGATGTGCAGTGATCAGGAAGTTGGTGAACGCCGGAAGTAAGGTCTTCGAACGAGTTCGTTGAACGAAGGAGGAAGGATCGAGCCAGTTCACCCTCGTGAGAAACCTTGTCCGTCCTTTTTTTTTTTTTTATTTTTTTTTATTTTCCTCATTAATACGCGCGTGACAAGTGAACCTTTTAACCTTTCGACGTCGTAATGACACCGAGAATGGAAATATGAGGACTGTGGAAGATCGTCTACTCGATCGACGCAGCTCCAGTCCTGTCGACCATAAATGACGTAAGCTTTTCTTTTATTTCCGACTATTTATAGAAAATTTAGCGTATTCTTGGTTCTTATTTTTGGTTCTCGATACGTGCAAAGTAATATTTTATATATTTTATATATTTTCGCTCCATCATCTGTTACAAAATTTTGGCAAATTTCATGCGTTTAAGGGTGCATTTCGCGCCTCTTGTCACCCGCGAGGGTGGCGTATTTTCGGAACATTGTTTCCCATTTGTTCACCGAAAATTAGCGGCCATTATTTATCATTTATTTTTCTTCAGTTTCAACTACCTCGTATGAGAAAGCATTAAAATGGGATCGAATCTTGAAATCGCAAAAATGATTTCTATTAATTGCTCTAACAGATACATAGAACGGTGTTTCATCATTATCGAGTAAATGTTTCGTTGAGTCAGTAGAAAGTTGTTAAAGTGACAACGCTATTCAAGGCTAAGAATAGAAAAATTACTTTCATGCTTGGAAGAACTTTAAATGAAAGATTATCCAATCGATTAGAAATAAAAATTATTAGCTTAACGTTGCGTTCGTTGTTCCTTCATTGATAGTTGTATTTTTACTTTAAACGTGTTGTTCCTATCTGTTTTCTTTTGTTTTTAATTAACCGTTGCCGAACGATTATTCACGCGAACGCGTTCGATTGATTAGTTGGCGAAGGCAAAAGATTTTGCATCGAACAAACAACTTCCGCAAAGCGCGGTAAAGTAATTAGAGGAAGCAAAAAGGATCTAGTAACTCTATATTATGTAAACGTTCATTTACATAAACATTGAACGACCACTCATTTATGAATTTTATTGGAATTAATTGAACCTATCTCATTGTCAGTCAGATGCTCTGTTTTAATGTTGAATTCGAATAACAATATTTCAGGAATTTTATTTATAATAGTTTAACGTAAGTTCTGAATTAAATTCTCAGGTACATATCTTTCCGTAGATCTTCTCTTCTGTTTTGTACAATCAGTCAAAGACACTTAAACGCGGTTGCAAGGCAATCGGTGTTTACTGTAGATACGAAAGTGTTTACCAAACAATCGTTCACCTGGAATACTTAATCCTTTTTGTTTCGAAAATGCGAATTATGTACGCGACGAATCGTATCGCGAGCACGAAGTTGAAAGTGCGATTAAATCTAATTTTTTTTCCCTTTTTTCTTTTTTTGTTAAATAGAGGCCATTTCGTAAGCGGGAAGTAGGTATATTATAGGAAACAAAACACGTAACTGGTGTGCGAATACATAAAGAGTGCATCGGAATTAAACATCGTTTCAATTCGTTTCTCACCGGAACGATTATGAATGTGATTTCAACCTTTCCTTATTTTAATTCCATCGTGATTAAAAGTAACGTAACATAAAAATTTTCGAATATTAAAGATTTGCATTTCAAATATACTTACGACAAGGATGATAATTAAAAAAAATCGAACTCGTTAATTTTCAACCTTTGAACACGATTCTTTAAACGTTCAACTGTATTCGGATATCAAGCTTGAAGTTCTAAACGCAAATCTAGAAAGACTAAAAGTAGGTCAGTTATTTTTTGCGTTTGTAACAAATGACTCAAACTTCTTTTTATTATGTTTTTACCGTATCAAAAGGCTGGTACATTACAAAATTTTGACACGTAACGCGTGTTGCCCTTGTCTAGCTAGAGAAACGTGCACACGTGCCGTGCTATGTATCCTTTTATGCTGATACCAATACGATCCCGTTAGAAAATCGTTATTCTTACGATCATTTCCATACTGCATTCTAGGTTAAATATTGTTTTCATTTCATTTTACAAAGGGGAGGGGAGTCTGGTCAGAAGCGGATTAGCCATCGGCGTTTCAGAAAAATTCCCGGTGGAGATCCCTGGCCCCTATGCCGGAGCAACCCTAATTAGTTACACCCGCGCCTCTAATGTTTTATATGTATCTCATTGTCAGAGACAGAAGAGAACGATTGAACAGTATAGAAAGCAAGTTTCTGTAGGTTCGTTTTAATTGCGGCTAAATGTCGACTTCGTGCACGAACGCGCGGGACCTCATTGACAGCCGGCCACTTTCATTTCTCTATTCTCTGACACAATCTTCGCCCGATACACTTTCCTCGTTCGCCGGAGGAGGAAACAAGCGAACAAGCGGCGGATAGATCGAGACTCTCGTTTTCAATATACACGCACCGTAACGGGGAAAATCGAGACGCGGTTCTATGTATTATATAATCCATACCAGCTTTATATGGTTGACGATGCTTTTGCATCTGTCCACTTTGTGAGATCAGCAGCTCGTGCACGCTTTAATTAACCTAACTCGTTCGTATTTGGAAGAGCTTTCGATTTCTGTCTACATACTTACGAGAGATATCCCATCACGTAGGAGTCCGAACGATTAGGCTGGTCGAAAGAAAAACGCTCGTCAGCTGCGTAACGACTGGTAAAGAAATTAATTGGTATAATCAACGAGTCTAAATGTGATTTTTTCCTTCAATTTCTATTTCCATCTGAAAAGAAGACAAGGTCTGCAGAGTTTCATTAGAATACAAAGATTCTTCTAATATTAAATGTTCAAGTTTCATGTTTACAAACAAACTGTATGTTAGGCATGGCAATAATTTCACGCAGAAAATATTTCGACTTCCGCTTCTTTGCACGAACGATCGATTTAATTTCCACGCGCTTTCACGTGTGGCCGGCGCTAATTGCGCGCGGAAATATAAACCGCCGATTTCCTTCCGTCTCCTGTTGCTTTTTCCTTGAAACTGATTTTATTGGAAATTCCAAACATAGTCGGAGTGATTATTTCATCTGTATCGAAGCTTTTTTGTCCAGGTCACAGGGCGCTTTCACGAGCGGAGAAAACCAACCTTTCGATAAGTATTCACGATGAATAGTTTCATGTTGAAGTAGGCCATGCTCGAACGTTTTCTCGTGATTTCAAGCATTGCCGAATTTTTTTCGTCGAAAGGTGTCGAACCTTTGAGGATCCCCTTGGTTGATAAACGTGGTTCAAAAATTTACATTTATTCTAAATAAAGTAAAGTAAAGTAAAGTAAAGTAAAAATTGTAATGGAAGATGGGGCAGTAGGGTTTTCTCTTTTTCACGCGAGAAATCAAGTTTATCTGATTCCAATTTAATTTCCAAATCATTATCACATCGGAAGCACTGTTTTTGAACAATTAAATTATTCAAAGTCATTGAGTAAGCATTTTCGAAGAAAGTGTCTTCAGCGAATCCGTACCAGCTCTTTTTCCTTTCATTCGAAAGTAAAACCATGGAATTGCATCGTACAGCGACGAGGTAATCCATTTTCTCGTAATTTGTCCTATTATATCGAATGTTTCGCTCACTCTCACGCGCCTCAGTTCTATTTCGATCGCGATTTGCGATTTTCTCGAAGGCTTTTCAAACGATCCATCAATCATCATAATTCCTAAAGAAAGTATTATATTTTCATTGAATTAACAGTAAATAATAATTATATCCTCGTTGCAAAGTGAAACCATAAAATTATATTACATTTTAAATAAATTTCTTACAATGTTTTCATTCGATCGAAATGCAACTTTCTCCGGTCCGGAAAATGAATCGGAAGTGGCATTCGATCGATACCCAAAGACGATATTTTTATTCGATCGACCAGTTGTTTTTTCCCCTCGTTAGAAAGTAAACCTGTGAAATTCCGTTGTCTATCTTTTTTTTTTTCTAATCGCCTATTCATTTACATAACGAGTCACGCGTTTGTGATTAAAGTTGCAATTATTGTTGGGCTCGATCATTTTCTCGTGTTACGAAGCATTGCCAGATCTTGGAACCCTTCGAAACGCTCATTTTCCCACAGGTGTAGCAAACTTTTTAGCAGACGATTCATTTATATAACAGGTAGCTCTGGTTTATTAAGTTAGCAGCGTTGTTATGCTTGCGTTCGCCAGATTACGATCGCTCGTTCGGCCCGTATATGTAAAAAAAGAAGAAGAAGAAAAAAAAAGAGAAACGCGAAACTGCCACGGAAGCGATTATTATGCTTGGTAAACGAACTTTGCGAACGGGTCACGGTTACAGCATTAGGCCTCAGGAACAAGTGAATGGAAAAATGATAGACACACCCTCTTATGTATACTCTTTTTATTGCCATTTTCTCAAAATTAACACTTTTTATCAATTTTTTTATACAAAAAATACTTAACCCTTATCTGAACAATCTGTTTGTGTAATATAATGGAAAAAAAAATAAAAGAAACGTGTAATAGCTCACGACAGATGTTGGTTGTTGCATAGAATAGCCGGTGAACAATGTGTTAAGGTGATCGAAGTTATTGCCCCACTGTCAGTATTATCTCGTTGGTAGAGAAAGGGTTAATTGCACACGGGATCGTTGTTTTAGAGCGGTCGCGACTATAGCCACCTACGTTCACGTGGACTTCCACGTGAGAGCTAGCTGGAGAGCTCAATGCTACGCGATTGAAAGTAAATTTTTTTTTCCCTTCCATCGATGGAACTGTGGTGGGATCCATGTGACTTCTCGTAAACCCGTCGATTTACCGTATTTTTAATCGCGCCACGTTGGAGAACCGTTACGTCTCTTTTAGTCCTAGATGTGGACATTTAGGTGGACATGCGATCGTTCTTTATTAGACGGAAAGATAGTTGAAAATTCGTTGAAAGGAAACCGCGATAGAGGAATTTTCTGTGGTGCCTCTTGAACCAATTAAACAGAGAATTTCTGAAGAATTTTCTTTCAATGAATCTTTGATTTTTCGGGTTATAAATTAAAAAATGATAACGGAATTTGTTAACGGAAATGACTGTTTCAGTAATTTTCTTATCACGGGATTCACGTAAATAACATTCGGTTGAATAACACGGAAGAGCAAGAGATCGGTATGAAATTTGCCACGGTCACGGGCTAGGATGATACGAAAATTGACGTTAACCACGATTAAATTGTCGCTGTCCGTGACATTTGAACGTATCTTCAAGTTTCCGTATATTTCTACCTTTTCAAGGGAT